GTTACCTCACCTTCATCGCCATATTCAGATATTTTGCTTCTGTTCCGCCTTCTTCGAGCTGGATGTGAGACACCGCGATGCATTGTCCGTTGCTGGTCAAATGCGTCGCTGGATGAATCGAGACGATCAGGGAGGGTCGTCTAACGGACGTGCGAGAAACCAGTTTAGGTGGTCCAAAAGGCGGCATCTGCATATATGCGCCTCCCTGATCTTGACCAGCGTTTTGATTGTGCATTTCTGGCTCAGCGCCTCGGCCATCATGGTTGTCAGATTCTCCGTCACTTGAAAACAGCGAAGAGGGCAACGATCTCGAAGGGATTCGCTACTCACACCATTAGTATGCGCCTCGGAAGTTTATCTGGACTGTTTTACTCACTGAAGGGGCTGACTGAGTTCTTCTTTTCCGCAAAATCTGCCTCCTGGGTGATGAGACATCCTCATCCTGCTGCAGGTTGATGACAGATGTCTGGCTCCCAGAGTTGCTAGGGGGAGGGTGAGGGGGTAGTAATGGGCGAAGGCTCGTTTGATATCAGTGAGGTTGGTGGCGACCGCGATTCAGACGTGGACTGGCTCTCAGCGGGCTGCTGATTTTTCAGTCGAGGAATCTCCTTTTCCAAAATCTGCATTATTTTTTGGGCAAATTCTTTGGCCTCGAGATGTTGATTCGGCGATATTTGTTGCTGCATCAAGAGATTCTTTTGAACCCGTTGAGCTTGCTGAAGCTTGTTGAGTTCTATATCCAGCATTTTTTTGAAAGATTCACTGCCGGCAAATAATCAGTATAGAAGTCCACGTCATCTATCAATTTGGGGAATATTTGATATTTACCATTGTGCCAAGACTACATCCGATCCATTCATTCGGTGGGTTTGGGAAAGCAACTGAATGTGCAACAGGGTTCCGATTGTTCTCATAGACCTCTCTAGTACCTCCATATCTTGGAAAAGAGAGGGGACAGTTTTCTTGCTCTCTCTAGACCATTCAAACTGTGCGATCCATCTTTCGACCGTACTGACAGGTTTATTATCTATGAGAGAGCGAAACTGGCCGGTAATATACTTCAGCCTTCCAATGGTTCGTTTTGATTCCTCATCAATACTCCCCATGAGCTGTTGATGTCGGTTGAACATGGGCGCTAGCTCTTGAACTGTCCTCGCAACTTTCAAGGTGTCCCTGAAAAAGTCGTACGTCTGGGCCACTGATATCGTTCTTTTGATCACACTGGATAGATCGTTTTTCGCATTGCTGATTTGTTCATAGAGCCTTTTTAACCTTTTCACAAGCTTGAAGAGGTCTTTAGCAATAGGATATGCAAAACCCGCCACTGCGAGAACGTCCGCCATTTTTGCCAGCTCGTGCTTGCGCGGTCTTTAGAACGGTCAGAGAGGCATAGAAGTCACTGGAATTATGAATAAAGTGAAAAAGTTCAATTTCGCCCACATGTGCCAGTCAACCAGGCTATAAGATAGACAAATGGTAGAGTCAAAGAGAAAGCTACTAGTTTCGAACATTAAAACATTTGGGCTGAACCGCCGCTGCTAAGCCCCAACCCTCTGTAGGGCATTGCCTCATTCCACATTGTTCGTCCATCCCAGTTCCCCCCGATTGTCTAGTGAGGCTGATTGACAGCTCTAGGGGTCAATCTGTGAACCAAAGCAAAAAATCCACCACTCTTGAGAATACACGACTGCTTACCTGGAAAGGTTGAAAAAGCAAAGAATACCCCGCTTTGTCTCTATTGCCGCATCTGGCCAAAAAGGATTAGAACTTGCATCAACAGCCAATCTCTACATGCCACGATAGACATATTGAAGGGGCGATCAAGAGCACGCCGGAAGCTAGTGTGCTGGAGGTAAGCTGTGGTTTCTTGGCAACTGATCCACCTAATGCGGCTCAACACAGCATGGGAGACACCTTTAGGCAAGCTTGCACCAGTCCCTGGTAAAGAGGGTGACCTTCGCGAGGTGTGGACATGGGAATCCATGCTGAACCTGGATGTAACTTGGCCATGTGACAGCCAAGTGTGACAGCCAAGTACGAGGCGGATATGCGCGAGTCTAAGACGTCCTGCATCGATGACTCAGTTCATTCGGTGGTTCGCAATCGCCGCTGCCGTCGCCCCCACTGAACAAGCTCAAGTGAAGGTTCATTTCCTTGCTCTTCTTTGCCCTATCCTGTCTCTAAGATCATACCAGCGAAAAGCATAATATCGAGATCTGGCCTGTATCTATTTGGCCTTCTCCATACAAGTTTTCAAAGCTGAGTGGATGGCGTTACCTTGGAGCTAAGGGAGCTTGTAGCAACTCAGTGATGTGACTAGCATCCGCCTCACGATGCGCCCATGACTTGCAAACTGAGCCATCTGCGCATAAGCAGCGTATGTCATCTCCGCACTTACATACACAAAATAGCATGCTTGTAGAGCGATATTTTATTAAAAAGCTAAACCAAAACAGGGGGACTTAGAGGGTATTTCATAACATATACAAGTTCAATAATCTAACAAGCCAACTTACTACCCTCTAGGGAGTGTCTCTATTAGACCTTGACATTCCCCACGGGACTCCCACCATGGGACTCCTATAGGACTAAATTTTGGTCCCATAGGAGTGGGCCTAGCGGGAGTAGACCCCGTGGGAATTCCTATAGGACCGTAAACAATGCAAACATTTGCTAACATAGGACCGATATTGATTATGTAGTTTAGAGTGGTTTTTTTAGTATTTCACTTACGATAGCTATTTCTAAAGAAATAAGGAATATAAGATTTAAACTAGGTAGAAGTAATATTTACATTATTTTGATATAACTAATACGAAATAAAGTTATTATCCTCTCGCCTTAGCCGCTTTTAACCTCGATTTCTTATTACTATACGTAGCTATATATTATTTCCTTCCTATGTCGACGGTAATAGGATCTTATTATTATTATTAATATCTAATAGAGATATAGTACTCTTCCGTCTCTTTCTAAGGGCGTGTTAACTTAGGATCTAAACACGTAGTTAGGTCTCGCTACTTAGCTCTTCCTTATTATTACTAATCGTATTGGGAGTTTCTAGTAGAAGCTCTACCTCCCTATTCTCCTTAAGAGCCTATCGCTCTTTCTAAGTGTGATAGAGTCTTAGTTAATCTCGAATTTCAGGATACAAAAGAACTAGATATTCGTACGAAGATTCCAGGTGAACAAAACAATCAATCTATATTGTATCTTAGCCCCCACAAAAAGTGAGAGATTTTCTACATTGTACGATGTCGGCATGTACGAGGAGGCTAAATTGCGAGGATCCAGGGTCACATGGGGCCAATTCATCATAAACTCGTAGCAGATATTTCTATAGTTCAACGACTAAGGATTTTTCTTCGCCAGTTCCTGAACCTCTCGTAGGACCTGAGCATCCGACTTCCACATGAGTGACAGCCATACAGGATATCTGAAAATCCATCCAAATAGATATGGCTGAACTATGACATGGAGATGCAAATGATGCACAGAGATAATATCTGGGTAAAATATGTCTCCCAGTAGCGGGCGTCGCCCCCTGTGGTAACCCGAGTGTATATCTGAGGAGGGCAAATCGGGACATCGAGACTCGAGCAGGCGATGCTTCACCCCATCCATGGCCTGTACTACGTTTTGGGACATCCATAAGTTATAGCTCTTTAAAATACGGATTTCGTCTTTGTCTTACAGAGTGAGAGATGGTCACCGTTTAAACCCTCAATATCACGAGCAACATGTTTCTTTGGTATAATAAGCCAATGAAACTGGCCCGAAGACCGAATATTGTCAACTGCAATTAAATTCTCATCCTATATATCATCGTGAGTCAGAGGTGTCGAGGTCATTTAGAGCATAATATGGAACAACTCACTTCGTAGACGATACTGGCGAAGTTCGTCCGATCGCAGAACTTGCAAACATGCTGAACTTGTTCTGTCCACTCAAGACTTATCAAGTAGCTGACAAATTTCTTGATTGGTTCCATCTGAGCGATTGATGAGCCGGGTCCAATATCATCCTCGCCGGAAATTTTATACGACGGTCAGACCATCTGTGGCTGAGGGCGGGGCGCAGGAGCCCGAGAGCGCTAACTGTGGCGGTGTCCGAGGCAGCAGACCAACAGGAATGTTTAAAGGCCTTTTGGTTAGCACCAAGATTTAGAGAACACGAAGCTCTGAGGTGACTGGGTTCTACAGGAGGCGCAGGAATTGCTGATGTGGAGAGGTTGTCCGCAACAGTGGCCTGGAGAATAAGGCCACGAAGCCATCTACTTTTCGTAGGTAATGGTTAGAAGTAAGCTAAAGCTTTAGACTCGAGATATAGACCTTGGAAACAACGTGGAATTCTTTGGGCTTCCTCAAAGACTCAGACGCCACAATGCCACCTGGTTAGCGCGTCTGTAACTCGAATGCCATGCGGCATTGATTGTCGAGTTTGGAAATGATACAGCTGTCCGAGATATCACTTAATGGTTCATTTCCGGTTCCTCCGAGTCCTACTATTCTGCATGGCTTAGCTGAAGTAGATGATCTACACGGGCGCAACTGGAAAATGAGCATTGAGATACTGTACAATAGATATTCGGATCCGGCATGATATTTTAAGAATTGGACAAATAGGAAAAAAGTGGACAACTTAATCTCCAGAGGTAAATAAAGTGAATAACTGAATCCACATCTTTCCAGAATTGACGGAGGAGTGTCTCAAAACTATTTTCCAAGGTCCACTTTTCCCCTGTTCAACAATTAAGCCGTTAGGGCAAGCCGACGATCCAGTGGAGAACAAGGCCGACACTAAGCTTCGCAAGGAATAGATTATCGCCAACAATTCAAGAGTAAACCAAGGTTCAGCTCCGTGAATGGCCCTAGTTTCATTTGTTCGCTCGGTTGGGAAATAGCCTCGTCCATCAAGTTACTGGTCCCAATTTTCTCCTGAATGTTCTCAATGTTCCTCAAAAGTCGAATGAATCCCTAGAATGTCTGTTGACAGCCGAGATGTCGCAGTTTAAGAATGAGTATCCGCTCACTTATGTGCGACTAGACGACCCGCCAGCGACTCAGACGGGTAAGACACGACCATTGTCTACGGCAGAGCAAAAGGCGGTTCTCCAGTCTCAGTCATTTTTCTGGGGTTCTAGCTGGACCCTGGAAATTCTGAGTTGTCTCACGTCGGTCGTGTTTCTGGTTGCGATTATTGTGGTGCTGTACGAGTACGATGGAAAGCCTATGCCTGAGTGGCCGTATGGCATCACGCTTAACGCGTTGGTCTCGGTGCTATCCACTGTGATGAAAGCTTCTATGGTTTTCATTGTTTGTGAGGGTCTGTCGCAGCTCAAATGGTCGTGGTTCAGCAATGGAAATAAGCTCAGTGACTTGGCGCTACTAGATGCTGCTAGTCGCGGACCGGCGGGGGCCTTTATTGCGCTGTTGAGATTTGTTCCTCGGTGAGCTATCTATTTAGGTAATTGTACAACTGTTCGTTTGGACTAACACTGATCAACTACAGCCACCTCGTGACATTCGGATGTTTAGTTCTTGTGCTGGCAGCAGCCACCGATCCCTTTGTTCAGCAGGTTATGGGAATCCAAGAGCGGTCGATTCATGCTTCTGGAAAATCATCCATCCAAGTCTGCAATTCCAGTCTATACACCGATTATGGCGAGGGTGCTGGACCGGGAATGAACAAAGTCCCACTTTCAACTATGGGCGCCATCTACTCCGGTCTCTTCCAAGAACAGAGCCCAAACAGTAAAAATGTCATGATGGAGTGCGCAACCGGAAACTGCACATTCTCTCCATATCAGTCTCTCGGTTTCTGCAGCCGCTGTTCAAACATTACGGACTCTCTAAAACTGAGCAAAGAATCCTTCGGTTCTTATTCCTCATACAACTACAAATTACCCAATGGGTTCTCCTTCGACACGGCCATCAACACGAACACCATGATTAACACTACAACCTACAAACCTCTCATTAAGTTGGACACAACGGATCTCGCACTAATCCTCAATTTCACGGTCATCAGCGCATCCGGCTACGGTACACCCCCCGACGTCACCGCAACAGAATGCGCCCTCTACTATTGTGTCGACACATATCACGCAGCAGTAAACGGCGGAGTATTCACAGAAACTGTCACCTCAAACGACGGCAAGTCAAACTTCAGCTCCGAGTACACCTTCGGTAAAAATGTCGCAATCACCCCAGACACCTGCTACGTGAATGGAACGAGACGCGAGAACAAAGACACTCCGGAGTGCACCTACGAAGTAAACTACTTCAGTACGCTTGCCATGTCAAACTCAGTCTCCCCACTCCTAAAAGGCAAAGGTTCTCGTCCCATTAGCAATCGACCGAGCTGGTCATCCGATACAATCGAAGCCCTCTACGGCACGTATGGCAATTACACCGAAATCAACTCCGTCTTCGAATCACTCGCCTCGTCATTGACGACACATGCTCGATCTAAGGTCTGCAATTCCATCAAGAACGGTACTGCGTGGACCACTCAATCGTATGTCCATGTGCGCTGGCCGTGGATGATCCTTCCTATCGTGCTGGTTGTGTTGAGTTTCGTGTTCTTGGTGATTACTGTGTTCCACACGAGAAGGCAATATATTTGGAAGTCTTCGCCTTTGGCTTTGCTTTTCTCTGATTTGAGGATTGATGGGGATGCTCCGCTTAGACCGGATCCTACGCTCAAGGGCATGGAGATGACTTCCAGGAACATGGATGTTTATTTGGAGAGTTCGGCTGAGGGTCCCAGGCTTAAGGCTGTTCGTACTTCTTGATGTTTCCTTGGGACATTTCGTGTATATATGGTTGGCTGCTTTTGCTCCTGTACATTATGTTAAAGTATAATAATTGTTTACGAATTGTTAAAGATGATGTTTTGTAGTTCCTTCCCTATATACACGCGGTAACCAAAGCAGATTAGAGCATGTATATTATTGATCGAGCGTATATCGCGCGATCAATCACGTTCATGCACTTTGACTCTGGCGATGCTCGAATAATTTTCATGAACCAGGGTCAACCTCGGCATCCGTGGCTGAGGTTGTTTGCCACAGATCGCGGCCGATCGCCTATGGATAACGTCAGCCACCGCGGACAACCCTCGCAAATTTTTGAATTCCTGCCTCTGCGAAAATATAAATACCTGGATCTGTTAAGATCTGAGCAACTGTGTTTCTGACATTCCTACCGGCCTGGATATCCCAGTCTCAAGTGAGAACGGCGGTCCCTTGTACCCCTTGTTGGCAACCTCTACTACGCCCAATCACTCTCAAAGCTACAAACCGTTATAATCTTATGTTCAAGCTTCTCAGAGACGTCCATCGTTATAATATCGCTTAGAACGCACTGCCTTTGAGATAGCCATCTCCCACAATGACAACAACACCAGCAACAGCAGCAGTATTCGGCTGCACAGGAGCAGTCGGCTCCCAAATCCTAGCAACCCTCCTATCCACAGAAACATTCGAATCCGTGAAAACAATCTCAAGAAGACTCCCAAACAACCGGTCCCCCAAACTCCAATCCCTACAAGAACCCGACATCCTCAAATGGGCCGATATGATCTCCACCCTATCACCCAAACCCACAGCAGTCTTCAACGCAGTCGGCACGATGGGAAATGCACCGGGTGGACTAGCAAATCAATGGAAGATTGACCATGACTCAGTCATTGAGAATGCCAAAGCGGCCAAGGCGGCTGGCGTGAAAACATATGTTTTCATTTCTAGCGCTGGGACAAGAAGTCTTCTTTGGGGGTGGGTGCCGTATTCGAGGATGAAGGTTGGAGTGGAAGATGCTATCAAGGCGATGGATTTCGAGACTGCTATTATCCTTCGTCCTGGTATGATTATTGGTAGGGAGAAGGCCAAGGTCGCGCTTTTGGAGGGGTTTATGGAAAGTTTGAATAAGCTAGGACAGGGTGTTCAGGATAAAATTGGTATAGCTCCTTATTGCTGAGAGATTATGTATGAATGAATGCTAACGCGAACTGCAGCTGCGGATCAGGCTGTTATTGGTCGGGCTGCTGTGGCAGCTGCTCGTATGGCTGAAGGTGGGGATGCACCGTCAAAATATTGGGTTGTGCAACAGTGTGATATTATCAGGCTTGGGAGAGATGAGTGGAAGTAGTGATGTCCTATGGTGCTTGAAACTATGAGGTATGAGGTTTAGAGTGGTGTCGGCTAACCCCACCTTCCATGTTGTCTTAAGACAACAGTGATGTATCAATATTGATTCTAACTGCTGTCGATATTGCTTCTTGCCTCTTCACCATACATAACTCTTCAGCATCGCCTAAATTTAGGCCTTGCAGTATTTCTCCGAGACTTCCCCCTCAAAGCTGTATCTTGTCCATGATACAGATTCACTTATACGGCGTACACACGAATTTATTATTTCCCCAACCCTATCTTGAAAGTGATCGCCCTTGTTCTCGTGTACGTACGTATTTATTAATCTTTATTTCTCTGGAACAGTATTCTCTGAAATTGGAAGGCGCGGTGCAAGCACCGTAGCCCTGACAAGGTCCACACTGCAGATCCTTGCTATCGTGCACAACGACTCAGCCACCCCCGCCCGGTGAACTGTCGTCGGCCTTAGTCCGCTTCCTCATTCCTCGTTCTGCGACTTTTCCCTCCTCAAGGCGGACGTGAGCTAGATCTCAATATTCGAACATTCAAGATGAGTTTCGGCTTTAGCGTGGGGGATTTCCTCGCGACTTTGAAACTCGCCGATGATTTGAAAAAGCGGTTTGCACAAGCTCCCAGTGAGTTCAAGGCTATTTCTGGAGAGTAGGAAAACCCCCGATTCTTGGAATATCCAAGTGGCGCTAATTATCGACAATAGGGTTAAAAGCTTGTGGGCTGTCCTCCATGATCTCAATGACATTCCGAAAGAGGGCCTCAGCGTGCACCAGAAAAGCGAAATGGAATCAATTGTTCAAAAAGGCCGTGAGGTGCTGCTAGAAATTGAAAACAAGTTGAGCAAGTACAATGTTCTTGCATTTGCGACTTCAAACTGGAAGAACAAGGCTCTTCGAGCATGGAGTCGAGTCAATTGGGATCCCGCGGAAGTCAACAGCTTGCGGAGTCGCATCACGTCTTGCATTTCGCTTTTCAATTTGGTCATGGGGAAAATCAATCAGTATGGGAGTCTTCTCGTTATCTATCCCCTTTCATCTATGCATAATCTCCTTGATATGCCCCGGAAATTGCATCGCTGATGATGTATTCAGGGATCTGACCCTGGAAATTGGAGCGGAGGTCCATTCGATGAAGGAGAATTGCGACACTCAGCTACGCAATGGAATGCTCCCATGGATTTGTGCGATAGATCCCTCGGAGCGACAGAGTAAAGTCTTCAACATGCGGCGTGAAGGTGCAGGCAAATGGTTCCTGGAAAGTGAGCAATTCCTCCTCTGGATCGCCAGTGAAAAGAAAAAGACCCTGCTCTGTACTGGAGTTCCCGGGGCCGGCAAGACAGTACTTACTTCTATCGTCATTGACCATCTTGAGAAAAAGTTTTCCAATGATGACAGTGTTGCGATCACTTATATTTATTTCGACTTTCGGCAACGACTTGAATTTTTCGACCTCATTTCGAGTCTTCTTAGACAGTTGCTCCAGGGGAACCCAGGCCTGTGTGGAACAATCTCTGATTTGCATTCTCGACGCCAACAAAAACCTAGTCATTTATCTGAAGCGGAAGTTCAAAAGCAACTCGAGCTGGTGATATCTCAGTGCCGCGAGGTGTTCTTTCTCATTGACGGACTAGATGAGTGCTTGGATGTTCGTGTGCGACGTCAGTTCCTCATATGGATCGGAACCCTTCTCAATTTCAATGGTCATACGAATATCAAGGTCCTTGCAACCACGCGGCACGACGATAAATTTGGAAAGGCCTTTCTCAGCGAGGGTCTCACCATGGAAATCAAAGCAAGTAGAGAAGATGTGGAAATCTTTCTTGATGCAAGCCTGGATTATCTTCCGGGGTTCATTCAGAGGAAACCCGAGCTTTGGAACTACATTCGGAATCAGATCATTGAATCCACTGGGGGAATGTGAGTGCCACAATGCCGTACCATCCAAAATATACTAATTTATCCCAGGTTTCTGCTCGCCCGTCTCTATTTGAATCTACTATTGGATGAGAAGAATGAGAAAAGAGTTCGAACCCTAGGCACTCAATTTCAAACTGGCTCAGGCGCATATGATCATGCATATGATGACACCATGAAGAGAATTGAGCAGCAAAGCTCCTTTTCCCAGGACCTTGCCAAGAGGATTCTAGGATGGGTTACGTTCTCGGCACGACCACTTACCGCTATTGAGCTGCAAGACGCTATTGCAGTCGAAATTGGAGAGCCTGAATTCGACCAAACGAACATAATAGACATCGAGGAGATGATCTCTGTCTGCTCCGGTTTGGTCGTTGTAGAGGAAACCAGCAACATCGCTAAGCTTGTACATTTTACAACTCAAGATTATCTGAAACGCACGTGCAAGTCTTGGTATCCCGATGTTCATGAATTTCTCACAAACACCTGTCTTACATATCTGTCGTTCGACAACTTTGATGGTCCTTGTTTGACCCAAGATGACCCTAAAGTACAGCGAGGAGAGTACCCGTTTTATCAATACTCGGCTCATGAGCTAAATACCCATCTCCGCCAGAGTCTTGGAAGTGACTCCCTTCTCCCTGCATTCATCGGAAACGATGCCAAAGTTTCTCGGTGCATGCGAGAAATCTTCGGTCTGTCAGGAACCGAATGCGGTTTCACAGGACTCCATCTTGCCTCACTATTTGGCCTTGAACACATTGTAGAGGGATTCTCCCATACTGGCAGCAATTTCGATATCTGGGACTATCTTGGCCGCACGCCTCTTATATGGGCTGCAGGGTCTGGCAACGAGACAGTAGTCAGTCTATTACTTGACCGTGGAGCTGACCCCAACTCTGCGACAAAGGAGAGCTTCACACCACTCTTCTACGCTGCAGCCTACGGCCATGCCGCAGTGGTTAGACTTTTGATTGATGGAGGTGCCAATGTCAATTTTGAAAACAAAAGCAACGAGACCCCAGTCTTCTTCGCTGCGAAAGGTGGTGGTGGAGTCCGACTCGGTCCTAGATCACTATTCACCATGGGTGATCATGCATTGGTTATAAAATTGCTACTCGACGCAGGAGCTAATCTTGACCACGAAAACGATCGTCATGAAACACCCTTGCATGCAGCAGCAAATAATGGCCATGAGGCGGCGGTTAGACTGCTTCTTGAGAGGAATGCCAACATCAACTCAAATCACAGTAACTACTGCGGTCACGAGCGCATCCCAGCAGCTCCTCTGACCGCCGCAGCAAGAAAGGGCTACGTCAAAATCACCAAACTGCTCCTTGAAAGTGGTGCAGACACTCCATTCCGGTTAATGGACACAAACCTGCCGCCTTACTTTTATGCGCTGTCTTGTCTATCAAAGTCACTTATAGATAAAGACGAAAGTTCTTTCACAGCAATACTTCAAGAGTCTGGTGACCCAAGCTTCCGAGATGAGTTCGAGCGCCTGCCATTACACTGGGCAGCTTCGCGAGGCGACAGCGCTTTGGTGCAGCACATTTTGAAGGCCGGATGTAACCCGAATCCCAAGGACATATTTGGCAGAACACCATTGTTTGCAGCCGTTTGCAAGGACAGAGTCAACGTGGTGAAAGTGTTGCTCGACCACCCCGACATCGACGCCCAAAGTGAAGACAAGCTGGGAGTTACTCCCCTTCAAGAGTCCTGTAGAAGACAAAGGTCCTCTTACAAAGTCCCTTCTTTCGCAAGAGGAAACAGTGCAGGACCTTGGGATGAGGTCACCAATCTTCTCAAAGTCAAGACTGGACTGCGTGAGGAATGTCTGCTCAACGCCAACGTCCCCTGTTTCCCCCGAGATTGTCCCCCGCAACAGGCCTTTTACGAACATTGTGATGTCTGTCTTGACATAATCCTGTTAGGCGGTTCAAGGGTATGCGCGAGCTGCAACATGATCACTAAGAAGGACGGCACCTCTGGGGCCACCGTAATATATTGTAGGAACTGCATTCCGGGTGTAAAAGATTGTCCACTTTGTGGGCAATCGTTTTGAGAAGTGAGCATATGCCGGAGATCTCTATATTGCAACGCAACTTGATTCAACCCAGTCATATTGAGTTAGTACACAAGTTGCTGTTGGAGAAAGCAAACCTGCCTAATCCGGAACTTTACTTCTTGCCTGAATTAATGCAAAAAGTCGAGCTATGTGCCTCGGTGCGAGAAAAGCCCCTGTCGGTTGATTCAGGCAGTTCACTGGACCCGTGAGCCGAAGTCGCTAGCGCCTTGAGCATGACTTTAGTCCCTTATGTTCAAAGGAAGCTTGCGAATATTTATAACCTTGAAAAATTGTAAATCTGGAACATCATGTGTAAACAAATTATGTTTAGGAAATAGAAAAAGTCTAGAAGCTCAATGTGTGTGCCAGCCTATAGAAAGAAAAATAAATTGTGAAGCTTCCCGCCTATGATTAGGTTGTGTGAGAAATGCCTCCAATTGGTAAACGAGACAGGTGTAATTTTTGATGTGAAGGTAGAAGTACGGTTTATGTCAGCCACGCCCGGGGATCGTACCTTTTCAAGCGCTAATCCTGCGCATCGGTCACGAACTAATGCAGCAGAAAATACAGTAGTAGGGGCTAGATTGATTCGTGCTCGTTGTGATTCAGAGGAAGATGGGGTTGATCTTGTTTTGGAGAGAATGCATCAGGCTCTGGATATACCGAGGAAGCACTTATTGTTGGAAATCTGCTTGACTCTGCCTATGTGAAGAATTATGGGGGACCTTGGTGACAAGAGAGGAGAAACGGCTCCCGGGGCCGTAATTTCCAACCATGAAGAGGGACAAGGGCCCCGGCGGGTAATTTGTGCTAGCCCCAAAACCACACCAATTAGCGACGGTTAACTTGCAGGAAGGGGCCATGTTCTCTCTGATCTTGGGCGCTTATAGGAGGTTGATCGATTACCTGGAGAGAAAGCTAGACAGAAAAAGAGGGGAAACTGGGGCTACTCGATTATATGAATGTATTTGTGATCCATTTCTCAAACAAGCCCTACTGGTAAAATTTTTGCATAAATGTCGAGTTTCTGGGCCTCTCAAACTCGCCTGGCGATACGAGGAGCTCTCTTTCTGGCAGTTCTCGTCCCTTCGACGACGGCAGAATGTTACTGGCCTAACGGTGGCGCAGCCGGAAATTATGTTTCTTGTCCTGATAGCAAGGCTTGCTGCCTCAAAGGCGAGGCTTGTCTCTCGAATGGTCTCTGTTATGCAGCGAGATACAACATTGCATACCGCGGTGCCTGCACGGATTCATCATGGCCGATAGCCGATTGCCCCCGGGCATGTTATACCAGTACGTATGATATGTCACGGGAACTTGCGGCCAATTCTATCCAAAGGCTAACGACGTACTTCTCTGTTCTTTATAGCAATCACAGACCAATGGGCTAATCTCCTGACATGCTCTGGCACCCTGAGAGGCAATTTTACTTGCAGTATTGCAGTCGATGGCAAGACTGCCTGTGAGCAGAGTGTAGAAACGTGGATGTGGGAGGGAGACTCAGGTGTCAATGTGACTGCCGCTCAGAATGGCGTCTCGTCTACTTCATCAACCGACACATCATCTGGCTCTACGACCAACTCGACCAGCTCTTCGACCAATTTCCCGTCCACTACACCCTCATCACCTTCCTCAACACATACTTCTGTGTCAACCACGGACAAAAGCGGATCGTATAAGTCAGTACTTGGCCTTGGAGTGGGATTAGGTGTAGGCCTTGGTGTGCCTTTGATACTGGCTGTGTCGGTCTTGACGTTCTACTGCCTTCGAGTGCGACGCCAATCCAAGGCTACAGGCAATACGCAGAATGCAACCTGGAACTTAATTGGGTATCATTCGAGCCAAGTAATAAGGACCAAGGAAGCATCTTGTGGGCCATGCGAGTTAGGAGCAGAAAGGCATCCCTCGGAACTACATGGATAAGTTATGGATAGGTATGTGGGACAGCCTAGAAACGTTCCTGTTGGGTTCTAATTTCATCTCACGGTTGTGGGTATTGTCGATAATATGCAGATTAGATGGCCGGATACCAGATCTCAGGAATTGCAACCGAATATTGAACTTTGCCTGTCCGTGACCATCTGCGCACAACGTCCACCGATGTGGTTGGAGAATGAGTTTGACTCATCCAGACACAGGCCAGAAATCCCCAATTTCATCTCATCGGACTCCCCACGAGCTTCAATAAATTTCGTAGATTCTGGGCGACATATTTCGAAAGGCTAAATTGTAATCAATTTGATTAGAGGCCGGATATATGTAAACTAGGTTGTTGAGCGAGATCTCCATAGAGGGCATCTAGCATCACAGGTGTTATATTTGATGATCGGCCAGCAGGTACTAGGAAATCTGGCACAGCCGAACAGCTGCTAATTTTTGCGCACGTTAGTAACAGAACGCTCACTACATATAGCACAATAGGCACCACGTCCAGAATAGATGAAAGGCTGGTTGTTCCCAGCCTTTGAAAATAGTTGAATATTGATCATTCTGCGATGAAAGGAATTGGGAAATAAGTACTCATAACAAGCTGAAATCGCGACAGTTAAATAAATCAATCATGTGTGCGTAGTGCTCTCTAATCACTAACTGCTTAATGCCTAGACAAATTACAAGGACTCTTTATGGCCGTTCATCTCTATGTCGCTTCACCCAATCGCTAATATCGCTAACAAAGCGTCGCGCTGCTCCCGCTTTCACGCCGTGCTTGACAAAAAAATTCAGGATCTTGGTCTTCGTGGATCTGCTGAAGTCCAGACAATTTTTAAGGGCCACATCGCGGGCTATCTGTATATTTTCCCTAAAGGTCTCGCTGCTCACCCGTGACTGATGCCAGGTAGCATATTCCTCGACTGCTTTATTGAGAAGCCCAGGAATATCAAGTGAATCAATTTTCTGAGAAGCTGGTTTCGTAAGTTGAGAACCAGTGGGAATTGTAACTTGGGATGACTGAGCTAGGAGGACGTGAAGGTGGATCGGAGGCTATGTGGATACGCTTGCAGAGTTATCCGAGCTCTTCTTCAATCTTTCAAAACGCTGGTTTTCCTCTGCATAAAGCTGTTCGCGAAGGCTATCAGGAATGTCATCATGGGTCTGGATCACCCCTCCTTGTTGCACGTATTTGATGAGACTTTTCAGGTGGTCTGATCGTAGTTTATAGTGTTTTTTTCCCATCCGGGTCCTGCCAGCAGTATTGTCCTTCGTGGCGGCATGGAGGTCCAGGACATCGCATGATTCTGTAGACATCCCGCCAAACTGATTGCTGACCAGAAGCCTGTTCGGCGTCAATCTCAGCATCTCGTACACCGAGCATCCTTTTCGTGACCGATAATTTTCCTCGCTTATCCAATCTGGACGAATTATCCTCTATATAGTTAATGGATATCTTCAGTAGAAGCTGCTTGCCAAGGTGGCAGAGATGGGCCCAGGCTAGCAGCTGCTTCTCCACTGGTGTCCAATCAACACTAGTGCCCTCAAAATTCTTCGTAAGATCTCGTTGGGAACTGTCATTTACAGATACGACAACAGAAGTATCATCTAATCTTACCCGTCTGTGAGAGGCTATTTTCCGACGCAAACGATCCGCAGCTTCCTCTTTTATCTTCTGCCAGTAAGAACTAGGTGGCAGAACCAAGTCTTGTTCCGTGTCCTTTTTCACAGCTCGATTATTCAGGGTAACCTTCCACTCGATCTGATAGTGAACACAGTTCGAAGATTGTCCATCCCATGTTGCTCCATTTTTTTCAGCACCTGGCAGTAGTTCGTTAGGTTGTAATGGTTGATCCTACTTCCGAGGTAGAGAGAGCTACAACGAAGGCGTATGATGAGGCTCTCGGATTTATAGATCGGGTTTTGGGCGCGATGTGGAAGCTGAGGGCGCGGTTAAACTATGAGAGAAATGTAATAGCCTAGAAGGCCACCTGTAAGAGACGTTATTTACGGTGTGTTTCAAGAATTTATCCAGCTCTACACAAGGCTATCATAGCGAACACTTAGTTTTTGAAGAATGCGATTCACTAAAATAATGTACAGGAAATCTAAAACACATCTCGAATTGTAAGGTATTTCAACGAAAGTAAGAAAATAGCACATGAAAACAAGTCACCAACTATCATAAGACAGGTTAAGGTGAGTGAGGTATCATCCGACCAATCACTCCGAATCGCCCAATAAAATGAATGCGCTTAGAAGGTGAAGGCAAGAGCCAGAGCAGCGATCAGGGCACCGGCAGCAGAGCCAGTGACACGGGCAGCGGAGCCAGTGTAGGCGCTGGAGGAGGGAGAGGCGGAAGAAGAGGAGGAAGATCCAGAGCCGGAAGCAGCATCGGAGCCGGAGGAAGAAGATCCGGAGCCGGAGGAGCTGGAACCAGATCCAGAGGCGGACGAACCGGAGCTAGTGGAGGCAGCACCGGTGGCGGAGGCGGAGGCGGAGGCAGAGGCAGAGGCAGAGGCGCTCTTGGAAGCCTTAGGCTTGGTGGAGGGGCGGCCAGTCACGGAGGCGGAGGCAGAGCTGGCAGGGGAAGCAGAGCCGGAGCCGGAAGCAGAGCCAAAGCTGGAGCTGGAGCCGGAGGCATCAGAGCCAGACCCGGAGGCGGAAGAGGAGCCAGAGCCAGTGGCAGAGGCAGGGGCAGCGGAAGAAACGAAGCCGGACTTCTCGGCGGCCAGGCCAGTGTTGGAAGAGGCGGCGGCGGAGCTGGAGGAAGAGGAGGCCTTGCAGGTGAGGTCGTATAGAGGGGTGGTGTTGTCACCGGAGCTGGAGACACCGAAGCTGGGGCTGGCACCCTCCTCGTTGAGGATGTACCACCAGATGTTGGTGTTGCCGAAGAGAGGGCAGGCAACCTCATCCCAGTACTGCTTAGCGTTGGCAGCGCTGGCAACAGCCAGGTTCTGGCTGTCACCGGTCACGGGCCAACCGGTCTCGGTGATCCAGACCTCCTTGTCGCCGGCGACGGCCTTGGTTTTGGCAACACCGGTATCGAAGAGGGACTTGGCGTCGTCGATGGAGTTGGCCTTGGTGTTCTCGTAGAAGGGGTATCCGTCGAAGCCGAGCCAGTCAACGGCCTCGATGACAGCAGAGTTGGAGCTGTTGGACCAGGAGTTCCAGGTGTCGACGTGACCGATAGAGGCACCGCTCAGGGTGGTGCCGGAGATGGCGGAGCGGACCTGGTTGATGTAGTCAACGAGCTCGGAGGGCTCAATACCGACACCAGCGTTGGCCTCGACACCGGTCTGCGAGTTACGGTAAAGATCCTCGCTGCCGACGGAGATACCGACGACGAGCTTGGTGAAGTCCTCACCGTAGGTGTCAATGGCGGACTTGAGAGCGGCGATCTCGTTGGCCATGCCACCACCGGAGGCCCAGAGACCCAGGAGAAGGGTAACCTTTTCCTTGATGGCGGCGGGGATAGCCTCAATGGGGCCGTTGGTGGTGCCACCCTGGATCATGGTGTAAAGACGGGCACTGGTGAAGGCATTATCAGTGCCAACGAGGTTCTTGGCAGTGTTGAACTCGGTCTCGAAGTCGGACTGAGTCTTGACAGTGCCGTCAGCCTTGAGGGCACCGTAGTTGAAACCCTGAGAGACAGCCTCGGAGGTAGCGACGGCCATCGCGAGGGCAAGGAACTGAACGGAACGCATTTTGAAAGTGAAACGAGTGTTTGATAGACAAATGAAAGAATTGGAGATGTGTGAAAGAAGAAAGAAAAAGCCTGGAGTAAAAGAATGTAGCCAGGGAAAGAAGATGAAGAAGATGAAGAGGCACAAATGGGAAAGAACAGGATAGAAGAAGGAACGAGAGTCGAGTCTGGACAATGAAAACTCGGTCTAGATTCCGCCACTGCGCAGAGTTGCGGATCGGGTGGGGCGAGACACGTTTGCCGGCCCACTTTAACTGTGGTTCTCTCAAGCCGATTGGCTAAACCAGGACCTGACTGGTTCTAATTTTATGCAAAATTCGTGGGTCTCGAAGGCTTCAGTCGATGATTTGCCCGATTCCCCGGATATTCCCATCCGTTTCGCTGCCTTTTTTCTCCGTCCTTGGATCGGTCAATTGAAAATGTTTGACCCTGCCCTTGGCCCTATGTCATGGTGGGTCGGAGGCGAGGACGGATATGCAGGAATTCTCGGAGGCACCCTGACGGGCGGAGACTCCGCTAGCATCCATTCTGATCAGGGGTTTATTAATCTCCTTATATTGCCTATTATTAGATCCCCCCTGTTGAGATCTTATAGATTCGGGATTGGCAGGGGGATCTACGTGCTGCTTGTGCTTTTCTTAGACTGCATCTGGACCGATGTCTTGGAACTATTGAGTTTTGTTAATCTATATCCCTTATTGTCTATTTTACTGTAGACGTCCAGGTTCGTCATTTGATCTGATCTTTCTTTTTGTAATGAATAGTAAGTAACATTGGAATACATCCATGGAGGTACCCGAAGTACCCGAAGACAATGCGATTAACACTCCGGATGTGTGGGGCCACCCTCGGATACCACCGTCACTCTTGGCAGCCACTTCGACGTGGGATACTCCCAACCCGACCCATCATGTTGGAGATTAACTCAAAGGCAGATCAAACTTACTGTAACAGCCAGTGATGCGACGTTTCTCTGAATGAGATTGAGCCGAGGCAATGGCTTTTCCAGCAGGTCCGTGCTATAACAGGGGCCATACATTTGTATATAGTGCCATGAAGTACTTGGATAGTTTATACGAAAACCTCGAAGCGAGTGTAACATTTTATGCATTGGTTTTGCCCTTTATATTTCTGTTTTCTAGTAGCACAGCGTGGCACTACACCTGGCCGCGCTTTATGGGGCGTATGCTGTGATTTGTTACACGATATACTCTGGAATCGGTCAACCGGAGCAGAAGAAGGGCATGAGGCTGTCAGGACCCATAACAATAATACAGCAGAAGTCCGAGTGGAAGTAAACGCCAGCTGTGCTGTAATCAGCTGTTATCAACCCCCCGATAACTGAAAGTGGGGTAAACACGAAGATCGCAACCCCTTCCTTCCTACATCAACTCAAATCATGGAGATCACCAAGCAACATGTCGAAGATATCTTGAATGACATTGCGCGGCGTTGCCGAGGCCCAGGGGGTGCGGTTGCCGTCGTCAAAGATGGCGAGGTCATCGGCCAGCGGATCTGGGGCTTTGCCAACCTGGACACATTGTCTACCCTCACAGCCGATACACTGTTTCCCATTTGTTCAATAACCAAGCAATTTGTCTGTGCTCTCTTGATTGATTTAGAGCGAAATCCTCCTCCAGCCTTGGCTGCTCAAGGCGACGTTCGACAGCAGCTTTCAGCTCATCTGAGAGACATACTAAGCCCAGAACTGAAGGACAGTGGCTTGACGATTGACCAACTATGCAGCATGCAATCTGGTATGCGCGACTACTGGGCTATGACCACTCTAATGGGCGCGAAGCCCGATGACGAGTTTTTGATTGCTAGGGATTGTCCTCCAATGCTTGAGCTCACGAAATCATTCCAATTCGAGCCGGGAACGGAGTTTTCTTATTGCAATCTCAACTTCCACATTGTTGCTCAAGCAATTGAACGTGCGACGGGTGAATCTCTCGGGAAGCTGCTCGAAGAGCGAGTTCTGCGACCGGCTGGCATGGCCACGGCTTTCCTCTGCCCGAATACCGCAAAACATCCGCCTCCCTGTGTGGGCTACGAAGGAGATGAAGGGCATGGATACGTGCCAGCGGTCAACCGAATGGAATGGGCTGGTGATGCTGGACTCGTCGCTTCGCTGACTGATATGATTGCCTACGAGAAGTATCTCGATCGGTGTTCTTCTGATCCAGTCAGCTGGTACAATGAAGCCATTGCAACACCCAAGTACAAGGATGGTACTCCCGCGCGATACCGGTTTGGGTTGGGTCATGTTGACATTAATGGTGTGCATACAATTGGCCACGGTGGTGCGCTGCGAGGATATCGACTGCACCGGCGTCATGCACCCGCAGAGCGCCTCTCTGTCGTTGTTCTGTTCAACAACGACGCAGACGCGAGTGGACCCAATATTGATATCTTCCGAGCTCTGTTAAATCTTCCTAAGCCTGAGGTGACGTCCATCCAACCAGCCAACGAATGGTTCGGCGCCTTCCTTGACGAGGACACCCAGTTGTCAATTGTCGTTACCAAGGCTGAGAAGCAAGGTGAGGTAGCCATCAGCTACGCTGGCTCTCCAGAACCAATCCGGCTCAGCTCCCGAATCTCCGGTAAATCAGACTCGATGATCGCAACAATCGATGGAGACTTATTGATTATTCATCGCCTGGGCGACAATCGCAAGCTCGCTGCTCGGCGCATTACTCCTAAGGAATCTGTACTTAAAGAAGATTTTTTCCAGGGTCCATATCACTGCGCCGAGATTGATTCTACCTTCCACTGCTTCGGTGAAGCAGGGATGTTTTACGGTATATTCGCTGGGTACCTGGGCCGGGGGCATGCGACGCCCATGCGATATCTCGGAGACGATGTCTGGGTTTTAACTTGTCCTCGTGGTTTGGATGCACCGGCTCCAGGGGACTGGACTGTAGTGTTTCAACGAGATGAGCAGGGTTCCGTTGCCGGATTTACAATTGGTTGTTGGTTGGCCAGGGGGCTCAAGTATGAAAAATGGCCGAAGCATACATGAGAATGAAAAGCGTGCGGTCCGATCTGATTGGTTCTGAATGATCCTGATGAAGCCAGTCGGCAATATGCTTTCCCCCCATCATATGTCCATTTATCCTATTATCCAATTGTATCCCCCGTTTCTAAGTCTCGTACTCATAATCCTCATCTGGACAGAAGAACCACCCCGCCCTAGTCAACTCCTCAAACAACGAACCCGATAAAGGAAATCCCCCCTGATGAGTGTCTCAGGACAAGTGTACCGCCATTGTTCTTGGAACAGGTAGGTCGAGACTCGTAGGAAGCCAGAGAACCTTTTCACCATTCAATTTTATCCATTGTCCCTGCTCAACGGAGATGCTTGGATTCGCATGAGATAGACGAGATGTAAGAATGTCACACCTGGGTTGGATATCAAGGACGCAGGAATTAGTGTGGATACATAAAGCGTCGTAAGAAAATTCAAGTGTAGTGGGGATTTGTTCAACATTCCAAGTTTGTGTAAGCGCGCCTGTTGCCGGATTCCAGAGCCGCACTGTTTTATCATCAGAGCCGGACGCTAGTAGCCGGCTGTTAGGCGAGAAGGCCACGGACCGAACCCAATCCGAGTGGCGTTTAAGGGTTAGGGTAAGCGCGCCTGTCTCCGGGTCCCAGAGTCGTACTGTCTGATCACTAGAGCCGGACGCTAGCATCCGGCCATTAGGCGAGAAGGCAACCGACAGAACCCAACCTAAATGGCCAAGGGTCTGGGTAACCGCGCCTATCGATGGGTCCCAGAGCCGCACTGTCTCATCATTAGAGCTGGACGCTAGTAGCCGACCGTTAGGCGAGGTAACTAAGCAAGTTAAACTTGCTTAGTTACTCTCCACGTGCGAGTGTAATTAGACTAATATAGTCACTATCTCCCCAATAAGCTTTATAAATAGCGAATCAAACGAAAAGGAAGCCCCACTAAGAAATTCTAGCTCTTTTATATCACACGGCGACGGAAGTTCTTTTATAGAGTTTGAGGGTCGAAACTATCTACCTACTTACTTACTAAGGTAAAATGCTGCCTCTTGATAGCAATTATATTATTAGCCTTCGCGGACCTCTCACTAGGTCCTGGGCAAAGTAACAATCGGCTTCGCACTGTCTACGAGTTGCTTGCGCTGCGCGTGCATTGGCCAAGGTTAAACCACCGCAAAATCATCAACTCAACTAGGAAAAAATGACAACTGCACCATCAAAATATTAACGAATGGGACATTGAAATGGTCCTTTTTATATCCGGAATTTCCAGGTTTGAGGTGCTGGATCTGGTCTGGGTTTGAATGATATACGGTATTACATGTCCAATTTAAATCTCCCCGAATGCGATTGCTATCCAAAATAACCAATATTTAGCCCTTCGCAACGATATCTCACAGCGAGAGACGAAAAGGCAGGAAAAAGGGTTCGGAGAAAAACAGGAAAAGAGAAAGTACTGCAAGCACAAATGCGGATCGTATACTGTTTGTCTGGCCAAAAACCTCAAGGCGGGCCGGGCCAACCAGCAGAAGTAGCAGCAGATTACCTATCGCCGTCCATACCTTCCAATCAGTTCGCTGTTCTCACTATGTGCCATACTAGTCACGCACTCGCTTACACAAAACCAGACTGTGGGACTACTCCAGAATGCGCCCTCGCAATAACCTCAACATCGGTGACATGTCCCTTGAACTTACGGAAGTTCACCTTCTTTTCAAACCTGTAAAAAGAAGATATTATTAGCAAATAATTCGGCTACAATTGTCGCGTTAAAAAGGGCGCTTCTAAACTTACAATTCATCGATTTCGGCTGGCGTTCGGAGCGTTACTTCGGGCAAAATGAACCAGCCAATAACCACGGCGATAGAACCGGTAGCTGCGAAGCTGTATTCGGAGAGTTAGTGCAAGAGAAAACAGAAGGTAAATCTATCAACTTTAATGGAGACAGCGAGATAGTGCACATACAAGAAGCCGGTCTTGACGCCCCAATGTGCATTCCCATTAATCATCAAGGGTGTGCAGAAGCTGAACATGATTGAGAGAAAGTTAGAAGAAGCCAGAGACCACCCAGCTGTTTGCGCTCTCAGGGCCTGTCTTGGAACTTCAGCTGCGTAGGCATATCCAATAGCGGAGGCACCCGTCGTTGTAAAGGTTGCCAAACATGCAAAGAAGATCTAGGTACATCGTTAGACACGGGCATTGATAATAAATGGACATAAAAGACCAACCAAAAGGGAGCTGGTAGCTTTCTGGGTGTAATCAAAGCACCCGATTATGCCGAGGCATAGAACAGATAAAACTGTGACAGCGTACGGCCACACGGTAAGGGGGCGACGGCCAAAGCGGTCCGTGAGCGTCGAGGTGAAGATCATTGAGATAATTTGTACGCAAGAGAGGATCAGGGTCACGAGGAATGGATTCTTGTTGCCAGCATATTGGACTAAACGTTCGTGTCAATTGACCCGGCAGGAAGGGCTTTTGTCACTTACAGAAGTAGGTAGCATAAGTATTGAACACAGATAGTCCAACGAACTGTTGCGTGATCTTTGGCCATGCTGCAATAATGAATCGGACACCGTTCCTACCGCGGAAAATAGACAACCATCCTTCTTGTGCGTTTTCTTTCGCAGCACGGCGCTCCGCAGCGACAGTGGCCACCATGGCGTTCTATTAGCATGTTACTATAAGGCAGCCAACATAAGATAGCTTGGGGGAAAAGCGCACTATTTTCTCCTGAACATCATATCCTTCTACACGGCCATAGAACTGCTGAAGGATCTTGGTCGCCTGATTTTGTTTATCCTTGCTGACTAGCCACCACGGAGATTCTGGAATAATGAAGACGATAATGACGATGGAAATCCCGATCATCGCCCACTAGTAGAGCTAGGTTAGCATGGTTGGATTTATTAAAGCCGTCCTCAGAATCTGTTGCGTACCTGAGTATATATAGCGGTTCGGAAGTCATATGGATCATGAGCATTGAGTCTGTTGAGTGCTACTGAAGCAAACAGCTGTCCTAAAACAAACCAGCTACGTTGGTATTAGCAGGTGTCTCAACAAGGAGTGCCACAAAAGACCTGTCTCACAAAGTATACGCATTAATAAGGAAGCCCTTCAATTGGGTGGGTGCGATCTCTGAGATATAGAAAGGCAGAGTGGCCTGTAACATGCCAACTCCTAAGCCGGAGAGGAGTTTTGCCCCAAGCCAGGTACCCCAACCAGTAGCGAATGACTCTGCGAAGATACTCTATGAAAAAGCAAATTTGGTCAGCACCCTACATCCTCTTCTCAGTGAAAGGGGGCCTTGCTAAACGGTGCAGAGATTGCAGGGTGCGTTGGTCTTACCGCCGTAAGGAAGACGGTTAGGATGTAAAAGGCCACTTTTCGACCAAACTTTTCGGTGGCGTATTGAAGAAGCTGAGGAAATCTATGTTAGCGTATGCCTGTGTATCTCCCGGGATCTATATTTTGATGAATTACACACAATTTGACCGATTGTTTGACCAGCAGCCTGGATTCCCCCCACGCGGAGACATATTTGCTGTTGATGATCTTTGTCTCAGAAGAGGTCATTTGACGGATGAAGCCCTTGTTGGCGACGATGCCACCATTAAGATTGATTTCTATTGGTTGTTATTTCAAAAGTCCAAATGGGCAGCCTAGTTGACACTTACGGTAGCCATCCAGCGAGGCGCTGAACGCTGCAATCATTGCCAAGGCGGACACCCGTTTGTATCTCTTTACACTCTGCCATACACCAAGGTCATCTTCCTTGGTACGCATGATAGGGATGTTAACTTTCTCAATGTGAGCTTCCATCCCCTTTGTGGCGATGGAATGCTCAATGTTCTCAGTCATAGGCTTGATTGAAGCCATTTTGACCGTCGTGTGTTTCGTGATGGGAGAAATAACTTTGAGAATGCCTTCCGGTTATTGAGAAGAGGATCAGACACGCTTCAAGTACATGCCAACCTGGTGTCGCAAAGGTGTGCGAGAGAGAAGAAGAAAACGCAGCAGGAAAGCAAGGTACTTTATAAGATAATGCGGAACTAAAGCTTGTTTTCATGAATGTTATACTGGGTTTAAGTCCGCTTGGTCAGGTACAGACAAGGTACCCCGGATTTTCCAGAATCTGACACTTTACGCGGAGGTTGGGGCTGACCACCGTTATCGCCGGGACTACACCAGAAACATGATTTGACAATTCCAATCCTATTGCCACTCGACTTGCGAGAATATGGAGGCAGCTGACCGACCGTAAACTTATGGCGGCTATTGATCCAAAACTCCAAGTGCCCTAGACAGCATGATTAAGCCTTTTGAGCACAATAAGCACGGAGTTTATACAAGTAGTGTAGTCATTGTCCAATTATATTGCGACCACTTGCGACCATAGCCATGGGTTGGCTTATCCTCTCTTATCCCTCGGGGACTCAAATGCTAACTACGTGAAGGCAAATCATCGGCTATTATCTTATGGGGGTTATTCGTCCAGAACGCGAAACTCTAGATCAGTGGTATTACGTTTTTCTAGAACTAAAAGCATGGCGTACATATGCGAGTTCATCTTCCAATCATATTGCTCTTCGCATTAGGGTAGCGCAATTCTTCCCCGCGTTTCATCCGACAATTTTGGCTCCCGCCTCGGCACCGTAATCCAAATGAGGTTAAGCCTTTTGAGCATAGTAAGCCCGAACTTTATACATTTGCCATTGTCCAATTATATTGCGACCACTTGCGACCATAGCCATGGGTTGGCTTATCCTCTCTTATCCCTCGGGGACTCAAATGCTAACTACGTGAAGGCAAATCATCGGCTATTATTCTATGGCGGTTATTCGTCCAGAACGTGAAAAACTCTAGATCAGTGCTATACGTTTCCCTAAAACTAAAAACAATGGCGTACATATACGAGTTCGTTTTCCAATCATATTGCTCTTCGCATTAGGGTAGCGCAATTCTTCCCCGCGTTTCATCCGACAATTCGGCTCCCAACTCCTCATAGTTGCCCGAATAAGGACTGGGTAGCAGAATAAACTCCACAAAGTCCCTATCGATCACATGAAGGCGCAGTGTGTCCCCATTTTGAGTTTCTACCTGCTTGGGTTCATATGCCGACTGGCCAACAGGATGAGTGGGCATTATTTGCCAACCATAAGCAAGGACACGATAGCCATTCGTAGTAATTGTTGATACGGTTCTGCCGAGTTTGGGAATTGGCCAACAATCAGCTCCACCTATTGGATCTTTTAAATCAAGCATTATCCAAAATTAATTTACATCCAAGTGTGCTTCTTGAATTCCGGCATCGAAGTGGTCCACAGTGATATCCCAAGCAAAAGTCCACCATCGCTCTTAGTACTACGGACGGAACGTGGGATTTTCAACTCATCCGCTTCTTCCTACAAAAAGAGGCAAGGAGGCTTGAAGATGGCTCAAGGCAGCAATTATCCGAGGTTCTCAGAACGACCAGTTGGCAAACACATCGATAGCATCTACCGAGATCGTTTAGAAACGTTTGTTCAGCCTGGTCAATATGAGACGCAAAATATTCTCTCGTAAGGCTCGTCACTTCCCCTTTATCTTCAAAGACTGATTTGCTTCTTCAATTTCGGCCAGATCGTTGTATAACGCAAGATACTCAGGCGAACCATCATTGAAACTATCTGTGTGGTCTGCCCCGGACCTTTCCCGGCCGACTTTTAAGGAAGCCATAACGCAGCAGTTCCAGCCCACTGAGGCAGGCCAATCCTTCGGACCTGGATGGTCTACGCACTGGTTCAAGGTGCAAATGCGAGTACCCCCAGAGCTGAAGAATGAAGAGACCATAGAGTTACATTGGGATGCTAGTAACGAAGGTATGATCTGGGGCGAAGACGGGCACCCACTGCAAGGCCTCAGTGGAGAAGGAGAGCGGGTAGAATGGATCATTCCATCTAAATTTAGGGACAGCAAGGAACACACATTTTATTTGGAAATGGCGTGCAACGGCATGTTTGGTCTCGGAAAGGGCGCAAGAAATCAGCCTCCAGATCCCGACCGATATTTTACCCTGGAGAAAGCTGAGATTGTGGCCGTCAACAAAGAAGCACGGGCATTGTATTTTGACTTTTCCGTCATTAGCGGTATGCGATGGATTCCACTGCGCGCCTTGACAGGCATAACTGACCACCTACAACATTAGACGCGGCGCGGCAATTCCCTGAACACTCATGGGAGCGCCATAAGGCACTCAAGGTTGCCAATACTATCATTGATGTATTTACGGCCGGCGACGGAAGCGATACTGCTATTCAGGAGGCCAGGAAATTAAGCCGCGAGTACCTTGGAGACAAAGTCGACCAGGAAGGGGTTTATGACAGCGATACCGAGCCAATCGTCTATGCTATTGGGCACTGCCATATTGATACTTGCTGGCTATGGCCATGGGAAGAGACAAAACGGAAAGTGGCACGGTCCTGGTCTAATCAGTGCGATCTCATGGATCGCTATCCAGAACATCGTTTTACTGCATCTTCTGCCCAGCAATTCAAGTGGCTTAAGCAATATTACCCGTCGGTATATGCGAGGGTCATGGATAAAGTCAAGCAAGGGGCATTCCAGCCTATCGGTGGCAGCTGGGTAGAGCATGATACGAACATGCCCAGCGGCGAATCTTTGATTCGTCAATTTCTCTATGGGCAGCGTCTCTTTCAAAGAGAGTTCGGCAAGCGATCTCAAACATTTTGGCTTCCAGATACCTTTGGATATACCAGCCAGCTTCCGCAGCTATGCCGCCTAGCTGGAATGCATCGTTTTGTGACCCAGAAACTCAGTTGGAATAACATCAACAATTTTCCGCACACAACTTTCAACTGGGTTGCTCTTGACGGAAGTCAAGTATTATGTCATATGCCCCCTTCGGAAACCTACAACGCCGATGCTCAGTTCAGTGAACTTGTCAACTGCATCGATCAGCATAAATCGTTGGACCAAGATGCTTCGTCGTTGCTGATATTTGGGAAAGGCGACGGGGGAGGTGGTCCGACTTTCCAGCAAATTGAAACTCTGCGTCGGTTTCGGGGCTTGAGCGATAAAGTCGGACTTCTCCCTCGAGTTCACCACGGCAAGTCCGTGGATGAGTTCTTCGAGACGTTGGAACGCAAGGCAGCGAATGGCACTGAATTCGTTACCTGGTATGGAGAACTATATTTTGAGTTGCACAGGGGAACCTACACCACGCAGGCGAAAACCAAATGGAATAACCGAAAGGCAGAGATCATGATCCATGACATTGAATATGTCGCCACTCTAGCGAGCGTCAAGAACAGCGGCTACAAATACCCGAAAATGGAAATTGACGACATCTGGGAACGCATCCTATTATGCCAGTTCCATGACTGTCTGCCAGGGAGCTGCATTAGGATGTGCTACGATGACTCCGACAAGCTTTACACTGAGGTATTCGCAAGTGGACAAAGATTGCTCAAACATGCACTCTCAGCACTGGGATTTTCGGATGACGTTTCCTCTAGCCAGGGCAGAATTGCACTCAACACTCTACCATGGCCACGCAGAGAACTGGTTCAACTTTCGTCCTCTCGATATGCTGTGATCGAGGGAGGCCTTGGTGTGGCTTCTGTCAAAGAGCTTCCGAGAACGCCAGCTGGGTCTGCTGCCAGCGTCGCCGAAATTCGAAAAGGCGTCTTTCAACTATCGAATGGGCAATACAAGCTAGAGATCGAGAAGGGATCAATTATCTCGCTCATTGATCTCTCGGACGATCGCCAAGTGCTCGCCCACGGTGGCAAGGCCAATCAATTTGTTATTTTCGATGACAAGCCTTTGTACCGTCAGGCTTGGGATGTCGAGGTATACCATCTCAGCTCCCGAAAGGAGTTGCAGGGCGAAACTTCCGCCGTTGCTGAGCAGGGCCCGTACAAAGCAAGTGTCGTCACAAAAACTATCATAAGCGAAAAGAGCTGGCTGAAATCGACCATTAGCCTCCATTCTCCTATAGGTGGCGAACCCTCTGGCATCGAAATCAACACCGAGGTCGAATGGCACGAGGATATGAAGTTTCTGAAAGTCGAATTCGACGTCAACGTAACAAACACTGAGGCTTCATACGAAACTCAATATGGAATTGCCAAAAGACCGACGCATTACAATACACAGTGGGACATGGCCAAATTCGAGGTTTGTTGTCACAAGTGGGCAGACCTCTCAGAGAATGGCTACGGTGTTTCCATTTTGAACGACTGCAAATATGGCTTCGCCACCTGTGGTCATTTGATGCGCTTGTCTCTCCTGCGCTCTCCCAAGGCCCCCGACGCTTGTGCTGACATGGGTTAGTAGCTAGCAACATAATTGTCAGCATACAATTTCATTTCGCTAATGTTCTAGCAGGTCTCCATCATATCCGCTATGCGATTTTCCCCCACCAGGGTCCTTTGGACTTTAGAACCGTGCGCGCTGGATATAACTTCAACAACCCGATGACTATGATTGTGGGACTAGGCTCATCAGGCTCAACATCGTTGGATGACATCGACCTAATCGGCAACAAATCACTAATCCTTGATGCTGTCAAACGTGGGGAAGATGATGAGGATGTCTCGTTGGGTGACTTCGAAAGCCGGAAAGGCCAAAGTATCATGATCCGTATTTTTGAGAGTCTGGGAGGGTCTGCAAGTGGTATAATCAAGACTACCTTGCCAGTCACGAATGCATGGAAGTGCAATATCTTGGAGGACGACGAGGAGCTGCTTGAAATCAGAGATGGCAAAGTCAATATCGCCCTGCGCGCGTTTGAAGTCGCCACATTCAGGTTGCAACTGTGATATCTCTCCAGGCGTCGCGGACGCAGCCATAAACTGACCTAAACGCATACCTTGATCAAATTAGAAATGGTTTGTCAGAGCATGGAGCGGTTACTTACCGCTAGCAATGCGTGGGTCACATGAGGACCAACATTACTTTGTTATTGTTTGTAATTCTGGGATAATTTGCAACTCTGGTGTTGTAACCACCGAGTATCAGCGTATTAAACATATTGACTCGAGGGTATTTCAACCTGCCCTCGATTGAATGTTTTTCTCTTCAATCAATCACTACTCTTATCCTGTATAAGCTCCGCTTCATCTTATTTGCCCTGAATGCATACTAGTGAATATACATTTAGCTTGTTCCGATATCTTGGTCAATGTGACCGACCGATTGTGGCTCTACAGGATGGATCGAAATCATGTTCACCACTTTGCTCTCATAGAATCTTCAACGGTACGGATTTTAAGTGGATGTTGTAAGGGTAACTGCTTTTCGTCAATCTTCACGTGAACAGAGCGGGGCTTAAAGTAGCATGGCAGCCTTGTCATTCCGGCACACGGTCCTGGTCAGATCTGCGACTGAAGCGCAACTTTTCCCATGGTTTGTGCTCAGACTGAAAACTAGCCAAAACCAGTCTGGCGGTCCTGGACTCGTGAGCAGATTTGAGCCACATTTTATCAGGAGATTCCCCGCGACTATCGACCATTATCTGGTCTAATTATCTTCCTAAATTCGGCTTCGTCCTTGAGCACATGAAGATATCTAATGATGCGGAACCCAAGTGAAGGTAGGGTCTCGGCAACCTTAAAACAGCATCTTAGATGGGACATATGTTCTAATAAGTTAGCGATCCTAAACCTACTGTTGGCTAACGCGGATATAAGCGTACTAAAGGATCAAAGTTATTAACTGATTTACATAATTTGCCAAAGATTCCTGGCCGTTTCAGGGGGCATAAAGCAGACGACTCATATCATGCTATACGTAAGCCAGATACACATACAAAATTTCAAGATCAATTCTCTCCCTCAATGGAAGCGGGCCAAATGGTTTAGGCTTTATGCGCCGAGAATTGTGGGCAGCCACATGCATCTGGTGATAGACTACCCATGCCCATCGTTAACGAGAATTTGTCCAACAGATCTCCAATAGCGTATGTACTCAGATCTGGATCTTCTAGTTCCTTTAAACGAGGCGATTGGCTCGTATTGGGTTCGAGAGATTGATTTTCTGCGGCAAGACGCCACGGATCCTGCTCTGGTTTATCAACAGGGCTTGCAATCATAACACTTCTGGTTGTCCTCTCTAGATAAGACTGAAGCACCGTCATCAGCTGGTTGAGCAGTGCAATAGCAGAGCTGATTCCATTGCGAGACCCCTGCACCAGGGTTGTTGCATACATCGATGGGATCACTCCAACAAAAGATGCTGGCGGGTTAATTTCTCCCAGCATGCCGTGACAATGCTCGAGATTTCCTTTTGATTGGAAAATGCAGTCTATTAGACGCCTTAGCATAGCCAAGTCAACATTTGTGCGGGATGACACAATATTCTTGGTCGTCGCCAAGTACCCAGGGCATTTGGCGACTTCATTAAATGCATAATCCATTGTCTGGCCCAAAGGGCTTCCTTTTTCTTGCTCATCCTCTGCCTTAGCAACCTCTTTGCTCATTGATATCTGTGTCCACTCAGAATCCCCTAGGAAACAGGGCATTGCATTTATAAAGGCATCTGCGACGATGTAAGGTCGCCAGCAAAGCATGAGAGTTCGACCCATGCCGCTTGCATGTGCTGAAGGGCCACGAGCGCAGAAAAGGTGACGGATGCCTTGAGAATGAATAATCCACGAACGGTCAGTGCTACCATCGAGGACCTCATAACCACCGAGCAAAATCGCGGCCGCAAGAGTTTCGTCCGATAGCACGGCTGGTGTTCGTAAAAGACAGGCCAAATGTTTTATGCCTCGACTGTACATATGACGAGCGCACATTACAGCTTCCCTGTTGCCCTCTGCCGCTCCCATGCGTAAACAAATTAAGGCGCGGACGCCCCAGATCAGCGCTTGGGGAAATGATGACCACTTGCCACGTACAAAGTCCATCCAACTAACATCCACGCGGGAATTGAAGGAGGCGACGTAGCTTGGGAAATGATAATCCAGCCATCTTTCAAAGGATTCTTTTGTTTGGATATTGATCGCCTCTACCGCCAAATTAGGAGCGAGACCTTCGTCCATTGAGTATTGGCCGTACTTTCGAGTAACGGATTCGGTTTGGTTCCGTATTGTAAGGCGCCGATCATAGCCTGGGCATCTTGTGCCCCGATTGATACATTTCAGGCATTCTGGTCGAGTTTCATCGCACTTCAATCTTCTTTAGTCCTAATTCTCTCTTCCTTGAGGTACACGCATGACGGAGGCCGCGAAGATGGTTTACAATGTGATGTATCAGCGCTTACCTTGACCCTGCGATTTATGCATTGTAAACATCCTGTACTGCGGGGAACGCCAACCATTTCTGTCGTCTTTTGGGCTGGTTGATTCTGCTCCTACATGAATGCTTTGATCATTCAATACTCGGAGAGCTGGCACTGTGGTGCAGATGATAACGGAAGAAGTTGGTTCTCCCACTGGCTGAATGGCAGCCGTATTTCTCCCGAGGTTGATATTCGAATAGGAGAGTATCCAGAGAGGTTCGTTGGTCACATTACACCGCTCGGCAGAAAAGTAAGGGTTTATTCCGCCAAGACGCTATTTAGCATCACTGTCTGAATCGTTAACGCTCAACAATTTTGCGGCTCCTAGCAACATGTAACCATTTTGAATAAGACTTGATTGGGCTAACAGAGCCACAGTGGACACTAAGGATGCACACGAACAAGATGCATTTCAATTTTGAATGTTTCGTGAAAATCACACGTAATTAGATTTCTTTCAAGATATAGGTAATTCGTAACAATTTAATCACCGCGTAGATTCCCCGTTCAAACCTTTTTTTCCTTGTTCAGAATTGTCACTCTGCCTTATTACCAAAGTAAAGAGGACAGTTGGCAGCTAAGAACATTTCTGTGCTACTGTAGTTCTGTTTCCCACAGTCGTTCTATAGTGGGAGCACTCCTTGAACATAGACCCACTTTTACAGATTGAATATACATTTACAACACACATCTCACCACATCTCACCACATCAACACTCACGAGACAGCGAGATAGAGCCATGTTGGGACACAATGATACTGAGTCGATTAAGGAACCTTGGGCGACGATCAAATCTCACTTGTTTATTTGAGACACAGAAGGCTATTTATTCTTCGACAATTCCTATTTGACTATATGATCTATTAACAACCCAACGCGAACTTCCAAGAACTGCCTACGCTTCCATCACAGGGAACCGTGGACGTTGTTTCCCAGCCTCGCTTTAATGTGGGTTGTGTTGGACTGCTTGTCTGTCCGTCGTATCGTGGAAAGACATAATACAAATGACTAAATCGCGAGAAGCTGTATTGCTGTTACGCATCCAAAATAAGCACCACACATTAGACATCAGCTTTACAGTACCACTAAGAATGCCTGCGAAGCATGACCATGGCAGGGTGCTCATAAACATTACAGGGGAAATCCTCTCAACCCGGTCAAGGAGAATAGGGTATTCGCTCCGTCACTTGCACCCACATATTTGAAATCGCAAAAAGCCCTAGGTAGTTCCGCGCATCCCAGGGACGCGTGCCACCGCTCTGGTCGAAAAGCCTCTGCATCCTTGCCATAGATCTTCTCGCTTTGGTGCATAGCGCATGCGAAATATCCGATGCAGGCGCCGCGATCTGTAAAACCATGCCAGATCGCGTTGGGTTCTGGGACTGTTGGAAAGGTCAACACCTGGCCAATCACTAGTAGGCCCCGCCTTCCCCGCCTGGTACTTTTTTTCTTTTTCTTTGTTAGTACCTAGTACAGGCGTGAGTTGGTCACACTCCGCCCCAAAATCCCACTTTCCCCGCCTCCAATTTTTGCCCAGCCATTTTCTCAAATTGCTCTGACGTCGATAGATTTCACCTAAGTCTTTGGGAAATCATCACGACCACGACTGAGGATATGGAGCCAATCGCAGTGGTAAGTAGTGTTTCATGTTCTGATGCGGTCATTCATTCTCGTGTCTCAACTAGGACCCGGACTTCTACTCTATAGCTACTGGCTTTAGCACAGACCCACAGGATTCTCAGTCGTGAGTGCAACCAACTACAGCATACCTACTGTCGTATTCTTATCTAGTACGTGTTCAGAGAGACCACCTCTATTGCGTCCTCGATCGCGAGGGGACGGTTAGAAAACGGCCGAAGTTCAGTCTAATCTAGCACAAGGTCGTTTCCTGATTCTAACCTAAGAAGTAGATACCAGGCCACAAAAGAAGATGATTACTGGTTAGTTACGAAGCATTACGAAGCATTGGTTTGTGTATACATGGAGTAACGATGCTTAGGGGACCTTTTAATGAGCAGCAATTTGAGGCGTTTGAGATTGGGTAAATCGCATCTCACCCTCATATCTTTCATGTCTCACTAATAGAAGGTCTGTGATTATAATAAACTCAGCCATATGGTGTTTTTTGTTCTAGATTTCAACCAGCCGAATCCTCTTTTCCGCCTCCCTATCGGCGATTCACCTAAGGTGAACTTCCTAAGGCGACACTCACTTAAACGTAATATCACGATGTAGCATATTCTGGACATCGGAACTGGTCAAGGGAGTTGGGCAATGTAATCCGATAAGCAATATATTCAAGAAAACCATTAACGAGTCCTTAGTGACGTTGCCGATCGCTATCCGTTAGGTATTATATTTCGCGAGATAACTCCTTCTATTCTGGGCTGACACCGGCTAGCTACCGTCCGCGGCGTGGATATTTTCCCCCCGCCAGTGTCATAGATGCCTCCAAACTACGTGTTCGAAGTGGATGACGTGCTCCGCGAGTGGACATAGAGAGACTCGTTTGACTTTATCTATATACGCCTAATGTATAGCGCCTTTGCACCTAAGGGATGGGACTAGTTATACAAATAGGCTTACGAGTAAGTTTTAGTCCTTATTACTCAATATTTTGTGTCACGAAACGCTTATATATGTTTACTCTCGCTATAGCGCCCTCGAACCCGGTGATTAGATCGAGTAGATAGAATTTGACGTGCGAGTCTCTAGCGATGACGGTACCCTAGCTATGGGAGTGGGGTCCTATGTTTATTAGATGCGCCGAGCGAGCTGGACGGTCGCTTAACATCCATGAAACGATCCGTAGCACAATTAAGAAGACCGGATTCGTGGAACTGCACGAGGAAAAGTACAAGATCCTCTTAGAACCTTGGCCTAAGGATAAGTTACTAAAGGAGGTCGGACACCTCTAGGATGCCCACTAGAACGCTGCTCTAGAAGGTTAGGCGATGTGGCTTCTCATCCACTTCGGGGAGCCGGAACCGTAGACCGAGGAGGAGGTGCAGGTGTTCCTAGCTAAAGTGCGCATAGAGCTGAAGGACCCATACATTCATGCGTATAATCCTGCGTTAGTTTTCTTTCAAATCGTGCTGCTGAATTGTTTGATGCTAATAACGTTCAGGCACCGCGTGTAGGCAAGAAAGCCTACCTTAGATGAATTGGAAGCGAAGGAGGCAACTTTCAAAGCTGAGACATCACCGTAAGCTCCTTTGAATCTTCTTAGCAGATGGAGATGGACATTTCATAGTTCTCGAATTCTACAAACCAATATTTACATTGTAACCCAAATCTTTTGGTGCTGTTCACTATCATCTCCTGATCTTGATCAAGCTCAATTATCTAACCAGATACCTATATAAATAAAACCTCATGTTTGTTGAAATCCAGGCCATTTCTGGCATTGACATCGTGTTCAGTACTGCAAATTATGTGTTTTCTTACTCAACCCCAGACGTTTGGTTCTCTCGCCCGTTACGGCATGGTCAATGAAGTAGATCAGGCCAATTTGCATGTGTAAATACAAACCTCAGCTTCTATCAGAGCTTATAAGAGGTACGGTACTCCTGAAATGGACTTCGGATCCGGCTTTCTTGATCATCTGATTTCTTCTCTAATGTTATCGGATTCTGTTCAGTGTTACTGTAGATAAAGTAGGTCTTTGAATCACCCATGATTTACCCATGATTTACCCATGATTTACCCATGATTTACACGTCCAAGTAAGCTTGTTTAAGAAAATTGTATGCCAAGATCACACAAATTACTGGTAGACCGAGGCACCGGTATATCAAGTTGAGGGTGGGAAATGATAGTGAATATAGCGCCCATTCAACCCAATCTCCCACGTCAATTTACGTGCCAACCAACGAAACAAGTATCAAACAGCCACGTCACAACTTGTTCACTCATTAGCAATGTCAATATGTGTGTGGAGAGGAATAACCATGTCGATATGACGCAGCCTCCGGTCGAAGATATAGAATAAAAACTACACTGACCAAGATTCTGTAGTATCAGCCAGGATTGGTTACACTATTGAGGTCACTGCGGCACAAAGGGCAGGTACTTGACCTATCCAAGAGCCACGGATCAACACAACCCGGATGAAACTAATGACTACATGGCAGTTGCCTCAAATCCTGAGCATGCCTAAAGCGTTCTGTGCATATAGGACAAACAGTATTCGGGGGACCGTAGGAGAAACCGAAAGAGAAAACCCTACTCGAGGGTTCCTAATTCACATGAAGATGGTTTGCGCCATGTTCCTATTCACTTTTATCACTTTAGGTTATCGACCGCGCCTTTTGATGAGCAAGCGCCCTTACATCTTTCCTCTCACGAAAATCTTGAGTAAGAGTGCCCGTCTCTAGATCCTCCTCTAGCCTACATCCCTTGCAATTGTGGGGATCGCGAAATTTGACGATCGGTATTGTGTTAAGTAGTGACTTGGTAATATCTGTCACACGACGTTTTTGCACGTTAGGGGCCGTATTTATAGGTATCCCACGACGCGAGGAGCGATAACGGCGAAGCCTATTTAAAATAACAAATGCTGCCAAACAAATAGAGAACACATAGACAGGAATGATATATAATGGCAGCGACGGGTTGTCGATCGTAGACGAGCGATTGATAAACGACGGTGTTATTAACATAATAACGACATGCGGGGCAACTAATAGGTTTAGAGATATTTCGTCGAGGTTGCGATTGGATTCGTAGAAAGAAACTGCTCCAGCGGGAGATTAAGCATCTATGTATACCGATGCTCAGTATGATAGAATTTGTCCGATGTTTGATCGATCTCAATATGAAATTCGTGAAATAGGCTGGTACCGTTCACGAAAGGGATTCGCTCAGGATATCAGTGGTACATCAGAACTTGCAGCTTCTATGACGTCAATACGACATTTACAACTTGTTCGTACTAAGCGAAATGTCATCACTAAGCGGGTAGTGATATTGGAAGAAGAATCCAGCCAGAACACTTCTGGCGAAGCTAGAACTTCTGTAGAAAGCCACCGACTTTGATCAGGGCAAAATCCTCGAAGAAGACGGTTTCCAATTTTAGTATCTGTGTGGGAGATATAACTTATTAAACAGTTATACAAAGGAGCGGTCAGCCAATTCAGAATTCGGACAGTATTATTTACCTGTGTTCGTACGCGTTCTAAGTGTTCTGAACTGCCGAACTGAATGTACTCACTGTCCATTCACTGCTTCGACCACTGCGCCTACGCTACGCTGTCGATCAAGTTGGTTGCCACAGGCCTCTGGAGAAGGAGAAATAACAATAAGCTGAACGCGCCATGGGCCATGCTGAAGTACTGAAAATGTATTACTGTCCCTACATGTATACTACCCAATCATGACTCGAAGTGTAAATGTATATGCGTTGCCCCTCTTACCAGTTCACAATAAAGGTCTCAAAGGAGTGCTAGCTCCGGTAGCTTTGGTTGCCAAAAATCCTACCTCTCTTGGTTGCTGGTCACCGGAGGGTCTTTTGAATCGAGCCTGCCAAAAATCAACAAGATGAAGTATGTCCTATGTGCGGTCCGGTTTCCAGTCCATGCGGGTCATGGGACGCATCTGCAGTGACTAATGTGATGTGAGGCTGAAGCAGATCAGGAATAAAGCCTCGCCATCAGGAATAAAACCTCGCCATCGGGAATAGAACCCGAACTAGACAGTCCATACGAAGAAGTAAGTTGATCAGAAATCAACTTGGAGTTCGCGTTGTACATATAACCTCCTGGGTTTCCTCAAGAAATAACATGTTCCCTCTGAATTCCAACAGAGTTGAACTTGCCAGCCCATGAAGAGGTAGGGCCAACTCTGGCAAATTTCGATATCCCGCAAAAGCCTGCCCTTGTAATTCTGATTTACGTTCCCTGTCCAGCAGTACCCGTTACAGCGCAGCTCATTCAGGATTCATCGGATCGATCGTTACTGCCGCAGCATAGGCGACTCGGAAAAAGAAGCCATGGAAGTGTACGTCTGAATAACGGATGCAACGGCGGGAGACAAGAGCAGATGATTCCCATGTTCATCTCCACGTAAGACCAAGTTGCAATCGGAGCTAGGGATCCTGATAAAGACGATTAGTCTCTATAGTGGGTCGTATCGAGATGACCGACTTGTCAAATCAGTGGAATTGGTTGCTATGGCCACTGCCTTGAGGCGGATTATGCTTGTAATGCAGGCGCTATCTTCCTGGTTAGTACACGATAAGGTTGAAGATACATATTAAACATACAAACCGCCTGCAGCGAAGATTAAAATGAGGCCAAACTTTCGTTTCCAAGAAAGTTGCAGGTGAGACAAAACGGGAATAGGCATCACCAGGATGCCTAGGTCGGTAACGATATTTATACCTGCATTAAAAAACCATAAAAATTCCCTTTTTATGCAGCGACCTTGAATTGAGGTGTCCCAGAATGCATTTACCGGGATACAGTTCAGGATGGAGCTGAGAACACACCAAAGTCCATATGTGCTTATGACGCCTAGCGCGATACGCGACATAAGAATAAATCGAGGCAGCGGAAAGATCCGAATGTACAGAAGAAGAATTGAGGCTTTGGTGAATGTCAATGACAAGTTGTATAATGGAATACTCAACCACAAAAACTATATCGCAACTTAGCATGTCTATCTCTCACTTGCGCAGGCTATGTTGTGTCCAAACATACCAAGAATTGTTTTTCTGTCTCATTTGGATGAAGGATCTCTTGCGGCTTTCCAAGACCGTAATGTACCTCTGATTTATGGTTATCAATCGTTGTACTTGGTTGTACTTGTGTGGGAAGGAAATCCAACTCGCACTTACCAAATACGAGCACTAATAACGCAGTTATAGCGAAAAACTTCGTAAGGTTTACTTAATTAGCATTCTGCAAGCTTAGTGGCCGAGGGAAGACAAACCAGAGATAAGCAAACCATATAGTCATCATTGCCAACACTGCGGATTAACATGTACCGAGTGCAAAGCCGCAATACGACAAAGAAAACAGCGAGCCCACTAAAGGTCGCAGCAACCGGGAGGGTATTCATCCTCGTCCCAAGGACAACAATATTCCTTCGCGTTATAGATTCATATCCCTTGGAGGTAGTGACAAGAGGAAGACCGTGGCATCAACTCCAACCGAGTGTGTGAAGACGGAGACAACCGGGTATAATAACATACTGTGGTAGCTTTGATCTTGAATCAGCACCTTTGGAAAATTAATCTCGTAATAAACGTAGGAGTTTGCCACTAAATCTCTCCTGGGCTGGAATGCTGACTAGGTTTGATGGATGATGCGATAACCCGCATGGGTGGGCACCTGCCACGATGCTAGCCAATCAAACCACTAAGCGTGTTATCCAATCGAAGGTTGAGCCATTAATTTCTGGGCAAATCAACTTTCATCGTTCTTGTAGCACGTGCACATTGGTTTGATTGTTGTGGGGTTGTGTGGGGTCCCAATCCCGTGATATCGATACAGGTCTAACCCTAATGCATGGGTAGTGCACATCAGGATGACAGAACAAAACCATCAAAACAGGTGCTCCGGTCGCATCAGATCGCTTCGCTTTCCAAGCCACGCAGCGTGATCATGCTTGAAAAATAAGCTTGCTTGGGTACAAAAGCTGGAGATTACGGAGCCGACGAAACGATATATTCTGCCTGCTGGTGTGGCTTTGGGAATTGCAAACAAAACGATGTCGATTAATCATTTAATATTGGCAGTTGTGTTGCTTAGTGAATTTTATTAATATCATCCATCTGGGGTCGTTCGTGTTCTAAAAATGAGGTTTGAATACCCCGATCAACCTGAATCTTTAGTCATAAAGCCCCTCACGTACCATCTGAAGGCATAACTGAGTTTTCTTCATACCTCTGCGGTACTTATAGAATGGACAACACCCACGCTTCTGTCTCTCGGCCGAATCCGATGGAGCAACTCATCTCCTATTTATAGATACCATTCGGAAAGAGACGAAAGATGGGTGCGCCATTATTTAATCCGAGCAGATTTGTAATGAATTTGAGGGTTTCCAGAAGTGAAGGCGCTGAGAACAGAAAACAAAGGTGAAGAAAGCTAAGATGGGGATCTCCGCCTGAAACTTGGATGCTAATCACGGAGCCTGAATTCCATTCCATCTCTAATGGAAAAACAGCTTACATCGTCCCCAGGCTTTTCTTCTACGCCAATGCCCCTACTAAACAACCTCTTTACACGTACTCCGCTATTGGCACACAATCATAGGGTAAAAAATGATTGCGAAGGTCACAGCGCTTACTGGCCTTTCTGAACGCTCGAAAAATTGCAAGTATGCGCGCCACTGAGCAGCAGGGCAAGGTAGGTAGGTCCTTTCATATCAACTGCGACAGAGCAGAGGTTACGTGACCATTTTGTGTATTGGGGCGCTAAACCGGGAAGGGCAAGAAAGAGAACCGAGTAGGCAATTCATGGCTCCGCCAATTACTACAAAGAGAAAAGCCGGATATAAACTTCTTGCTCCCCGCTGCATCTGTTCCTTGATTATCGTAAACGTGACTACCGAAGGAAATCACCTTCACGATGAGAAAGAGTTTGGGAAACAAAGGAAGTAGCATTTAACCCTCATCCGGCTTCCAACAATTGTCGAAATAATGAGCCTCACTCTCCGCGACGTACCCCCGTAGGGCAGTCCCACATTTCGGACAGCACTAACTACCCCTGCAGGGGCAGTCCCACATTTTGGACAGCACTTGTTGCGACGCTCTCCAAGGAATCCCGATGACGAATCGATGGCTGGTACTCCGACCATCGTACACTTGAGGCAGCGACTAAGCCTAGCCAAAGTACCCAGAAGACCTGCAAAATCCCAAATGCCTGGGTCACTATGATCGTAAACCTTTGTATATCTTAAAGCAAAATTCGAAAACAGTTTTACCCCTCAGACACTCACACTTTGTTTCTTAGCTCGTACCCGAAACGGCTCTAAGCCCAATTTGGCGACATCGTAAATAAATCTTATCTACGAGTAGATAATAACCCAATAAGGGTTGAGCCCGTTTCGGGTACGAGCCGAAAAACAAAGTGTGAATGTGAGGGGTAAACTGTTTTCGAATTCTACTGTACATCCGTACCCAGAACACTATGCCTACAAGCGATATATAGATCAAAATTCCTAAGGCATCAGCATCAGGACGGAATCCCGATGGAAATACAAAGTTGTTTAAGAGATGCGATATACCTACCCCCTCCGAGGGAATACGCGATCAATATGTTTGGTGGGTTAGTTCCGTGCTCTCCTTTCCAATTGCACAACCTCTATTGGTCACAAGGAGTGTCTGGCGAGAGATGCCATTCCCCACATTCCTCATCCTGGAGGTAATGAAATAATACCCCAGACTCCCCACCCGAACATCCGACATTAGCGTCGCCCTCGTCCCCAGAGAATATCCCACATAGGACTTCTTTCACACCTTTGATAAATAAGAGGATTGTACGGAGTATAAAGTGTCTTGTAAACATCCTTCAACTTGTCCATCATGAACTGGCTCTGGTCATTTTGAATACTATCGCGCCCAGTACCTAGGTCTCGTAACACTTTATTATCAGTTTCGCTCGTTACCCTTTCCCTCTTCGCAATGATGACAGAAAAAGGTCCAATCTTTGAAGATGATGGCCGTGTGGGCGCATTATACCACAAGAATACCCAGGATGAGCTCGACGCTCGCATCAATGCTTTCACACCAGCTGAGCAAAAGAAAATCATCCGTCGAGTCGATCGGCGCCTTGTACCTATTGTTGGATTTCTGTACTGCATCTCACTGCTAGACCGGAACAACCTGGGTGTCACCAACATTGCGGGTATGGGTACCGACCTCGCCTTGAGTGGCACCCGATACTCACTGATCGCTCTGCTTTTTTACGTCGGATACACCATATTTCAACCCATCGGTGTAGTGCTCATCCGAATTGTCGGCCCACGGATTTTCTTATCTTCCATCTGCTTGCTGTGGGGTATAGTCATGATATGCTTTGGCTTCGTCAAAACTTGGTCAGACCTGATTCCTCTCCGCATCATCCTCGGAGCCTTTGAGGCCGGGCTTTTCCCAGGTTAGTACCTCGGTCTCTTCCCCCTATGGACTAGATTAATTTCCGAAATTAGGCTGCGTTTATTTTCTCAGCTGCTGGTATCTACGGTACGAGACCCAGGAGCGCTTCGCCGGCTTCTATGTCATAGGGTCATTTGTGTCTGGATTCAGTGGTATTATAGGCTACGGCTTTTCACAGTTGGAAACCCACGGATCCGGACCTGCCTGGTGGGGTCAACATTATGGACCTACCGAGGCAAACCCGAATATCAAGCCTGGTGTCCTGCCAGGCATTGCTGGTTGGCGATGGATTTTCATTCTCTACGGTACCATCACCTGTTTGGTCGCTGGCGTCACCTCCATTTTCCTTGTCGACTTTCCCGAGAAAACAAAAGCTTGCTTCCCAAAGTTCTTGAGTGAGCACGAAGTCGATTTCCTGGTCGCTAGAATTGAGAAGGAGAGAGGGGATGTGGTCCCAGAACCGTAAGACCACCGACACACGGCTGCAGTTGCAGAGCTAACACTATTGGATGATCTAGGTTTCATCTGGGCACGTACCTGAGAGCTGGCCTCGATCTCAAAGTCTGGGCATATGCTAGCCTTTTCGGTTTAGCCACTATCACTGTAATCGCGAGTGTAACGTTTCTCCCTATCATCCTGAACCAGGGCATGGGCTTCGGGATCGTGGCGTCTCAATGTCTCACTGCTCCCCCTTACGTTTTCGCATGCATGGTTATACTATTGCAAGGCCGGCTCGGTGATAGATATCAACTGCGCTCCCCACTCCTTGCGCTCAACTGTTGCGGTCTCTTCGTTGGTAGGTTATTGCTTCTCTGCTTTACCTCAATGAGCGATCAACTAAGGCTAATGTGATGGATTTGTTCTCTAGGTCTCGCACTTCTCGGCTATGCCCATGCTCCCGGCGTCCGTTACTTTGGCGCTTTTCTTGCCACAGCCATGAGCCAGGCTAACATCCCCTGCATTCTCGCATGGCAAGCGAATAATGTCCGTGGCCAATGGAAGCGGGCGTTCACGTCAGCAGCAGTCGTTGGTGCTGGTGGGTTAGGTGGCATTATTGGCAGCCTTGTATTTCGCCTTCGGGATGCACCACTCTATCGACCTGGTATCTGGGCGTGCATGACCGCCAATGGGTTGATACTCCTGATTATCCCCATGTTGCTCGTGAAGTTCTACAGGGCTAACAGGAGGTCTTCACGAGGAGGCAAGCTGATTCAGCAAATGGAAGGCTTTATGTACACTTACTAACGTACCAAACCACGCCTCTGGACTGCATCCCCACAATACATTCCCGAAGAACGGTTGTGGGTGATGAATAGTTCAACACGGGTGTTGGGAATCAAAGGACATGCCAGAGACAGACAGAGAAGCGTCTTGCCAGTGGATGCCTACTTCGGCGGGTGTCCGAAATATCGACGATCAAAAGTAAATGTACCTAGTCAAGACAAGTATCGGAATCTCCACAACATTCTACACCAGGCTTCTTCGTCCATTTGACGTTCGCCATTCTGCCATGATTATCTATTGCACGCAAGAATATCTTTCTGACTCCGTTGTCATACTGTCTTGATGTCGCTCGTACTCGGCACCAGGTCGGGACAACTTTATCTGCCTAGCTTCACAATGCCTACAGTAATCCAGCAGACTTACAGCAATCCCAAAATCAGTAGCTCCGTTTTCTGGTCAATATCTCTGCTCTTGCTTGGGATTATCGACATGTTGTGATGGTGACGAAATGCCCTGCCCTCAGACGGAATGCCAAGGCCACAGTGCCGTTGATTCTTTTAGACCTAGTTTGCAAAGGGATTTTTGTAGGGACAGCGTATCTTGAAAGTTCGTTTCCATTTCCTTTAAAAATCTAGATATATTTGGTTCGTGAACCTGTTCGAAATGCGCGAATTTTGACGAATTGCATCGGCAGATTTGATCCCAAAAAGAGCGCCGTGTTCCAGTGCAAGGCTGAGGAGTACCTCGCCAGATGCGAACTGCGGTTTGCTGCTATCTCGGATACCAATTCCGAAACTTGAAACATGTTAGTGCAATCAAGTGATAAGCAAGAAGTTTTCAGTCCTACACTGTATATTCTGAATCTCGATTGTTCTTCAGCCAAACCTGATTGACCCTCCATCCCACTTCCCAAGGATCGGTGCGCTGAGGAAAGAGAACCAAGTCGATGTGCTAATATCGGGCCTTAGAACAGAATAATCGTTAGGAATGATAGTTCACGTATTTCGTATCGAAGACCTCTCTGGTGTTTATTCTCATCCAAGGGCATAAAACTCCCCACCCTTGTCCCCTACGGTATTTAAAACCAAGGGTTCCTGCTGATAATTTCAAACTCATAAAAGATGTGCTAGCCAAGCACTCGTCCGCCAGTGAACATTCTGAATGTAAAATTTGGGCCTTAGACGCCTAGCGCGAAAAATCCAAGGGTCAAGATTCTGACTGACAGTGGAACCTAAATTCACATATTTTTATACGACCCGGCAATGGTTGTGATTATCTAAGAGAGACTTTGCAGAAATTTCAGATGGTAGAAATGGCATGTACAGGTATTCCTAAGCTCCTGTGGGTTCGAATTTGGTCCATTTTCCCGACCATGGTCGGCGGGATTTGCTTCATCTTTTGAACCGGGACAGGAAAGCAAGGTTCAGTATTTCTGATGTCAGCTGGTAAAATCTAAAATCATGCAACCAGATTCTATCCGCAAGAAAAAGGAGCGAAACCGTAGGTGAATACTGGTACGGCATAATTCTTCCTTCTCTGTTTCCGCAGAGCAGCAGTAACCAAGTAAGCATGTCGCGTGCCTGCGTATAGAGGCATCAAAGTCTTATTCGGAGTCAAATGCCGGGGAAAGTTACCGAAAAGGTCTTTCGGAAAACCTATAAAATTGCATCCTGCGCATCACCTGGAGCAAGTTTCAATATCGTTTGCTAGGCATCCGATTCAGTACCTCTGCGGTGCACGGTCCTCCCGCTTGTCTCTGTCTCCTTATCGCCTGTAGCAAGCAATTTCAAACTGGAGATCCAACGGGATCGCAGTCTCGGCAGATTCACACATTGGTTCTTCAATGCCATTGACGACGGCTTCGATATTGCAGCAGGGTTTAGCAAAGGCCAAGCCCACGTGAAAAATCCATGAAATGCTTCGCATTCCTTTTATCGTCCCGCTTCAACCGCATGGGCAGTAGCAGGGCATGTTTGCCCCTGAAACACGCTAGGCACAAACCTAGTGTGCATGCAAGAAAACTTTAAATCAACGCTTTGACACAGATTGACAGCGTGAGACCTTGTTTTGTCATCTTGGCGGGAGCTGCCAAGTCACGCACTGACATGACCAAAACTGACAAGCCCATAGAGCTGCGAGCGCAATGCCTAAAAAGCTTAAGTTTTCAGCCACCCGCCGTCACATACCCGTGCACAATTTGAACTCGTGATTGGCCACGACTCGATGTCCCGTCCCGGATCGGAGATTCGTGCTTGGCGCCAAGTGCAAAGATGCCAATCCTTGGTGGAGGCTCCTCGTCACTCCACTCATCACAGCCTAAGACACTGAGCCATGAACCAATGTGAATCGAATAGCTGAGCACGATGGCCCCGGGGAGCGCTGCCGTTCGAGAGAGGATTTCGGCTTCCCGTCACTACATGGAACGTTCTATACATGATCTTGGGGCCGGCCAGGCCATGGCAACACGTCAATATATGAGTCTCTTGTCATGAGCCTGCTCGTACTTTCTCACTCTTTTCTCCTTTGCACTTGCGCGTTCACTTTAACCTATCTCTTTTTTCGCACAGCCTCTCCAGGCTCGTCATCGCCAGTATGATTCCTGCAGTCACAGCCAAGTACGACTGGATCCTCGCCCTTATCTCCATTGCCTTTGTGGCGAGTGCCCTTGGTAATGGAGCCAACGATGTCGCCAACTCCTATGCTACCTCGGTGGCTGCTCGCACCCTGGAGATGTGGCAAGCCGGTATTCTTGCCGCTTGTACTGAATTTGTCGGTGCGGTGGCTCTTGGTCAACGTGTGACGGATACGATCAAGGATGGCATCATCGACATCTCCCGCTTCAAGGGTAATCCTGGGACTCTCATGCTCGCTATGGGCTGTGCCGAGTTTGGCAGTGCCGCCTGGTTGACGCTTGCGAACTACATAGGCTTCCCAGTGTCAACCACGCAGACTATTGTCGGTGCCCTCGTCGGCGTTGGATTCGCTGCGCAGACTGACATCCACTGGGAATGGACCAAAGGTAGTGTGTCGCAGGTTGCTGCGTCCTGGGGTATTGCTCCTGCTATCGCTGCCGGCTTCGCTGCTATCATCTTTGCCTCTGTCAAATACACCGTCCTTGAACGCCAGGACCCCTTCAAGTGGGCCATGCGCCTGATCCCTATCTACCTCGCTGTCACTGGAGCCATCCTAGCTCTCTTCATTGTGATAGAAGCCCCGAGCGAGCCCTTCGAGACCTTCAGCGTCGGCAGCGGTGTTGGAATCATGCTGGGCGTGTTTTTTGGCTGCCTGCTCATCGGTGTTGTCTTCTTCTTGCCCTACTTTCAACGTCGCCTATGCAGGGGTGACACTCGCGTCAAGTTCTACCATCTGCCTCTTGGACCTATGCTGTTGATGGACAACTGCCCGTTGTACTTCCCGTCCAAGAGCGATGCCGTCGTCGTCGACTACTACCAGGACTCCTATGGCGAGGTGGTGGCTGGAAAGAAGGGTGCCAAGTCTGAAGAGACTCAGGACACCTTTGAGCCTAAGATGATGGGAGAGACCACTGACATCCAGCGCAACCTTGACTCTGTCGAATCGAGCCCAGAGATCAAGCCCAAGGAAAAGCACATCGAGCCTGAGGAACGCTTCCTTGACCCTGTCCGGGACCTCCCCTGGTACTCTCCTACCAAAATCTGGGGCTATACCAAGTTCTGTCTCCTTCAAGGTGTCACACGCGATGTGGTCTCTCACGACTCCGAGCGCCTCCGCGCTATTCACGCCCGAGCCAGCAAATACGACAATCGTGTGGAGCACCTGTGGACCTACTGCCAGGTTGTCTCCGCGATGATGATGTCCATTGCTCATGGTTCGAACGATGTTGCCAACGCTGTTGGTCCCTGGGCGGCTACATACAGCACCTACCTTGCTGGCGAGGTTAGCACCGAGGCTCCCACGCCTGTTTGGTTCTTAGTCATTGCCGGTCTTCTCCTAGGTACTGGCTTCTGGTGCTACGGATTCAATATTGTGCGTGCACTAGGCAACAAGATCACCCAGATGTCTCCCACTCGTGGTTTCTCCACTGAGCTGGGTGCCGCCATTACCGTGCTGCTCGCCTCGCACTTTGGTCTGCCTGTCTCGACCACACAGTGTCTGACTGGTGCTTCGATGGGTGTTGCCCTGATGAACTATGACCTGGGCGCTGTCAACTGGAGACAGCTGGCTTTTATCTTTGGTGGCTGGGTGCTCACCTTGCCTTGCGCTGGTCTCATCAGTGGACTGTTGTGCCTGATGGCATTGAACACTCCTCACTTCTGATCGTCTCTGACATCAACCTTTTTGGCCTCCGACAGATTGAAGTCTTTCCTGGGAGGATTTCCTTTCCTTTTTTCAACTGTTGAGAAAAATGTACATAATTATTCGGCTCGCTGCCTGCAAGCCTCTTTTCAGTTTGCCTTTTTGGCACCTTGAAAAGGCTCGCGGCAGTCGACATCACTGAGTGTGCAAATCTTCAAACCTACATCCTGACTAGTCTGCGTGTAATTTGAGGCACTTTTCATCTCTAATCCTTTTTAATCAAGCACACCTTCGATGAAAAGGCGTATGTGACACGTACAGTAACCTAATGAACAGCCATTCTCCGGAACATTCAGGAATTATGGCCACATATTGTGGCCTAGTGTCATCTGGAGGCTTGTGTGAGTCGGACACGACAAACTATGACTTGCGGCCCTCGTTTCACGACAGGTTACCGGGCCATGAAATGCTTATTTTCATCACTACCAATTTCAGCCGCATCATGGTTAGGAACAGAGTTCTTTACATGCTCTCTGCCCTGATTACATTGAATATTTTATCCACTGGTGAGATCGAGCATAAACAGTTGAGATAACTGTTTCCTGAACTATTCAACCCTGTTGAAAAACAGACCGAGGGGTTATGAGTGTAGTCAGCAGCCTTGGTGTGACTTGCTGGTCTATAAAAGGTTCTCGAGCAGCATTTCTCCTCTATTTCATTTCTACAGCCACGACGGACCATCCCACCTCGCCTTCTCTAATTGATCGGCTAGCTAAGAGACGGCGTGGTGACAATCACACTATCGCAACCACCTAGTAAAACTGCCAATCCAAGACCAACGCTGCAAAGCGCGATTTTAAAATAATGTCGCACTTCTCCAATAAAAGACGTCTTCCGCGAAGCTCCTGCCGAAGTGTCAAAAGCCTCAGGTCTTTTGCTAAACCGCCCTGAGTAAAACCGGCTCCCTGAGTGGCCATAATCAGAATTGGAAGACTCATTAGCCTTTATCTGATTCGTCTTGCCAAGGACTCGGATGTTGAGATTCAGAGTTGTGTTCGTCCACGGAAAGCATGGTGAACAATTGTGGCTGATGGCAGAGCGAGGGAAGAAACACTCCCAAAACGGAGAAAGAACGTTAATTAACCTATCACTGCTTACTTTTCAGCTGTAATTTGTGATTATCGTTAGCCTTGGGGAAATGGGGGCCGGATCACATAAAGAGGACTTGATCGGCATGAAGAAAAGTGTTGTGTCTGGAGGAGAACTTCTATTAATGCTTGGATCACGATACGTTATTTTAGAAGCGGTGAGTTTGCATCCACTTAGGGGTTCACATACATAGCCTCCTTTACCCTGGCATATCCTGGCCGTAGGGAGATCATGACTGCGTAACCAAGAAGAACCGGCGCAAGTCGCGTTGGGGGGCCGAAAGCCTTGCGATGCAATCTTATCACATCGTCGTGCGAAGGAGTCAACATGTTATTTTGCTGCCTTGTACTGCGTATTTTGAATAGATGAAGCAGTAGGCCTGACGAGTCGATTGCTACCGAGCAAATCGTTGTCCTATTTCTGTCTTCGAATTGGATTAAAGTTGTTGACTGAGGCCTGCGCTCCGCCATCGCGCAGAGGGAGAAAAGTGGGCCGTTGCGGCGTTCTTTGGGGCGCGGTAGGACTGATTTGAAATTAACATTGAGGTGGATTTCTGCGGGTCCAACGATAACTTCTAACAATATATTTGGAAAACTGTCATGATCTCAGTAAGTGCCTGCAGTTCGCTTGGGTCATCCATAATTTGCCCTCAGCGATCGGAGCCCTAGTCCTTGACAAGTTACCCTTTCGTGTGGCAGTCTCATGTGTGCATTGACGAGGACTGCGATTTGCAGATGGGAAATCGGGGTCGGCAAAAGCTATTGTCGAATCTAATTGCAAAATATAGCGCGAAGAAGCAAAGTAAATGTGACTGGAATTCATTGCTGGTGTTACGGACCTACCAGGCACCAATCGATTACGGGGCAGCAACTTACTGATGGGCCACCGAGAGCCAACCGATCAATCTGTCATCAGATCACGTGCAGAACCTTACAGGAAAAGAGAAAACGTGATCATGCTCAGTAAGCAAGAGCATGATCTACCCTGAGCGATCCCACCCGGCAGACTTTATCCAGTCCATATGTAGCTATACATGATGGACAGACTCTGCGCGCCAAGAGGCCAATTGGCCTTCCTCTCGCCATCTCATTGTATCAATAACCAATGAGACTGCAACCACGTGATTATGCAAGTGGTAGAAATGTCGACAGTCGATGAATAGATTTCGCCAAGCCAAATCTACTATTCTACTTTCTACTATTCTACTCAAGAAGGGCTCAGGATATATAAGGACATTCATTCACGTATCTAGTTTAGTTGTTCGTGTTCAATCATCCATTGTTACTTGTGTCTACTGTACGGAACGCTTGGTGACACGTACAACTTGATTAAACCTGACAACACTACGAATAGACCTGTACTTCGAAATTGGTTAGCTTGGCGCTCTACCTGGCATCACTCCTCGATACGCTCAAAAGGAGTTAGCCCGTATAAGGCCTGTTAGGCAATGGTACGGTTGAGTGACAGATGGTTGACGTTAGAAGCAAGGAAGCATTCAGGCAAGTATAACCCAGGAATCTTCTAACATAGCGACGACCGGGCAGTCGTGCGTAACACGTGACAAAGGCCGGTAAACAGGAAAACAAAAGTGAGGTTCTAAGGAGGAGTAAGCACACCACCCTTCATGTTACTCTATCTTGGCGAAGCTATGCCCTTTTCGGTGGAATTTGAATTTACCACTTCGTTTTTGCTTTCCAATTTCTAGATTAGACTTCGTGAAAAAAAAAAAAAAATGAAGCTGAGCCGTGTGCCCAGCTTAGATTTGGATTGATGCGTTCCGTGATCCTTTAGACAATGTCATAGAGCTGAAGTATTCATGTCCGGTACTAAAGAGCACGGAGAGCTAAGCTTATGAAAAAAACAAGCAAACTAAACTAGGTACAAAAATAGGCAGAATAGGTGATATTACGTACGTGAAACCTGTAATGCGGCTTCTTTCAAGGGATTGAGAAAAGATTAAGAACTAATGATACCACTCGCGGCATATTATACGAAACAACTTTAAGATATCCCTTAGAATGTGAGCCCGGGTATCAAGTCGTGGTGCCAATAGCTTAATTAACTTTGCGCTTACCCAGTACCGGTACTAACGTCGGTAAAGGGATTGTGTTGTTCATAGGGCTCCAATAAACTTTGCAATGAACTAATTGTGCTTGTTCAGCCTATGTCGATCTAGTTAGCTCGATTCATCAACCATTTTGGTAGGAAGATATAAGTGTCTAGTGCCCCCTTAATAAATTGTATTAAAAGAATTGGGAACAGGGAATACAAATTGAGCGGACCTTTTTTTAGCCCCTCCTAAACACAAATTTGACCTACTAGAAAGTACGAGAAACAAGTAACCAGGCTTTTCTTGGCTCCGCGGGCCAAGGAAGGATAAAAAGGGTCCCTGGTCACTCCACAGCACCGTTGCGCACATGCGTCGTGAAAAAGGTCTTCCCATTCGTGGGTCTGTGGCTGGATGGCATAGATACTCCTGAGGATGCCTTGGCACCCAAGAAAATTAAATACCTAATGGGGAGTTTTATGTAGTTAATTAAGTAGGTAGATAGGAATTCGGCCTTGAAGAAATTGCATTAGTCCGGAGCAGGTAGAAGACGTGACAATAAGCCAGATTTTCAGATAAAGTCAACTTCGGCGGAGGGTCGGGCTAAAATGAAAACATCCGTCCCGTACCCGGCACACAACTTAATAGTTTGGACACGTTCCTTACCACCTCAATTGACCCCTGTAGGGTGCCACTTGGTCAAATTTCGGTTCCTGAATTTTTTCCGTCTTGGCGTGAGATTGCATTTTTGTTTGATGGCCAATAAGGTACTTACGGTTGTTTTTGTCGTGCCCGTTTCCCCCTTTTGACGGTCTTTGCGCGTATATTGTGTTCAAAAGTATGCACTCGAGGAACAGCCCCCAGTAGGAAAGATATCCTGCATTATATCTACGGAGTATGTACCTGAGCGGCTAGGAGGCTTTTGTTTATTTTGTGCAGTTAGCTAGTACTTACATATTCAAGATTATCCGTCCTTTTCCCAGCTACTAGTCTCAGCAAGAGTTATACTCGTACCCAGTTATTCCAGATATGCAAACACCCAAGCGCTAGCGGAATGGTGCTCGACTAAGGCTACAGGGGCAATATTCTATAAATTACAGTCGAGTATAAACGCCTTAGATCTCTCCTGCGCAAACCATGGTGGCTTGCAGTAGCGTGTGACTCAAAATAGGGCGTGTTCCCGATACTACATTCATTTTGGCAGGCCTTCCTAGCTTGTTTATAGTGGACTTCGTGGTGTAAGCCGCCATTGCAGAGGATGTAAGGAAAAAGGCCGAGGACTCCTAGAGGACTGCATCTCTTATTACGACATGCTTTACGGCCCCTAACCATGTCAGCTCAGCAACTTAGTCACTCTCCATTCAAGAAAGGCCAAGCGGAAACCACAACCGAACCTAGAACCAGACCAGTAGGGCGGAACAAGGACTCTAAGATATCTAGTCCGATCCTCTCCGCCTATGATACATGCCGACAAATGAAAAGCCGATGTACCAGAGAGAATCCGTGCTTGATATATGAAAAGTCTCAGAAAGTCTGTAACTACGGCCCCTATAATAGGCATGGTCGGCCCAAAAGCAGCAAGAATAGGCGGAAGCGGATATAGCAACCCCTAGACACGAACAAGAAGCAAAGGAGCAAGCCACAGGGAGAAGACAACGGGGGTATCATACAGTGGATCTAACACGAACGGTAACAGTCACAACTTCAACCACAGCTGCTCTAGCCGGAGCTCAACATAATCGAGTTTGAAGCCGACATAAAGTACACAGTTGATCCCACAATAGCCTTAGGTGATAGCAACAAATTCACTAGGGATATTAGCGGTGGCCATATGCTTAGTATAACTTCGGGTCTCCTCGACTCGTTGATTGCAAACGATAGCACGGGCTAGAATCATGATATTTGCTTTTCTTAGGTATCATCAACCGATTCACCGTATTCACACATATTTTGTTGAGCTAACACTTTTATTTCGCTTCTTGAATACAGACATCCCGTTGGCTTTCTAAACACCCGCTTTCCCTAAATAACCCGGGACGTGTCTTCCCACCGAATCGAGCGGTCGGCCTTGATGGCATTACATTCCTATATAACAACTTAGCTCTATCGTGTCACTCCTATCAATCATCATTTCTGCCTTACAAGCGAGCGATACTTAAGCCTACCATGTCGAGAGGCCTGACTGAATCTCAACAGAGTGGGAAAATTGTACCAGCGAAATGATGTACACTAAAATTGAAATGGCGAAAAATTGATCTTGTACGAGCACGGCTGTACAGCAGGGGTCGAAATCAGATTCACCACTTGAACACAGAGGTTCTTTTCGGAACGTCAACCTAAAACTCACTATGCCTATTATAGTTTACTCTGCCCCTCTCCCTTGATCTTGGCAGTATCCTGATACAGTCGTATATAACAGCCCATAAATAGCCTTTGTATTAAGCTTGTACAAGCTACGGTGTTTCTAGAATGTCCGTTCTGCAAACAAAGCAAACAGAAGGGGGGCCTGCTCTGCCGAGCAACCTAGCCACAATTACCATTCTAGTGAGCTATTTTGGACGGCATACAGTACTAGTGGGTTTGTATTTTTACTTTCCGATAGGTAACATGCCGCGCATCCCTCCTGGGAGGGTTACAGTGCATATGGAGAGCTCGTCGTTATGCAGCTTTAGTCCGCGTACGCTTAGGCCCTACCGGTGACCCGTTAAACCAATGAGTAGCTGTTTATCAGTTCAGCTAGGTACGGTATCTCCAATGGCCCTAGCACACGCTAGCCTTTGGAGAGGAATTTATTAACTGCATATTAAAGCATAACAACTTTATCGTCAGCACGCCACTTTAATATCTTCAGCTCAAGAATTCCCAGCCACTACCAGAGTTTAAGCGCCGTGCTGCAGGATTCCCTTCTGGGGCACGGCAAGGGCTCGTACTATCGGACCCGGCCATTCCCTCTTGGGTTTATATGATAATGCTGACATCAAGTTCCGTCGCTCTTCTGGAGCTGAATCTGATAGTAGCATCTTTAGAGAGGGCATGTCCTGTCGCTTCGTACTATCGGGTATACACTAACCATTTACGCCACCCTCGCGGCCTAGGGGTTCTCCTATTCCCGTATATGCGTCGAAGCCATTATTTCATTTCAGCTCCGAGTGATCTATTTCCTGCAGGTGAGATTGGCACATGGCTCGGTCATATCCGAACCCACTTCTCCATGGTTTATTGTGAGATTAACGTAGGTGTAAGCACTAGAGCACAGCGCCTAAACCGCTGAAGCACTAACATCGATTGGATTGTCGGTGGCGATCTGAGTAGCAAACAGAATTATACGTCAATAATAGCCGAGAGAAGGTATCTCTATTAGCCTTCGTATCACGGTCCCGTTTGTTATATAAAGCGTCTATATCCTACGAGTATTGGAGCTTGTCTCCTCCGCCTAACTCGACAAGACACTATTTCTCTATTAGAGCATATACTCTGTAGCCTGCAGCACTCCTACACTATCCTAGGTCCTGACATACTAGTCAACCAGCATCCTGTATGTATGCCACCACAAGCTCTTTAGGAGTATGCTGACCCTTGCAGCGCTACAATGTCCTACACTATCCGTCTCCGTATCGAGAACAGCACCTCGGACGCCCTCACAGTTGTCGAAAAAACCTGCTGGTACTATGCCAATGGATGCACCTGGACCGAGAACGACGGCCAGCATGTGCTGTTCATGGGAGGCAGCGGTACCTCTGGAATGCTTCGCTTTAAATCCTCCTCCGGCGAAATATTCACCACCGTCGTGGGCATCCACAATTACAAACCGTGGTGTGGTTTGCTGTGGGGCCTGGGGGAGCAGGATACGGCACTGAAGCTGCATCCGGAATTCTACAGCGGGGGCAAGTATTCGCACGCGGCGCCTGAAGGGTGTTACAGCCCCGCGACGCATGCTACAAGGGCTTCGATTACTTTCGAGAGGGAGGATCAAAACGAGGTTTTTGCTGCTTTGAAATACTATCCATCCTAGGTAGTCTAGGACAGGCGTGTTTGCTAATTTGCCGTCGGGTAGGGCGGCAGATATGTTAGGTACTGGTTGATCTGCTCTGGGTCTAGATAGGAAGCCTTACTTCCGCACTCTATTCTCATCTGTAACAAGAATGCATCAAGAGTGAATAAGAAAAAGAAGATATTTTTAACGGCCCGTTAAGTCTGAAAGGACTACTAGCACAATACACTAGACTCCTGTCATTTCTAGATCTATCATCACCCCTGATACGGCCGAACGGACACTACAGAGATGAGTATTATTTGCGACTTGTCATGAACTGAAGAAGCACTCTCTCCTGGTGTTCTCGAAATTACTACTCCTGCGACTGAGGTGGCAAAAAAGTCATGAACCGGAGTGGGCATGCGAATTTCTAGAAGACCAGTGTTTGGATTATAATTCCACCTATGCCTGTTAGCTACACGCAGCCATTGTCATTAACACCAACAGCATACCGTACTTTATCGAGGGTGTGGTCCCAAACAGGTTGGTCGTTTTCCAATTTCTTGAGGAGCTCTGAATATTGATCCCGTACTAACGTCACCGTTTTGTTGTGGGAGATGGGAAACGTCGACCGCGAAGATCGCCGAATATTGTCATAGCATGATGTACAGCAAACGCGTCTGATATCTGCGGGCGCTCACTGGTCGGTGGCGGTGTTAAAGGGAAAGTGAGTCGCCCCACTATAGAGAAAACGTAGAGCAGAGAGCAGTCATTACTCACAGGAGGGCGGTAGAGCACCTATCTACTCGCCGTTGCTTACCCTTGTTCACGCTTAGTGAGCAGGTGAAGAGGTTCTGGGTGTGAAAGATCCGGGGCCTGCTGGGTATTAGGAAATGCATGTGATTTCGTATTCCCGGGAGCGTCTCCTTGGCATCTGGAATTTTGTTTATCTATATAGAGATCAGGTCCGTTGGAAACATGATCTTTATGATTCAAATTCTACGGCATTTGTGTATTTAAAGGAAGGTCCAGATTTGGTCTAGCTAGAATAATAGAACAGCCTTAAATACGATGCAGATACTAGGCAATGACGTTACCGACCCTAGGATTAGTTTTAAATGAACTGTCTACCTATAGCTGACCTATCTTGCCTGCGATGTTAACTCTAGTGCTTGAGATCTGATTTTATGGCAAGACAGTCCTAAATGGCGGGTAAGACAGCTTACTGATTTGTCCGATTCGGGCATCGCATATTGATCCTTACTAGTAGCCTCTATATAAGGTTCTTCTAGTGCGCATTTATATAGCGATTAAACGCACTAGTTCTGTACCGTAGTCTTTATCTATAGGAACATCGAAATATACTTGATCACGTGTAATCGCTTGAGTTCCTACTAGCGGCGTTGTCAGTCACGTGCGTGGTCTAGCTTTCTTACGTTAGGCGAATTGTCTACTAGCAGAATGTCCGGTTGTAATTGCTTCGAGGTTTGAGTACAATTACACGACCAAACCCTTGGTTAATAGGGCTAGGCTCTAGTAGTAGTGCTGTAGTACCTATATAGAAGCATAAGTCGTGTTCCGCGTATAAGTGCGGTTGGCATATAACAGTTATAACAAAATTAACTTACCTTCTGAGCCTTGAGGCATCAAACCGATGCCTGAGGCCAAGTCAACATCCTCAGTCAGGTAGAGGTCCTGACAGTGAGAGGGAACCGGAGAGACCGATAATAACGATAACTAGGTCGTATTCGTGGCTAGGCAACCGAGAGCTATTCTATGACGCCGGGGCTATTGTCAGGGCCCCGACCTGCCAGGTGCCTTATGGATGCCTGAAGATATATAGCGTGTTGAAATTACACGATGAATGACGCTACGGAAGCATGTATGTCAAGGCCAACGAGGTGGTTTAGGTCTGATCTCTCTCTCATGAGAGAGAGATCCTATTTAATGAGAAGCATTTCTCCTGAACTATACTCTACATGGTAGGTCAATGCTGATCATGAGCTTCATGCTTGGCGAAGCAGGCATTCCATGCCTGGAGATGCCTGGATAAGCCATGAATCTCAACATAGCGAGCTTTGGCCCTCGCATGGAGGACCAGCAATTAGTCTCTTAATACACCTGTACGTACATTCGCCGATAGACTCTACTTCCCGAACTTATACTGCTACCCTAGGACCTCGCAGGGCCCTAACAGCTATGTAGTGTAACCTCGGATAGAGCGGACAGAGCGGGGAATACGGCATCGAGGGTATACCGGCGCTTTATAGGTGTGAAGGAGGCCGGCGGTACTAGAGACGAATAAGGCTTACTAGCAGAGAAAAACCTAGATAGCTTCGTAGCATAGTACACAGAAACTCCCTTAGGGAAGGAGTAGGAGTATCGAACTAAAGCCACACGATACCGCTGCTAGCTAGATCATTCCAGTGGTTCTGCTTCTGTACAATTACTATTCTAGCCCGAGGAGCAAGAACAAGCTAGGGTTCGGATCGAGCGGCATCTCTAATACAATAAAAGGGGTAGTGCGTCGGGCTGCAAGCTAAGGCGTAATAGTCGGTGGGGGCGAGAGGGAAAGGAAGGGGGCGGCGATAAGTGCAAGATAGAGGACTTCTAGGGAGGGGAAGAAGGAGAAGAGAGGTCGAAAGGGCGAGGTCGGGTCTTTTATGTCGAGGCGACGTCGGGAGAGGTTACAAAACAGTGTATTGGGGCGATAAACCTAGAAAGGCAAAACTAACCGGATACAGTAATTCACAGGTCCCCATTTTACTCCTAAAAAAAGCATAGAGCGTATTTGGAAGAAAGATATATTTTGCTCTAGCACACCTTCACGACACCAAGATTTGGCCTTCTTTTCGCCTACAAGCAGTCACGTTTCAATTCGACCCTAATTCTATTGGAACATTTTTTTAGTGGCTAAGTTAATCTATTAATGTCTATTATTTCTCCTCGTATGTCATGCAAAGAAAGTGTGTCGTTGGATATTGAAGATGAAGGCAGCTGTAAAAAAACACGTCTTATTGCTCTCGTCAAATATTTTACATGCCCTGAAACGAAGGAAGTGAGAGGAAGATGTACCTTTGTGGGCAGAATACTCCTGTTGTAAGAAAACTTAATCTATGATGTTGCTGTTAGTCGACTTTCCGCGTGATCCGTGCGAAATTTGGCTTCTCCATACTTGTAGTATGTTTTTAAACCACTGGTAATGCGATTTTCCAAAATTTGAGACATTTTATGAAGGAATAGGTTTGTGGTGAAGAAGGCGGGTTTGGGAAACTGGCAATAGTCTAGGGTGGCAGTTAGTCTAACCCAACACCTGAAGGCGGTGGGGTTCGACGGCCCAAGTAAGTTAATTCCAACATCAAAACCCCTGAGAGCTTGGCATAAACACATTGCACAGGTCCCCAGGATAAGTAGAATCACACAATCACAACTCTCTCATTGGATCCTCCACTCACTGGGTATACGGTAGAGCCTTGGTTTGGCAATTGCTTTTGACAGTTGAAATCATTAGTGGCGAAACCGTTCCCAAAAGCAATTTCTGGAGCACTGCCTGGTCAGACAGCCGCAAAAACCAATTATCTGAATCAACGGTTCCTCTCGTACTAAATTGAATTATTTAAAACTTTCAACAACGGATCTCTTGGTTCCGGCATCGATGAAGAACGCAGCGAAAGTAAGATTGCTCTATACAAATTCTTGCTTTGCGCATTATTCCAAATCCAAATCAACCATGGGACATCGGAGCCCTAATGAAGTCTCTCTACCCATCGATATTCTGTTGCTCATTGCCGACTATTTGCGTCCAGGGCACTTGGTCCAGTTCTTACGAGCGATCCCTGGGATTGGGCAATATTTTGTACCACGACACGTTAGTGACCGAGACACGGAAGGGAATACTCTCGTTCATCTACTTGCTGTTGGTGGCGATGTCGCATTACTCGATTTCATCAGCACGGTTCCCGGCGTAGAACTTGATCTTCCCAATTTTTCCGGCGAAACGCCATTGTGCTTGGCAGCGAAGTTTGGAAATGAGCAGGTCGCCAAATTACTTCTGGCGAAAGCTGTTGCAGATGTGAATTCAAAAAATCATGAAGGCATGTCACCTCTCGCATGGGCTGCGTGGAACGGGCACAGTCGAGTAGCCACTGCTCTGATTCAATGCAATGTGGATGTGATGGCAAAAAATATTTATGGATTCTCTCCACTCGCTCTAGCGGCAGAAGAAGGGCGTGAAGTGATTGTCGGTCTTCTTCTTAAGCACGAGAAGATTGAGCCAAACGTGCGGACCAATCAAGCAGCAACACAAACATCTTTGAGCGCAGGAGAAGGCCGGTCATTAGCCGCGACTGCTTTGATGCACCCGCAAGCTGTTGGAGTGAAATTAGCAGACCTCAGTGGCTTCACACCACTGATGTTGGCTGCATTAAGGGGTCACGACTGTATCGTGGAGTGTCTGCTTCGAAGACATGATATTGATATCAACTTGAAGGATGATAAAGGTCTCACCGCCATTGCCCACGCAGCCTCCGAAGGGCATGAATCTGTCGTGATGCAATTTTTTCGAAGAGCAGATCTGGATATCAACTCGACGGATGGCAAGCACTATACCCCTCTAGCGTGGGCCGCGTACAAGGGCCATCAAAGAGTCGTGGGGAGGCTTCTTCAGCATCCTGATATTCAGGCAGATTTGGCAGACCATACGAATGCCACTGCACTGTCTCTAGCCGCCAGCAAAGGACATGATGGAGTTATAGAATTGCTAGTCGCACTAGAGTGTGTTAATCCAAACTCAAAGGATGATAGTGGCTATTCTCCTTTGGCGATAGCAGTTTACAATCGTCACACAGCAGCAGTGAAAGTACTGTTCCAAAGAAACGATTTGGATGTCAATATCCAAGACAACGATGGCTTCACTCCTCTTATGTGGGCGGCACAAGAAGGATACCAAGATATGGTCAACCTCCTTCTTCAGCGTCATGATATTCAGCTATCCCCAAAGTCAAATGAAGGTTTCACGGCTTTGGCTTTGGCGACATCTGCAGGCCATGAAAGTGCAGTGAGGTTGTTGCTACAGCATGACAGCTCGCAACTGTACACTGTGGACAAAAGCGGCGTTTCGCCGCTCGCTAGGGCGGCATACAATGGAGAACTGGGTATGACAAAATTGCTCCTTGGGCAATTTTGTGTAAAGGCGGACTCACGCGACCATCAGGGTTTTACTCCGCTAACCAGAGCTGCACAGAGAGGTCATGAACAGATTGTGCAGCTCCTTCTTGAACGACACGACGTGAATCCAAATTCCAAAACGGATTTAGGCTTCACACCTCTGGCTGTGGCTGCACTGAAAGGGAGCCACAATGTTACAAGAATACTGCTTGATCAACCTGGAGTCGATGTCAATTCGAAAGATGAAATGAATTGTACTCCTCTGTCTGGAGCTGCCCAAAGTGGACACACAGCCGTTGTGGAGCAACTCCTTCAAAAAAAAGATATAGAGTTGGCATCAACCGATGTAAACGGGATGACAGCCCTTGCATTTGCCGCCCTCTATGGTCATCAAGCGACGGCACGTTGTTTGGTCCGGAAAGGCGCGATGCAAGTTCAACCCAAAGGGGAGAACATAATGGCACCCCTATCTTGTGCGGTTTCTGGAAGACACAAAGCGATTGTGAAACTTCTTCTTGAGCAGCCCAATATAGATATCAATGCCCCCGACCGCCTGCAGTTAACGCCCCTTGGCCTGGCAGCGCGAGCAGGATCTCGCAAGATCGTCAAGCTTTTGCTCGAACGGGAGGATATCCAGGTGAACTCGACGGACAACAATGGTATGACGCCACTGATGTGGGCAGCGTCTGGAGGACACGAAGCTGTAATCAGACAATTGTTATGGCGGGCAGAAGTGGATGCAGACCGCGAAGCGAATGACGGAAGTACAGCCCTGCTACTAGCCGCTTCAAACGGGCATACGGAAGTCGTTAGACGACTCCTCACTCGAAAAGATGTCAATCCAAACCACCGATCCGCTTGGGGCGCAACACCGTTAGCACAGGCATCGCTGAAGGGGCATGTCCCGGTCATGAACATTCTTCTTGGACATAAGTCTGTTGCGGCAGACCTAGAAGACGAAGAAGGCGCCACACCATTGTTACTGGCGGCTTGTAAAGGTCACACAGCAGCCATACAATTACTACTATCCCAGGGCGATGTGAACGTGAACCATCGAGATGCTGATGGATTGACCGCACTTGCGTTGGCGACAGAAGAAGGCCATGAGGAGATAATAAGGATACTCCTTAGTCATCCAGATATTGAAATAGAAGCAAAAGACGATATAGGCAATAGTCCACTGTCTCTCGTGGAGAACTTTGGACGGGTTTGGCAAGCCTGACTGATGATACTGTATGTAGATAATCCTGGATCCATTTTTAAATTGAAACATGCTAGAGGGACACAGTGTGCAATGCGCGCGTCTTCCAGTAGCTTGTTACCATTTCATGTCTGAGCATAACTTCAAATACGGAAAAACCATTTCACGGTTACGGTTTGAAAACCACTCAGTTTATACAGGCCAGAGACCGCATAATTCAGATGAACATACCAAAAGCCTTTTCTCGATCCCGTAATTGCTGCCAAGGAATTAACAAGAGCAACAAGGCTATGAAGCTGCTCAAACCTGTGTGAAGATCCTCTGGGCCGAGTGCCGAGTCTACCGTCGTATTCATACTCCAATTGCCGTCCTCGATGGCTCATTCTAGGACATCAAGGTCTCCGAGAGCTATCTAAACTTCTAAACTGGCACGCAAGCAACTTATCTACGCTAGCTTGTACGATCTAGAACCTTACATTGTTCCGTTACCCTATGCTGCGATATGGAGTGGTGCGCTGGGAGCTGCGCTCGAGACGCGGGATATCTAGGTGATTGACTCTATATTGTTAGACGTAACACTTGCTCCTTTCTGCGGGTAACACTGGCGTTTGAAGGTAAGGTCCTGATCTACGTGCTTGTGACCCCATGAGCCTGGCAGAGCGTATTAAGGTGTCCTCAGTACTCACCCCTTCCGCTGTGGAGGTAACATCACTGGAAGACATAACAAAAGTAGCCAATGTCATCTATCTTCATGGATGCTACATGACCAAATGCTTCGCCAACGGGGTCTAGCTCTCCATCTTCACCGGTCCGTAATTCATCCAATGCTGGTCCGTTCTTGCGTGCGTCAATGATAAAACAGCACTACCCGACTTCCATGAACATGCTCTAATGTCTATTTCTATATTCATGATTCCGAAGCACAAGTATACTGGATGCAGCAAGCATGTGTGATGTGGTTCCTCGTCTGCTACCATTCCCTCAGCCAACTAACGCTGTTGTATGGGCGGTGAACCCCACAAGAATGAAAAGTTTCGCTCCTTAACTCGAGGGTCGGCTCTCTCGACAGAAAGTGTCTTTTTTGCCTTGATAATGTGGGTTACTTCATGTAAAGTACCCAAGCTGACCGAATCAGGCCTTTTAGCATATCGAGGGTTGAATTATTCAGCGCAATAGTAGCTACGCGCCTAATATGATATGGATAAGCTGCGAGCTGTTGGGCCAACTAAAATACTGTGAACATTATCAAGAGCATCAGCAATTTGATGTTTTCACATTGAAGCAAGGTTTGAGCCAAAATTTGCCTGCTTGAACAATTCTTATTATTTTAAATTTGACAGTGGCTTCATTGATCTTCTCAAGAAACTATTCCTTCTTCTTGTTCAGAGCCTCACTATTGAGAATGCCAAAAGCTGGTACTTCCGAATACCTCAGAGTACGATAGATAACCGGGATAACTTTGTAGCTTCAGCATATTAATTATTATATCTGCTTCCCATCGGGTTGTTTTGGGTACTGCTGCCTCATTTTTGCAAGTTGGTACTCCACTTCCTTATTCTTGAGTTCTAAGTTGCAAGCCTTCTGGTGAGCGATCTTGACGTGTTCAATCAGAGAACCGCCTTCTCACACCCTGGCGGTGAATGGAAGTACAACAGGCGAGAATCAAATAGAAGGGGTCCTTCACTTCCCAAGTGACATTTCCCTACAGCATCACCGCAACCGCCAGGATGGCAGCAGCACCCATGAGGCCAGTGGCGATCACACCAGACGGAGCAGCAGCACCGGGTACACCGCTGCCAGAGTTCGAGTTAGAGCTGGAACCGCCGCTGGACGTCACTCCAGTCGGCATGGGTCCAGTAGCAGTAGCATAGTGGCTGGAGACCCAATCCTTGACGCTGTTGGGCAGGTCCTGGTACCACGAGGGGTAGTGGCCGTTATGGATCTCGCTGAAGATGGACGAGCGGGCCGATGGGTTGCCAATCTGCGAGAGGAAGGACATGGGGACAGCGGTAACGAGAACCGACTGGATAGAGGGAGGAGGCATGTCGGCAGATAGGCCAGACGGCATGTTGATGCTGGGAGCCGCGGTCATCGAAGGGAAGTTGTTGGAGTCCAAGTTCAATCCAGTGCTGGGCGAGTCCGAGGGATCAGGAAGATAGGCGCTGTAGTCTGTTGGGAGGTTGCTGTAGGCCGTAAGGTAGTCCATATAGTTGGTGTCGGTCTCCCTGGTATATTTTTAGAATGGATGCTTGAGGCATATATATAGAGGGAATCAGGGAAAACCTACAGGCTGTTGAGCTGGCTCATCAGGCTGTTGTAGTAGTCGTCGTAGTCGCCCTGTCTCTTTTCGACCTCAGCAGCAGCCAGGGCCGAGAGGAACAGAATAGCCAGAGTCTTGGGATGCATTTTGATGGATAAACAAGGGAGAAAGGAAGAAAAGACACAAGAAAAGACAGATGACCAGTGGATATAAATGAAAGTGCGAAAACTAACAGCAAAACTTCTTCGAAAACAGGGGCTGCAGCGCCTTTAGAACAATCCGCCAAGAGAGTCAGAATTGAGCTCCAGTGAACCCTGATTCCTATCCAATCCGCCACTTTGTCAGCCTCTGGGATCATGTCTCTGCTCGTATCACTCCACCAAACCCAAATCCAAGCTAGGCAATCACGACGGGCCATTAGTTAAGGCAAAAGGAACCTGTCGGTCCTGCAGGGTCAAAGTCTAATCCAACTAAGAAGTGTCCCAATCTACTGGAGAGGGCCGTGTTTCCAGAAAGAATAGACGAACGGATATGTTTTTGGTAACTTGGCACCTGAAAAGGACTAGCGTGGCGGGTGTGGCTTCTGGGAGGCTCGTATTCCAGGTGTACATAGGGGTGGGCGGGCTCTGGTAGGGTTCGGTCGCCTGTATAGCCCAGCGTGATATGTTGTGGGTCCACTGCAAGTGGAATCGACTAAGCTCAGATAAAGTTTTAGGGGATCCCATTAGTGCTAATCAAGGCAACGTGGTATTGGGTCGGTTTACAGGCACAAAATAAGGAATTCCAGAAGTTGTTTAGAAGTGGTAATCGTGTGCTACTTTGGCCAGTACGTTTTCCGGCTTGAATTAGGGCTGCGTTGTCTGCGGGCGTGGACCCTGGATCGACAGTTCTAACAAGTGTGGGTCTTAGCGGGAAGATATACGAGGTTGCAGTTGGTTTGAAAGGTTTCAAGACTGAATACGAGCACCGCAGATTTTTCAGACGTTCCGACAGGCCCAGATTCGATTTAGCGTCGAGGTTCCTGTAATTTCGTCCAGGACAGAAGCCATGTCCCAATACGTGTTCCTAAATTAAACAATTGGCAAACAGGGGCTATTCTCGACGTCGGGGTCCTCGGGACCATCAGTGGCATTCCAATCTCTGTCGTAGGACCCTTGGCTCGAGTTGTTCATCAAATTAGAAAAATCTACCAGCCGGAGTGCAATCCAATATCATTATAGACTAAATACATTTTTTCAAGTGGGCTCAAAAAGAAGAACATATAAAAGCGCCGGGGGAGGACCAATAGAAGACTCTGTATGATTCATCCCGGGGTGGCTCGAAAGAGTTGCCTACATAGGCTTAATAAAATATAAGCTGGCACGACATCCATCATCTGCAATTCTGAGCAACGATATGCTTCATAGTTTTCGTGCTTCAATGGCAAGTACTGCTGGAAGCGTCGAAGTGTGTTATCAAGGCTGATCCAATGGAAGTTCAGCTCTGTGCTCCACACTGAGGGCAGAATCGGCTGAAGACAGCAGTCCCGCACTGGCCACAATACTTGGAAGCAGTTGCTGTGGCATTGGCTTCCTTAGGAGGAGGTGTGCCAGCGAGGAATGGGCCCGGAATCTCAGGGGAAACAGGCTGCGGCGGGGCATTTGTGGGCTGAGGCGCAGCGTAGGGCTGCTGGAAGGGCTGGGTTTGCTGAACAGGAGGAGAGTTGACGTATGTAACGGTATGGTGACTGTAGCGCTTGCGCTTGACGCAGAAGATGATGAGTAGGATCCAGGCAGTGAGCTTGAGGACACCGCCAATCACGAACATGGCAACAGCGCCATAAAACTCGCCCATGTTTGTAGTGACACAGGAGTAGTCGTTATAGTAGGAGCTGTAGTAGGAGCTGTCGTAGGAGCTATAGGAGCAGTCATTGTATGAACTTGAGACCCATGCGCCCATGAGAGCACCACCGATGATGAAGCAAACGACAGCGCCAATGAAAACGCCGATGGGCCACCATTTGTTGAGCCGTGAGGGCCGCGAAGCTCCTGTGTCTTGTTGCATGGTTGATAGATATGGTTCTCAAAACGAATGATTAAGTTGATAGACGGAAAGAAGAGAAATAAAGGAAGGACTAGAGCAATGTAACTAAACGGGGCCCAGGAGCTTTTAAGGCATTTGCATCTGCGTAAGGGCCCATTCAGCCCCATCGCCGCTAAAATTCAGGCGTGGAATAACGTTCTGAGAGTCTACCACCGTTAACGCCAAGTAGAGCATGGGGCTAGCCTGGTGTAGATCCCCCTATTTTGGTGGTCCATCTCGTATCCAGGAAGACAACATGGCATGGTGTCGATCTCTTAAACAATCATTTTGCTCAGAAACCCTTCCCAGAACTCGTTAGAAAATTCCCAACATATTTTCTATCAACCTACATGATCTGCAACGTCACTTTGTAAGAATTCCTAAATTTATGAAAGGACATATCCCATAGGAATCTATGCTCCCCACAGAGTTAGGACATAATCGCCAAGGATCGGCTCAATGCAGAGCCTCCATGGATTTATTGCTCAATCAGAAGAAGCTGTCGATCCATCATCGTATTTTGAAAAGTGGAGCAGTCCGCACATTCGCCTCACAAAGACACCGCCAAGTGGAGTGGATTCTCTTTCCGAGTAGCACTCATGACAAACGGCCTTTGGTTCCCTGCGTTTTCCCGGGCCTAAACCACCCCTTCTTAACCTTGAATCATGAAGCCCGCAATCACGCGTTATCTAAATAGTGAACTGTGGATGGCACGATGGCAGTCTGACATAGCAGACGGGTCGATATCAATGGAGAGAAGACTACCAATCACTCCCATGCCCACCGTAGGCGTAGTGAGTAGTCTCAGGAAGCGACTGCTGTACTAATCTTGAGGCTATATTCTGAATGAAGAATCTGGTGGAAAAACTGTAGTCATATTGAGGATGGTAGGACGCTGTCCCTAGAAGGAGAAGACTGCATGCAAGTTTCCTGGGGCATTTGCGATACCTCAGGCCAACAATACGCTAATATTACGGGTTCCACGACTACAATGGGGAGGTGCGCGCCTACCAGGTGCCCGGCAGCGTGGACAAGCCATTGGAACTGGAAAGCGACCTATCAGATCGAGCGTGACGGCCAGGTCCTGAACCATACGACCGCTCTAGACCTCAGGCGGTAGCCTACACGACCCATAACAGCGTGATATGCATCGGCAAGGAAGGGGAGATAGATGGCAGTATGTGGCCGGCGCGATATACACGAAAGATAGCAAATACATGACCTTGGTAATGCTGTATCTAAGCCCTCCTTCTATTCTCATGATTTAGGACGCAGCGATAGCATTCTTAGAAGGTTTACTTGCTTATTTCACTTCTAATGGAACGTGAGTCACGTATTTCTTGGCCCTCGTATTTCGCAACGATCGATAGCTTAGTCTGCCCCTTTCTTACCGGTATATCTACTGTACCCTGGTCAGGTTTTCTACAAACTAGCTAAATTACACTAGCTTACGCCACCGGTCCAATTTATAATTACTGTAATTATTACTGTCAGTAACAAGTGACCTTCTTCACACCATTATAGCAGCCATTTTATACGGAAAAATCAGCAAAAATTTAGTAAAACATGTCTCATTATTAGACGCAAACAGCGGGAAACCCCTCAAAAAACCTGGCGACGTCGAGGTCTTATTGTAAGCACATCTTTCACACTTCGTGGGATGATATAATAAAGGAATTGATTCGATCGAAGTGAGGTAATAGACAGTACGATAGGGAAGCTGAAGAATAGCTGGAGTAGCAGCCATTAAGTGATCAATCGTCTAGAGTAGTTCAACGTGAGCTTTTTGCTTGATATTTATCATTTACTTGCTATATCCTACATCCTGCCGACTTATAGTCCTGGGTATCTTATAGCATCAAGAATCGTGTCTTAATCTCGAAACCAACATGAGATGCATTAGAATACGCGAAGATAGGCAAGTATCGTGATCTTGCTGGTTATTGTGACCTAGACCTGATATCATGATCTGGACTGGTACATATGTGACGGGATGCAATGGACGTGATAAAATTGCTTGACGGCATTAATTTGTAAAAGCCTGGCCAGTTACATCATAGGGAAATACGATATATTTATTGCTCGGCTAGATATTAAGTACTGAAAGGGGAATGGCACGATGGCAGTCTGGCATAGCAGACGTGTCGATATTAACACAGAGCATACAACGAACCACTCCCCTGATCGGTCTGAGTCGTAGGGTGTGGCTTCTGATGGAATAGACCGCTTAGAGCCTGATACTGTATCATGAAATCAAGAATTCGAGGGAGACGCAGTCATGCAGTGGTGCATGCCTGGATGAGATGGCTTCCTGTGGAGTAAACTGAGCTGAATATGGTCCTAGGCATTCTGCCACCTGAGACCCCTAATGTGCTACTGTCACGTCCTAGCTATAGCCAGGATTAGGCAAAAGGCACAAGCAATGTATTTTCACATGTTTTCATCTCTTAGAGGCTACATAAGCGAATAACTTTCCTAAGGCAGGGGCAACTAGCAAAAAGGATGGTAATGCTAGATAGATTTTAGTTGCTAGCACTAGCATCACAGAATAGATGGCTAATAAATGATTTACGTATCACGCGGCTTAAACTGTTCTGCCTCCGCGCCCTTATCAAGCGGCGGCACCCCGATCAGGAAAATCGCGACCGCGGCCTAATCTGGTACATACAGTTACATATATACACAGCCAATATAGATCGTCAGAGTCAAAATAGACAAGAAAAGGCACTTGTTTACTTAGTGCTCGGAAACGAAGATACCGGCCATACCCATTCCCTATTTGAGTGATTAGTATATCCCAATGGCAGATTCACAAGAAGGAAGAGCAACTCACAGTTCCAACACACATGGAGGTCACGGCGACGCGCTTGTCCTGGCGGCGCAGCTCAGAGAGAGCAGTAACGACCTGGCGGGCACCGGTAGCACCGAGGGGGTGGCCGAAGGCAATGGCACCACCACGGGGGTTAACCTTGGACTCATCCAAGCCGAGCTTGCTGACACAGTAGACACCCTATGATAACCAGAATTAGCCACGCACAGCGATAACCAATCACAAAAAACAAGGCCAACATACCATGGAAGCAAAAGCCTCGTTAATCTCAAAGATATCAACATCATCCTTGCCCAAGTTGAACTTGCCCAAAATCTTAGGAATAGCAAGCGAAGGCCCAATACCCATGATCCGCGGCTCAAGACCAGAAACAGTCGCACCACAGAACTTAGCAACAATAGGCTGTCCAAGCTCCAGGGCACGCGACCGCTTCATAAGCACCAACGCAGCAGCACCGTCAGTAATCTGACTAGCATTACCACCAGTAGTAGCACTAGGCGTCCACTGCGGGAACGCAGCGCGAACCTTACCCAGCGACTCAGGAGTGGTACCATAACGAATGCCATCATCACGATCAACAACAATATCCTTAACCTCGCCAGTCTTAGGATCCTTAATCTGAGTCTTGACAGGCACGATCTCGTCATCGAGCCAGCCGGCCTTCTGCGCCCGCTCGGCCTTCTGGAAACTCTTCGCGGCGAAGGCGTCGTGCTGCGCGCGGCTGATGTTGAATTGAGATGCTACGTTCTCGGATGTTTGACCCATGGGCTGGGAGTTCTGACTGGCAATTGGGTGCGCCGTGATACGGGCGGACATCTCTGGTGCGCCGCCGTCTTGGTTCTTGCTCATGCTTTCGGCGCCGACGGCTACGCCAACGTCGATTGATCCTGCGGTAATTTGGTTCGCGATGTTTTGGATGGCCAACAGGCCGGATGAGCAGAATCGGTTGGCGATTGAGGCCGCTGCTGTTACCGGGAAGCCGGCTGCTAGGACTGCTGATCGGGCGACGTAGGCTGAGCCTGGGCAGAGGACGTTGCCAACACAGACATCTTCCACGAGACTGGGGTCCAGCTTGGAGTTTTCGCGGACGCTCTGGGGGTTTTGTTAGATTTCGGGTATTTATATGTGGTTCATTAGGGTTAATGTACCGTGAGGAGGGAGACTAGGAGGTCATCCACGGTGGTATCTTTCAATCCACCCTTGCGGGCCTTGGTGAGAGGTGTACGGGCGAGGTAGGTGATGACCTGTGGTTCAATTGATTAATTGGTGTATTTGTATTTGCTTTGTGGTTGATAGCATACAATATCATCGGGGTTCTTGGCCAGGAGCTTCTGGCGGGCAGAACCAGGAGCAGCCAGCTGGTTTGCGACAGAGCTCAGACGCTGTTGTGGTGAAGACATTTTGTATAGTTGTCAATAGGGGAAGTGAAAAGAAAATAAAAGACCGAATGCGCGACGATCATCATTTTAACCCGAGCTCAGATGAACCGCGGCTAGATCGTGACCGAGCCGAAAGGTGGGACAGGAACAACATTCGCTCCGAGGCCGGGATGGAGCCGATGGAACTGCCGGATTAATTCGGTCCGTGGTGTGTACCATACCGTATTGCAGTGTTCCTCGGTTGACTTTCTGGGGTTGTGATTGGTGCGTAGACTGTATCTGACATGTTTCAAGAACCCACTATCCCCTGCTGATCGCGTAATATAGAATGGGTAGTGTGAGAGAGAGGTGGGACAGAGTGTTCTTTTGAATTACATCTATCGTACATGTCAGTTCGACTAAAAGCGCAATAACTAGAATACCGGGGAGCTTACCCCAGAAACCAAGAAACAGCAAAACCGGGGAAGCCGCTGGGGAAAGCCGAGATTCGAATACGGGGGATTTCCGTATCTAACGGGTCTGACTGCCGTCTTGCCCGCTGTCAGGTAAAAATCTGTAAGGCGCAGGCCTAGCGTCGTCACAAACGGCAGATCGAGTCAGTCGAGCTTCCGTAGAGAAATCCCGAGGACTCTCCCAGCTGGTTATATCTGTCGCTCTAGCTTCCCAGCAATTTCGCCAACCCCAATCTTTCTATATGTCGGTTTGCGACACTCATTCTTTCCTGCGGACCTTGAACCATCGTTAATTGAGCACCGCAAGACAACGTGAAGAACAACTTGCGCCTGCCTCACTATCGCCATGGACGTGCTCTCTGAAATCGGCATCCCCACTGTGGCCTTGGCATCTGCCTTGTCCGTAGCTGCTGGTGCGTACCTCAATGCGAAACTCGCCATATCGACCGATCTGTCCCAAATTTCTGGCGATAAGGCGTTTGGGAAGCGCCTTGCGGAGCGCATTGCCAAGCTCGATGGTGCAACGACCATATACAAGATTATGGAGCGGGTGGTGGATGTTGAAGGCAGGGGTGCTTTGGATGCGCTCTGGTTTGAACATCAGACTTGGTCATACAGTCAATTAAAGGATTGTGAGTACTTCATTTCTGCCCACGAGTCGGGGTTTCATGGCTGCTAACATGGAGATTGCAGTGGTTGATAGAATGGCCGCTCTGTTGAAGACCCGTGGTATCAACACCGGTGATACAGTTGGGGTCTTCACGACCAATTCACCGGAGATGGTCATCACCCTGTATGCGTTGTCAAAATTGGGTGCAGTAGCAGCAATGATCAACACCAACCTCCGAGGTAACATACACCTCTCTACATCTACATCTGAAAAGATCACCACACTAACCCACCAACCCCAATCCAGACGACACATTCACCCACTGCCTCAACGTCTCAGGCGCCAAATCAATCATCTCAACTGCTGACCTATCGCAACACGTCCTCGTCGACATCCCCCACCTAACGATAAACTTAAACTCCTTCCCAGACACCAAAACAAGTCCAGTAGAACTGATAACCCCCTCAACCCTCCAATCCCACTCCCCGACAGGCCTAAGCGCAGCAAAGCGTACACCCAAGGACCTAGCCGTCCTAATCTACACCTCAGGGACAACAGGAAAACCTAAAGCCTGCGCAATCCACAACATGCTCACGCTGGTAACCTCAACGCCCCTCTCACGGGATGCAAACAACCCAACAAAATACTACCCTTTACGCATCTACTCCTCCCTCCCCCTCTTCCACGGCACAGCCTTCTTCACGGGGATCTGCGGCGCAGTCGGGAACGCAGGAACACTTTGTCTCCGACGGAAATTCTCTGCATCCCAGTTCTGGAAGGATGTGCATGATTCGCGCGCTACGCGTATCCTGTACATCGGCGAATTGTGTCGCTATCTACTCGCTACCCCTGCCTCACCGTATGACCAGGACCACAACTGCATCGTTGCAGCGGGTAACGGGCTTCGCGGTGAGATCTGGGAGAAATTCCGGGAGCGGTTTAACGTCCCTGAAATCCGGGAGTTTTATCGGAGTACCGAGGGTGTGGCGAAATTCGATAACCATGGTGTTGGCGCGTGGGGAGCGGGCAAGGTTGGCTTTTCGGGGCCTATTCGGAGGTTTTTGGAGGATGATACTTTTATTGTGAAATATGATACGGATAAGGAAGCTCCGTATCGGGATCCGAGTACTGGGTTCTGTGTCAGGGCTGGGCTGGGCCAAGAGGGTGAGGCTATTGGGCGGGTTAGAGATCGGGGATTGTTGATTGAGTATCTTGGGAATGAGGCTGCTACTGAGGAGAAGCTTCTCCGGGATGTCTTTCAGAAAGGGGATCTGTTTCAGCGGACTGGGGATTTGGTTGTTCAGGACCTGGATGGTTGGGTGAGGTTCCAGGACCGGGTTGGGGATACTTTCCGGTGGAAGGGGGAAAATGTTAGCGCTGGCGAGATTCGGGATCATATTTGTCGTATTGAGGGGGTTCATGATGCTGTTGTCTACGGTGTTAAGCTGGCTGGGTATGTTTTCTTCACGGGTGTTTTGTTGATGGGTTCCGTGCTGATCTGATTTCTGTTTAGGTATGATGGCCAGGCTGGTGCTGCCGGTATCACGCTTGAATCGCCTGCTGCTGAGGTTGAGTTGATGTCCAACTTGTATGTCGAGCTGAAGAAGAAGGGTGTTCCTTCTTACGCTCTTCCTCGACTTGTTCGCCTTACTGAGAAGTAAGTATTGTCGTCAGTGCTGATTGAGTCGCATGTTAATCATTCGTCTGTAGGGTTGCCACAGGCGTTACTTTCAAGCAGGCCAAAGGCGATCTGGTGAAGAAGGGCTGGGACCCTCGCAAAGACTGGGGAGGCGACATCCTCTATTGGCTGGACGGAGAAAAGTACAAGAAACTGGAGACACAGAATTGGTCGGAGATCGAAAATGGCAAGGCCAAGCTGTGAGATCGTTAACAGCATCGAAGCCTGCATTGTACATAACTATTGGCACATCGTGGCCTGATATCCCAGGACCCATAACTTTAGCGCAAGCCGGAAGAGGTAAGCGTCGCACGCCACCAAATTAGAAGTCGAATCAAATCCATAGATTGACAAGCATTCAAGCTCCAACTAGGCCCGAGCAGACCTAGCGGGATGTGGAAAACCCAGTTTACCTTTGCGATCGGCGCTTTCATTCCAACGCGACTGGCTCCCCCTCGATGAGGGTTTTGGCACGCGGGGCCTCAACGCGGCCTGGCTTATTTAGATCGCGCCGTCCCGCTTGGTTTTCTTTTTCTTTTTCGTTCTCCTTTCTGTATTCTCCGACCTCTATAGTCATGGATCAGGAACAGCACAAAGACCCTGGCCTCTCCACAGCGGAGGTGGACCGAGAAGGTCATCCCGACACGAGCGACCATCCAACAGCCCCAGACCAATTCGACGAGCGATACCGCACAACCCGCCTGGAAATCTGGGCTTATTACGCGTGCGTGGATCGTTGAATTGACCCTGTGCGCAAACTAAACCACAACTGTAGCTATTACATTGGGAACAACGGGTTATCCCTATTCAGTGGGTCTATCTTAATCTTCGATTTGCATTTAACGTTAACCGAAATGTAAACCGGAGAACTAACTTAAGCTACATCTTAGACTTCGCACCAACTGCGTTCCAAAACCTCCTATACCAAGCCGCGCCATATGACGGCTTCCTCCAATTCGCCGGCCGGCAACGCTCAATAAACAGCATCGTCCTCCTCTCGAACGGGATCTCCTTCGCCATCCAAGTCGTGGTATTCCTAGTAATAGGCAGTTTCGCCGATTTCGGCTATTGGCGCCCAAACATCCTAATCGGATTATCGATCGTCGCTTACGCCATCGGGTTTGGCTGGTTGGGCGTACACACGTCGGATAAATGGCATGTCGCGGTCGGACTGTATATGGTCGGGCTGATCGCGTACCAGACCACACTTACCTTCTGGACCGCTGCGTTCCCTAGTCTGGCGCGGAATACGTCTGAGCTCAAGGAGAAGGCGGATGCGTATTCTGCGGGCAGGATTTCCCGTGAGGAATATGATTATGCGGATACGATGATGCGCAGTAAACTTGCCAATGTGGCGTTTTATGTGCAGTCTGTTGCGGAGGTTTTTATTTTGGCGGTTATTGTGGGCATTATGTTTGGGTTGAGGGTTAATGATAGTGAAGCTAATAATAACTGGGGGTTGAGTGTGTTGATTGCTTTTGTGTCGGGTGTTTGGTTGCTTGTTTCGATTCCGTGGTTTGTGCTGGAGAAACGGCGACCTGGTCAGGATTCCGGGAATCGGTCGATTCTTGTTGCAGGCTTGTGGCAATTGTGGCATGCTATGAAGCAGATTTGGCATCTGAAGCAGAGTTTGCTATATCTCGTTGGTAGGTTTGCTCAGGTGGATGTGAACCTCTCGTTAATGGCGGCTGACTCTCGTTCTAATGCAGGTTATTTCCTTCTTGGAGATTCACTGAACACAACTGTGACTGTTATTGCGACTCTGCAGAATAGCATTGTGGCTTATAATACCTTGCAACTGACATATCTTCTTATTGTCGGTATTGCTGCACAGGTAAACCTCAATCCCTCACCAACGACATCAAAATCTAACAAACATACCTAGGCCGTTGGCATCTACGTATTCTGGTGGATCCAGCAACGCTTCAAACTTGGAACAAAAACAATGTTTAACACCATCGCCGTCGGAATCATCCTACTAGACGGCTGGGGCATGATCGGCATCTGGACAGACAAGTTTGGCTTCCACAACACATGGGAAGTCTGGGTACGTCCACCTCCACCTCAAATGCACAATCCATTAAACAAACCCTAATTCTCGGCTTATTTGCAGGTCTATCAAACATTCTACGGTCTCTTCATCTGCCCCTGGTACAGCTACTCGCAAATCATGATTTCAGAAGTAACGCCCCGCGGCCACGAATTCCTATTCTTCAGTCTGTTCAGCATAATCGGCAAGACATCCTCCTTCATCGGACCCATCGTCTCAAGTGCGATCATTGACGCCAGTCCGACTGGCAATGCCTCGACGCCATTTTACTTTCTGTTTGCGTTGAGCCTTGTTAGCTTTTTGATTCTGTTTTGGGGCGTTGATTTGAAGAAGAGTCAGATTGAGCAGGAGCAGTTCTTGTTGGATAAGTTGAGGAGGTTGAATGGGAGTCAATCTTCTGATGATAGCGTGGCTTAGAATTCTGTTTGATTGTTTGATTGTTTGATTGTATATCTGGCATGAGATTTGGCTTTGCTTCGGACTTGAGGCTCCGATTCGTGTATACTTCATTTACATTTTGTATAGTAAATCGGCTGCTATATATATATATTTGTCTAATATTTAAAGATCTACAAACATTTTATTTATCTCTATTTAGATCCTTAGAATACGTAGACTAGACTCTTTTTATGTACCAGTATATTATAGCGAGCAAGTATATTGCCGGATACCTGAGCCACTCTGCCAGACTACGAGCTGTCTCAGGATATGATAGATTTACTATTAAAGCACCGTGTATATTCCTAACTTACGCTGGCCCTACCCTGCCGCAGTTTTTTCATTTTGGTCTTATAAATTCGGTCCCCGAGGCGAAGTATCTCGGCCCCGAAAAAAGCAAAACTCCGACATGTTCGGTCCCGACCATTGCATATTTAAACCGAAGCGCGATGAACATTTTCCTATCAATTGATCATTAAATTGTTTTTCAAACATCAATTCTTATCTCCTATTATGGTGTCTTCCTTCAATACACCTCCAGTCATCGTTGTGGGCGCTAGCCTCGTCGGCCTGTCTGCAGCCCTATGCCTGGCCTCACACCAAGTACCAACCATCGTCCTCGAAAAGCATGCCGGAATCTCCGCCCACCCACGCGCAGTTGGATTCACTGCTCGTACAATGGAAATTTACCGCTCTCTTGGTATCGAAAATAAAGAACCTGCGCCAGACAACTTCGAGCTCAAACGCCTCCGTATCGAAAGCTTGACGGGGAAGTGGTTTGAACAGACCTCGTGGTCAGATACGGAGAAGAAGCGCGATGCCAAAGAAGTACCAGCACCAAAGCACCAGCAGAATCTCTCCCCTCCAAAGAAAGAATATTCGGCGTCTAGAGGAACAGCTCTCCCTCAAGACAAGCTCGAACCAATCCTCGAAGCACTAGCTCTGGAACTCGGCACAGATATCCGGCGAGAACATACCGTTCTCAAAGTCGAACAAGACCAACACGGGGTCATGGCCACAGTCCAAGACTCACAGGGCAAAACGCACCAAATCCAAGGCTCCTACCTCATCGCAGCAGATGGAAACCGCAGCACAATCCGCGAGCACCTCAAAATTCCCCGCCAAGGCCGCGGCTTCATGCAAAACCTCCATAGCGTCCTCTTCCATGCTCCACTTGAACAATACTCCAAAGGAATCGTCCAATTTGATATCGACCAACCAACCCTGAAAGCCTTCCTAGTCTCCTACAGCGATGGACGCTGGGCATTAATGTTCCGCGACGACATCGAGCGCGATGATACAGACCTCCTTTCTGCAATCCATCAAGCCGTCGGCGATTCCTCCATTCCGGTTGATATTATCACAACTGGTAGATGGGAACTTACAGCTCTAGTCGCTGATACCTTCCAATCTGGTCGTGTCTTCCTTGCTGGAGATGCGGCGCACACGCTTCCTCCTAATCGCGGCGGATACGGTGCAAACACTGGTATTCATGACGTGCATAACCTTGCTTGGAAACTTGCTGCTGTGCTTGGGGGACGGTCTTCGTCGGGGCTTTTGGATACTTATGATCTTGAGCGGAGGCCTGTTGCTTTGTTGCGTCATGATCAGATCTTTGTTCGTGCTGATTATAAGGTTCATCTTGATGCTAAGGCTGCTGTTGGAGAAAAGATTGATGATGATGCTATGGAGTTCGGGCAGATATATTTGTCTAACGGGTTTGTTGGTGTGAACGGGGATCTTCCTCGTGCGAGGAAGCCGGATGAGTGGGCTGGTCAGCCTGGGACGCATTTGCCGCATTTTTGGGTTGAGAGGGGAGGGAAGAGAGTTTCTATCTTGGATGTTATTGGGCAGAAGTCTTGGACGCTGATTTCGGCTTCTGAGGAGTGGGAGACTGTCTTGTTGGGTGTTAACGAGAGGTCTCGGAATACGATTCGGTCTGTTCGTGTGGATGACCAGTTGAAGGGGTTTCAGCAAGCTTTCTCCGTATGTGAAAATGGTGCTGCTCTTATTCGGCCTGATGGATATATTGCGTGGAGGTCGAATGGGATGCCGTCTAATGCGGTTGATGTTTTGAGGGAGGTTTTGGGTCAAGTTGCTTTTGAGGTGGGATTCACAGAGTAGAATATGTGGCGGTATAGGATATGTCGTGCTATTTCATGTATAAAACGGTTTGATTTGTGTACATACTATTGCCAGAAGGCATTATACCAAGAACTTTACTAGCCCTTCCGTAGGTCGGAAATTGGTATCAGAGATTAACTTTAGTATTGAAGTAAGAAATCGGTGCATTTTATTAGCTTTGTTCGACCTGCGACAAAATTTACAGCCCCCTTCAATAGAAGCCTTCCCTATGAATTTGGGTCAGTGAAAACCCAGCAGCTCGTAGTCCATCAGTAGCCGAATCTCCGAAGCGAATGGGCCCACAAATAAAGACCTCTTTATCCCGAGGGAATTGTTTCCAGATCTGTGGAACAACACGGCCTTCGTGCATGGTAATCTCCCGACACGGCGTATTGATATATCCGACGTCAACCTTGAAGGTATGGGAGAATATGTCAATCCTGATCCTGACTGTCGCTGGCATCTTCTCAAGAGCTGACTTCATCAGCCCGACCATAATCTCAGGCTCTCTAGTGGCTAGAACAAGCGCAATATCGCCATCAATCCTGGACCCACGCTCAGCCAGTGCGCTCAGCATAGCTAGGAATGGCGTTATGCCAATTCCACCAGCTATCAGGAGCAGGTTGGGCTTGCCCTGGCCCATGCAGAAATCCCCTGTGACGCCAACGATGTCCGCAGAAATAGGCGTATCGAACAAGATAGCTTGACCCTGCTTGGTTGAATTGCGTTTTCTCAATTGGTCAAACAATGCACCTGTTATCGCGCCTCCCTTCACCTCACGCATGGTTAACTCAAAGCAGGTGGCGTTTCTCTGCTCGTGGGCACTTGAAACTGTCCAGGTACGAACTCGATCGTCGTTGATTGACCCAGGGGCTGAATTCGCCATGTGCTGATACTGAGGCGGGCCTATCCAATCCATAAAGTCAAGTACGATCGCTTGTCCTGGCCGAATTTTTAGGTCATCGGCGCCGACCTTTGGGACAACTTTGAATTTAAAAACAGCAAGATCGTCAGAGATCCGTATTGCCTCTTGAAGTTTTGCTTTGTGCTGCTGAGCGCCACCGATTTGTAATCCTGCCTCTTCTACCAGGTATTTGACCTTGGGACTGTATGGACTGCGCTCCACGACGGTACCACTCTGCTGCCGAACAGGGAGAGCGTCCCTCGCAAACACAAAACCCGTAATATTGACCGAGGTGAGACTGGCATGTCTAGTCAATATTTTCAGAGCAGGGGGACCGACAATGTTCTCGGCTGTACCCGTCAAGTAAAGAATATCACCCGTGGTGAAAGACACTATCGTCAGCCCCGCCAGTCCGCTGGCTTCAATATTCCCCAGGCTGGAGACAAATCGGTTTCCTGAATAGTCGGGGATGATCACAGTGCGGCCATTGGATGGGCTGACACGGATAAAACCTGGTAAGCCACTTCGGGCATTCATGCCTGCATGCGATGGATACATCTTTGACGTCGAGGCCTTTGAGTTAAAGACAGTTCCCATGAAAACTGTGTCTGCATCGAGAATGAATTGGATCACTTCTTCTGGTAGACGTTCCTGTGGCGACAGGTTTTGACGTTGATACACAACCTCAGGTTGTGTGTACGGATATGGAATGAGCTTGCGGATATTGATGTATTTTGGACAGTTTCTAGGATCGTATTAGCAGGTACCCCACGCAGTAGTGATGAATTTAGCGTTTTCTGCTCACCCTATAGCCTCGATGATTTCAAAGTCAATCTGGTACTCCAAATTTGTCCGACGCTTCACATTTCGTATACCTCCGGCGAACTTGTTACGCCTTCGCGTTGAAAATTCAATCCCCAAACCGGCAGTCAAGAATCTCCCGGGGGCTTCCTTTTGTTCCTCGTCGAGCCAGGCTTTGATTGTATCCAAAAGTGGATCACCATCCCACATTCGAACGTTCATAGAAAGAGTTCGTGGATTTGGACTTTTCACGAAACCAATATTGCCCGATGATCCAGCTACAATCGATGCCCAGGGCCGGCCAAATTCATCAAGAGTGGCGATAGGGATGAAAGGGAGCTTAGAAGTGTGAAAGAGGCGGTGCTGCTCAGGCAAGTAGTTAGTGATAAGCGACCAGCTATCGGCGATGGCACTGGCAAATCCTAGCTTGCGCTGAATCGAGAGCTCGCCTGGGTGCCACCCGTTCACGGCGTTCAGTGCTGTTGTAGCCATGGCGGGTGTGATGTGAAGAACTATCGAGGGAGTGTCGTTGAGACGTGTAATGGTCAGTCTATGGTTAGTTATATTATTACATCTTTTGCATTTTGTTTGACAAAGTGCCGAAATATTTCTGAAGTCATCTCGTATTCATGAGGTATAATCCACGTTGGTGCAGACGCCGAAAGATGACAAATGCCGCCTCGGCGTCTGAAGCTCCCTTTACAATAGAGAAGTGACCAGGGTAACCCTAACATTGGATGATTATGATGATTATAGCAGAGTAGCTTCTGAGTCACATAGGAAAAATGCAGGATAGAACTACCTACCCTTTCTAATAAATCTCTGCCAGGATGCCGCTTGTTATGAACCGTGCAGATGCGACCTGGGAATGATGACATAGATGTCATCATGCGGGATGCAGGCTACGTGTCGATTCGTAAGCAACTGGGCATTCATTCCCCGCAGGTTCGTATAAGAATGATGCGTGTAATCTTAAACTGAACGTCCTCGTATTGTAATTTGTTTGGTATTTGTGCTCGGCTGACTCCAAATATCTCGAACCCTCAAATCCTCGAGCTTGTAAAAAGACCATCTCACCCCTCGGGACTAATTACCATGACTACAAAGAATATGGCAGTCTACCACTACCTTGATATCGGCAGACTAGGCCGGGGAGAAGTTGTCAAGTGAGTACCATACCCCTCCTGAAGGATCCTTACAAGCTTCACCACCATGCATTTGCACCGCTTAAGCTGATTTCACAAAGACTATTCATGAAGGATGGTGGTATCAATTTCAAAGAGGTCCGTTATGCATACGACAAGACCTGGCCTAAGATTAGCAAGATTCTCCAGGAGCAAGGTATCACGAGAACAGGAAAAGTGCCCGCGCTTGAGTACCAGGGCTTGATCCTCACGCAGGTCTGCTACAATTTCTTCTTTTTTACTGCATTTGGTTGGATTCTAATTTGGATTCTAGCATATCCCGATCTTACGTTACCTTGCTAGAGACCTTGGCTCTTACGACGGAGAGACCAACCAAGAGAAATATGCGGTCGATGCTGTCTCTGACATCTACATTGACTGGAGAGTAAGTAAATTTCAGTCAAAGCTCTCCGATCTCACATATTGACCAGCCTAAAGTCCAAATGGGTAGCCAATCTGTCGAACAAAACAGACCAGTACAAGGATGAGGTTGTACCGACGTACTACAGTATCCTCGGACAGTATTACAGTGATAACGAAGGCCCCTACCTCCTAGGTGATAAGGTCACCTACGCTGATTTTGCGGTTTATCAATCCATTGATAATGATGAAAGAACTGGAACTCTTCCGGTAAGTTCTCCCAACCAATGCTTTCATAGGGTCCGACTGATCGATTTTAGTCCTCTCTCCCGCAGCCACTTCTCAAGTTGCGAGAGGCTATGGAGCAGCGACCCAATATTGCAGAATATATTAAGGAGACTCGCAAGGATTAGGACTTCAGATGGGTACAATTATCACCTAAAAGTAGCTACCTTAGTTTGCAACGCATTTGATTTCTTCATTATCTACACCTTTCTTCCAGTAGTCCATATATTTCCGCGGTGTACGCTTTCCCCAGCCTCAAACCGAGGCTCGATTTAGGGCTAGCTAATACACCCCAAGTCTTTTCCGAAAGCTCAGCGTTTGATCCCCTGCGTTCCATTATTTCGTGGCTAAAGCTTGTGCAGTAGTGGAGCTTAGCTTATGGCGCGATTAATGAAGGGTAAAATAGGATACATAGTCGAGCCTGTGTGAGGTTTTGCTATGATGTACATTTCGTATAGTCTTCTAGATAGACAACTTGGTGACAACCGTCTCATGGGGAGGCATGTTAGTATGTGCACTTCATAATCACGGCTTGGTAGCACATTAGGAAATCCGAGCTCACGATGGTATTATTGGGTTGTTCAACCTAAAATAACTTAATGGAAACTAGATCGGCTGTTTCTCGTTGTCTATAAAGAAAACGTATATGCCTCACTAGCTGATAGCATCTTCCCTGAGAATAGCGCTCAGCTCATCCCGCTGTTTGCAATTTTCCATCGCAAAGCTTGATGCTAACACCTCCAGTTCTTCCTCCGTCTTGCCCCGAAACAGTTCAGCCATTTCCCACCCAACATACTCACTCATCAAGCACTCTCTCACAACACGCTCCACATGTCGGTCAAATGACCAGACCTTGGGGTACTTGACCGAGTGATACACCTCCGGTACCATTTTCTTAAGGCCAGAAATAAATGGCCCGTACACACCCTCCACACCACTCTTGTCAACAACACCCCAGAAGTCCAGTCCTAGCTCCTGTTTCCGAGTAACAAATGGCTGGATGAGCTTCATATAAGGCGTCTCTGGATCCACGTACACCATACCCTGGTATCCAATATCCTTGTAAAGCCAAATCGACCAGCTGACTCCAGTTTCCGCATAGATGGAAAGCTGCTCCTTCAACAGGGCAAATCTCTTTTCATTTGTTTCTGCTGCTGTAGCCGATCCCACTCTTCTCTCGTCGTCGTAAACAGGGCCGAATTCACCGTTCCAGATGGGAACGTTGTTCTCGCGCATAAACTTGACTTTGCGCTCAAAGCTACTCCTTAGATACTCTCTTTGGGATTTCGTGCCTTCGTATTGCTGCCCAGTAGGAAACCCCATCTTGTTGTAGTCATGACAAGCATACACTGTGTTAGGTAGCAGAGGGCTCTCCGTGAACGCTCGGAAATCCATGGCGTAAGTGTTGCCGTCTATGAAGAGCATATGGTCCGGGTCAATAGCTCTGATAGCTTTTTCAATCCTGGCGCAAAACTGCACAAGCCGAGCGCCGTAAAAGCCATTGTCGGTCATGGTCGGGTCTGCAGGCTCGTTGAGGGGGTTGTAGCCTGCAATAACTGGGTTTCCGCCATAGCGTCTGGCGAGCGCCTCCCAGAGCTGAACGACGCGATCCTGGTGGTCTTTGAAGTCCCAGAACTGGGCTCGTGCAGCTCCAGAGTCACAGTGCCAGTCCTGGTTCTGTCCTCCGGGAACAGCGTGGAGGTCAAGTACGACGTAGATGTTGTGTCGGGCACATATATCGACACACCGGTCCAACAAGGCAAAACCTCCGGGTTTGAGGACATTAGGACTCATGTCATCAATGAAGTGCCGGTAATTGAATGGAAGACGGATGCAATTGAGACCAAGGGAGGCAAAGTATGCTGCATCCGCATCGGAGAAGAAGTGATGAATCAGTCTGTCGAAAAAATATTCGGCCCTCTTTTGTCCCAACACAGAGGCTAACTGTGCCCGGTGCTCGTGCTCATGTCCTGCGAATCCAGTAATGAAGTTTTCCATGTTGAGGAAACCACCAATGCCCGCACCTTTAAGGATAACCGTTTCACCAGCAGGGTTGACGATACGTGTGCCATCCACATGAAGCATCGTGCAAGGTGGTAAGTCCCCATCGGTGGTTCTTGGTGTGCCATTGACAACTCTGTCTGCTGAAGGAACCATTTTGTCTGGGAAGATTGAATAGCTAAATGAATATCCGCCAAAGACCGCTACTTCGTCCATATTTATACATATGAACAATACAATCTGAACAACATTATTTGGATAATCCACGTTTGGCGTATTACATTGAGACCTAAGAGACTCCACTGAAGGGTAATCGCCAAGGCTGGAGTTTTAAGGCGATACTCCCCGACGATCCGCTGGATGGTGTTGGGGCGACTCTCCCCGAAGGCCAATCTCTAAGCCATAGATTATACCCTAAAGCTAAATCATTGCCGCGTGACCGTCCAGTACCTCTTGTGGGCCTGAATGAGTTCAAATAAATAGGCACTGAGACTAATTGTGACCTTTCCGGTTGCGAGCTACCAACCAGAACTGGCAACTCTAAAGTGGCGTACGGGCAGTTTGGTTTATACGCGATATCTTCTGTGGCACTTGGAACGCTACAGTAGTGAAATCCAGTGTTTAGCTAAATTCAGGCTAAATTTAAGCCTTGATAAGACCCGGACAATCGTCCGTATTCTCTTTGCAACAGCTGCACCCAATGTCCTGCCTCGGCCATCTCATTTTGCCAGATCGTAAGGAGCCCCATTGTTTTGGATATTGCCTCCTGCCAGCCAGATGGCAACTCGCACCCTGCCAGGCCCCCCGCCACCAGGACAAATGCACTTCGCGTACAGGTTCGAATTAATGGCACGGTTCCGTGATGACGATGTAGGAAGCCCGGCTCATTTACGTATATTCGCTGTATATGAAGTTGCAGCCCTTTTTGTCCCTTTTCTTCAATCTCCGGGTCTGGCGTCCCCTGCGAAAACGTGGTTCCAATATATGCCATCACCCACGGCCAGTAAATAAGCTCATACATATCGATAAGATGGCCCCGCAGAACAAAACGACACACTTCATCCTCCTGGGGTGGTGCAGTAGCGGACAATTCAGCGGGGAGACTTTCAGACCAGGCTTGTATTTGCGTCTCGTATTCGGCAACCATGGGCCCAAGGGCCTTTATAAAAGTGGCTGGTGACGCATGAATCTGATGAAGGGCCGTAATTTCCTCTGCTATACTACTACTCAGTCGCCGCAGGTATATTTCAGCAAGATAAAATAGCCAAGACGCGCGTTGCCGCTGCGCACCTTGGTTCTTTGGAGAGCCGAGCGGTTGTGGGGGGTTCGGAAAAAAGTGTGGGTATAGAGCGCTTCCAGTATGCGCAATGTTGAAGTCCGGGAGAGAAAGCTCCATGCTCAGCTCTCGCTCTGACTTCCAAGCGGACCAGTAGACAGCTTGCTCGTAGGTATCTGGAGAGCCTGGACTACTGGAAATATCCAACTCAGATGCTAGTTCCTGGGCATGAGCGAGAAAGGGCAAGCGCTGGCACGCTGCCAGAGCCTGCGAAAAGAATCTCCAGGCGTAGAATTGCTGGAAGACGCATACCATGTATACCCCGGAGAGGAAGAGGCACTGTGCTCCGATTATATCCGACCGGACGAGAAGTGACCCGATCCGCTTTTGTGCGGCCTGGAAGAAAACCTGTGAGTTGTGGTAGGCTTCGCTTCCGGGCTTAGTGTCCTGGCTGGAACCAAAAGGAGTAGCGATGGACCCTAGAGCACAGATGACCATGGCCAGACATGATGAAGGAGACCAGTCCAAGCCATCGAGGAAAGCATCGTTCACCAGTCGCCGCGTAGCAATTTCATCCAGGATGGGGTTCTTGCAGTGCACGTAAAAGAAGAAGTTGTCCAGAATCGCGTTGATGCCTTGGGGCTCCATCTCCAAGAGTGCGGCCAAGGAGCATCCACTGTGAGAGGGAGCCGCAATGGTGTCGGGGACGACATTTCGGAGGACTTGAGACGATGGCCCAGATGGTTCACGCATAAAGATGGGCCATCGCAGGACAGACTCGGTTCGATCCGGGAGGACATTTCCATAAAGAACCAACTTTCCCGTATTGGCGCCTGTAGCATTACTACGCGGCTGACACAATGTTGGAATATCTTCGGCTTTGTCGCTTAAGTCGAGTGCTGCAGTCGAAGAAACAAGTAGTTGTTCTATATCATCCAATCGCTGCAATATCTTCAGACTCGCGGGGTCAAAGCTCGACAGGTCCACTGGTGACTGTATACATGTGGTCCCAACCTTGACGCAGTATGAGCAGCTTGGTTTTGCGTTGTCGCATTTGGTCTTGCGGGCTCGGCACACCTGACACGCTGTGTTTGCCCGCTTCCTGGGGTAAAAGGCAGTTCCTCGGGGAGCTGGTCTTTTTCCCGGGTGATACTCGGCGATTTGGTGCTCCATTTGGTGTAGGCGTGGAACGCTGGAGGAACGGAAAGGCTCAGACGGGGAATGTCGCCCACTTAACTTTGCGGACACGCATTTAGCCGGAAAGCGATTCGCATCCTTTTCAATACTTGGTCCAGTCAACTCTTCCAGTGTGGAGACTGAGAGATTAGCCGGACAACCCAGCCAATCTCTAACTAGCGTCCCTCGGGGAGTATCGCTCTCTCCGCATCCCCGCAATCCCCAGACCCAGCATGCTGGTTCAGATGTGCATGTATTGGTGATCGCTAACGGGACTACTTTATATCAGCTCTGAAATCGTGCCATCCTGACCTGGCGCCACCAAAGGCAATATGCCTAGGCACTACCAGAGGGATCTAAGTAGGTAACATTTATATAGATGCGCCTGCTCTCTATTTGAGCACAAGTTCTCAAGAGTAGCAACTCTACGAAATTTCTTTGAGCTAACGGAGCTATTCATATGGATTCAACGGATAAGGTCGAAGCTGGAGCAGGCGGCCAGGCGGTCACCGTGGAGGATATCACGACAAAGCAGAGCCAGTTGAGTATTGAGCAAAAGGCTGAGCACGATCTTACTCTCCGACATATCTTCCGTCACCATCCTGCCCTGGTATGGTGGTGTTTCTACTGGGCTATGGCCGCTGTTGGTTGGTAAGTCGTAGCCTACCTAGGTGTCATAGCGACTGTGCAATGTGCTGATGTCTCAGGGGCTTTGATGCGCAGATCAATGGAGCCATGATTTCCGTCGCCGCCTTTCGGCGCGACTTTGGGTATGGCATACACCTTTCTTGTGCCTTTGTCTAGACTGACACTTACAGATATATCGTAAACGGAGAGTCCGTCCTTCCTGCCAGCTGGCAGACTGCCTTCAACACCGTCAGCAGTGTTGGTCAATTCTTCGGTGGCTTCCTCTGCTCATGGATCTCAGATCGCATCGGACGAAAAAGCTCCCTACTCCTCGGCCTTCTTTGCGTCACGGGTGGTATATTCGGAGAGGTCTTCTCCACCTCCAACTCTGCCTTTGTCGTCTCAAAACTTATCCTAGGCGTGGGCCTCGGGTTCTACCTCACCCTGGCGCCCCTAGCAACATCCGAGATCGCGCCAGTGGTCTTGCGAGGCATTGCATCTGCTGGATGTAACCTCGGGATTGCTATAGGCCAGTTGCTCTCCAACGCGGTCATCAAGGGTTTCGGTGAGCGGACTGATCACTGGGCATATCGGGGTCCATTTGCGGTCCAGCTTTTCTTTTGCCTTTTCCTTGCCGCTGGCCTTATCTTCGCACCAGAAACACCCTGGTACCTTGCACACAAGAAGAAAAGAGAGGAAGCCAAACGATCTATCCGAAGACTGTACGGCCCAGCCGTAGATGCCGAGTCGAAACTTGCCGTTCTGGAAGCAACCATTGCCGACGAAGCGGCCAGCGCCTCAGAGCGGCCCTCTCTGCTCTCCTGCTTCAGGGGCACTGACAGACTGCGCACCATGATCAGCATGGGCGTCTTTGTCTGTCAGCACTTTGCGGGCATCATTTTTGTTCTCGGCTATTCTACCTACTTCTTCCAGCTCGCGGGGCTTGACACATCCAATAGTTTCAATCTTGGCGTGGGTGTCACTGCCTGTGGTGTGGCAGGCAACGTATGTAGTTGGTTTGTTGTGAACTCATTCGGACGTCGAAGCGTCTTCCTAGGCGGAATGTGTATATTGACAGCTCTGCTTCTTCTAATCGGCATTATGGATGTCGTCCCTACGGGTGCCGCGAAATGGACCCAGGCGGCGGCAACCGTGATCTACGCTTTTTTCTACTTTGCTACAATTGGAGCTATGGCTTTCGCCATTCTGGGCGAGGCAAGCAGCACCTCACTGCGCGCGAGCACCATGTCGCTTGCCACGGCTACGCAGGCGGTGATGGGCATTGCGATGAACTTCGCCATCCCTTACATGGTGAACCCAGATGAGGCTGACCTGAAGGGAAAGGTGGGCTTTATTTTCGGCGGCCTGGCGCTAATTGCGACCCTTTGGAGCTTCTTTTTCGTTCCCGAGCTGAAAGGAAGAACGTTCGAGGAAATTGACAAGATGTTTGCTCTAAGGGTGCCTATTAGGAGAATGAAGTCCTACGGATTCTAAAGCTTGGCTAAGGAATCTTTTTGTCTCGTTTGAGCAGAACTTTATTTATGTTCTATGACGGATCGCCGCTTTCCCGCAACTATCAATACCTATATTATATGAAACTTACTAAATGGATCCCCCGTCACTTGGGTAACCGTATTAGTCCTGAAACTGAAGCTAGTCCGCATGTCGCTAAGGCTACTTTAATGCCGAGGCACTCTATATATACCTTCTGTAAAAGAGCTCCAAATACACTTAGAAAACGGCTTAAAAATTGGTGGAATTTGGATGTTACGCTTCTTTTAGGAAATGGATATCGACAAAATGTTCTCGCACAGTACTCTTCTCTAGAGATATTGCAAATACCACTTACCACGTAATGCTCAAGACGGCTAGGCAAAAAGGTGGTCTACTTAGTAAATCCCGATTATATGATATCTGCGAACTATATCCATGAATGTTATCTAGTTGCAACGACTTACAACGTTGTCTCTCAAACCTTCAAAAAAAGGATCAACATTAGATCTCTAGGTACGGCCTATGTCCACTTCATGCTATAGTCTCTCGACAGTTCGCTGTTATCGGACTTCCCTTCAAGGAATAAGTGGGTGACTATCCATAACTTCGATTTCTGTCGGCAAAAACTACCCGCCTGCAACAGGGGTTATAAATACATAAACAGTGGCATGAAGTATTGGATAGTCTTAATATACCTCGAAGTGAGTGTACCGTTTCATGCATTCTTTTCGCCCTACTTTAGATTCTCTTTTTTCACCTCTTTTTTGCCCATTTTCGAGTGCCTCGGGTTAATGATATAAATTATATAAGGTAGGGTGTGGAAGAACTTATGGCCTATGACTATACAGGTTTCGGTTTTTTGCTTGGAATTACGACCGAAAACACTGTCTGACTTTGGTGTTGCAGTGTTACATGTCACGTCCCATCTCGAGTCCAGCCTGATTCGCGTTTCTTTCTCCAATCGGGATATCTACCGTTAGACTCGATAGCCCGTACTTAATATTTAGGATGATTGGGAAGTCAAACGAGCACGCCAATGTAGCACTCGGTGGAACTGCGGGTTTTTACAGCGTTAATGTGGCTCATCAGGGGAATATAGCAATGTGGAGGAATTCTGTACGAGTCTGTCGGTTTATACCATATCCCCTCTAATAAACGTATCATGCTAGATGACTTAGTTGTGGGAGTCCGTCAGGGATTAATGTTCCAAGGGCCGTTTGTTTGTGTGACCATCTAAGAAATCGCATTGCTGACGGCAGCTTCCTGTTGTGGTCGTCCCAAGGTTGCGTCCATCGTGACTTCTCACTTCATCTTTTCCTTCCTCTTCCTCTTCTTCTTCTCTCTTCTCTTCCCCTCCACCTCTCAATTTCCGCTTCGAGGCTTTCGGTGGGTTGAATCCTCCATTTACACGTGCTCCTCCATTAACTGATCTACAGTTGACTTCAACTACTTCACCATGTCCAACCACGTGGATACTGTTGATCTCAGCCTCATTGAGGCTCCAGTCACCTGGCGCGCCTACATGATCTGTGGCTTTGCAAGCTTCGGAGGTAAAACCAACTACCCCTTACAAAATTATAACGGCTCACACCTCGATAGGCATCCTTTATGGCTATGACTCTGGCTACATCAGTGGTGTCCTTGGCATGGACTATGTCAAGGAGCACTTTGGGCACCACGTTCCCAAGAGTGATGATTCCCCTGCCGGTTTTGAGATTGCGACTTCGCGCAAGTCTCTCATCACCTCTATCCTGTCTGCTGGTACCTTCCTCGGTGCAATCCTTGGTGGTGCCGTGGCTGAGATGATTGGTCGTCGCCTGGCTATCATGCTATCCTGCTTGATCTTTTCCATTGGAGTTGCGGTTCAGGTTGCTACCACCTCCGTTGGTGTTCTTGTGGCAGGTCGTCTGGTTGCTGGTCTTGGAGTCGGTGGTGTCTCCTCTGTTGTCATTTTGTATGTCTCCGAAATCAGTCCCCGACGTGTCCGTGGTTTGCTTGTTTCCATGTATCAATGGGCGATTACTATCGGTTTGCTCGTGGCTTCTGGCGTTGATCAAGCCTGCAAGAACCGAACCGACTCGACCTCTTACCGCATCCCCATTGCTCTTCAGTTCATCTGGGCCATCATTCTTGCCGCTGGTCTTTTCTTTTGCCTGAGTCCCCTCGATACTATGTCCGTCGTGGCCGAACCGAGGACGCTCTCCGCTCTCTTTCTCGGGTCCGTGGCCAGTCTCTCACCCACCCAGCTATCCAGGCCGAGCTCGCGGAAATCCAGGCCAACTATGATTATGAGAAGAGAATTGCCAGCACTTCCTGGGCTGATTGCTTCAAGGGTGGTATGTCGCCTCGCGGCAACCTCCGTCGCGTTATTGCGGGCACTGCCTTGCAGATGTTCCAGCAGTGGACTGGGATCAACTTCATTTGTATGTGATCATTGTATGACTTCTTCACCGACTTATCGCTAACCCCCTTTCTAATCTAGTCTACTACGGAACCACCTTCTTCCAGCAGGTCGGCTTGCAGAACCCTTTCCAGATTTCGACTATTACAAACGTTGTCAACGTTGTCACCACCCCCGCCTCATTCTACATGGTTGAGAAGTACGGACGTCGTACTCTACTGATTTGGGGTGCCGTTGTTATGTGCATTTGCGAATACATCATCGCAATCGTTGGTGTTGCTTCTCCTGACGGACACGCAGCGTATGCACCACATGTTGAAATCCTATGCTATAATAATTTTTACTAATATCATTCTAGAAACACCTGTCTCATAGTGTTTGTCTGCTTCTACATTGCCGCGTTTGCCACCACCTGGGGCCCTGCAGCTTGGGTCGTCATTGGCGAAATCTACCCCCTTCCCATCCGAGCCAAGGGTGTTGCCCTCGCTACAGCTTCGAACTGGTTGTGGAACTGTGTCATCGCCGTCATCACTCCCTATTTGGTTGACAAGGAATACGGCAACTTGAAGTCAAAAGTCTTCTTTGTCTGGGGTAGCGCACTCTTCCTCTGTCTTTTGTTTGCCTTCTTTGTTATTCCTGAGACCAAGGGTCTCACTCTGGAGCAGGTTGACAAGATGCTGGAGGAGTCTAGCCCTCGCACCAGTGCCAAGTGGTGCCCTCATGATACTTTTGCTCACGAGATGGGCAGCGCGCAGTTCGGTCCCGGCATCGAAGAGCAGAAGTCCACTGCCCTTCACTCTGATAAGGCTGTTCACGAGGGATCTCTAGAGCGCCGCCGTCTTAACGAATGTTAAGCCGACTTACTTTACGCAGACTTAATGCAACACGATCATGTCTGAAGCGAATTGTCATATGGAGTCTTTACTGAAGCACATCAAAAATTTGCATGGGATTAAAGGGAAAACAACAAAATTTACAAAAACTGGTTGAGAATCCCTATGTAGTCTGAAATATGGATGATCGTGCATTCATCAGACACATTTGCTAGTTTATGTGCTCAGCCCCTTAGCTTAGGAAATCAGAGGCCTTTTAATCTATGAAAAGAGTGCAGGTAGACATAAAAACTTTGGTATTGAACAACAATTTTTGGAGACACATATACACGCCAGCTTGGAGCATACATGGGTTGCAACGTTGCAACGAAAGGACCAGGAGACAAGACATTCAAACGCCAGACCCATGCTCTGCCATAAGCGCCAAATCCGATACAAGATACCACAATCAAAGAGCAGCTCATTCCGCATCGGAAGATGCATCCTTGGACTTGCTCTTCTTCTTTTTCTTCTTCTCCTTGCGCTCAGCAGCATCGTCCACATCAACATCCGCATCAGTCTCTCGCTTCCGCTTGCTCTTCTCCTTCTTCTCCTTCTTTCTCTTCTTCTCCTCCAAATCCACCGGCGCAACCTCCTCGGGCGCAATGAAATCCTTCTCGCGCTCGCGCATCTTCTCTTCCCGCTTGACCCGCTGCCTCTCGACAACCTCCTCCTTCTGAGCCCGATCCTTCGCCTCCTTCGACAAGAAGTACTCTCCAGACTCGATCTGCAAGTCGACCTTGCTCTTCTCCGGCGCAGGCGGGAACGGCGTGTAAACCTTCTTGCTCTTGTCGGTAACCTGGAACGGAACACGACGCTTGGACAGCGTGCGCTTCTTGAAGTTAGGCAAGAACCGGTCCCAGGACTCTCCCGCCAGCGTCGGGTCCTTGGCCAATTCGCGTTTAATCATGAGCTCCTTGATATGGTAGATCGGATGGATATTCGCCATGCAGTCGTCGATGATCCGTCGCACTTCCTTCAACCCCTTGTACGGTCCCATCACCGCAACCGTGTTTCCCTGTACCAGGATGTATGTGCTGGTGAGCAGTTCCAGTGCCTTGAGAGTTGAACCGTTCGGGCCGAGGATGCGCTGGCGCCGCTTGACGAAGCGCTCTTTGTTGCGGACCTGGTTGCGGATCTTGATCACGTCGCAGGCTGTGCCGTCTTCGAGGATCTTCATCGCTTGTGTGACTGGCACGCTTCGCGCGAGCAGCTTGATCAGATCGCGGGCTTTCATGATTGCGGCTGGGTCGTAGGTCTTTCGTGTTGTCTTCACTGTCATGCTTCCCTCCACCAAATCCAGTGTGCATGCGATCCCCTGCTTCTCCAGAGCGCGGGTGATCACCGGCCATGCTTCCTTCAGGTATTGTTCGCGGTATTTGGGGAAGAGGGTCATGAAGGATGACTCCTCGACGAAGCTTCCGGCGGCATTGTGTTCGGGCTTGAATTCTTCGATCTGTTCGGGTTTGGTCAGTACTGAGGATAAATGGCAATGGAAATGCAAATAACGTACCTTCCACTTGTCAATGTCATCTGTGTCCCATGACTTCTCCTTGTTGTGTGTGGAAGGCATCTTGAGCGATGTTGCGCAAAAGAAAGAAAACGACAGTTCTGGAGCTCAAATGAAAATCCGCGCCAACTTTTTTTCTCCCCGCTTTCCCCGATCGGGCAGCCTTTATGCCTGAGAAAATAGGTGTCTATTGTCTTTATCGGGTACATATCATCCTGGTCACTCCATGTCGATATTCTATAGGATTGCATGTGGTCAGTAGTAAGACTTTAAAGACTGGTTTTAATGTAAAATGGATGTACTCTATTTGAGCCTTTTCTGCTAGTCAAGGAAGTGTGAAGAAATCGTACGCCTTATCACGCCCAACCTAGATTTTATAGATGCCCAGTGAATAAGACAGAGAACGCTTCCGACTAACGTTATATGTTGGCCGAGTACTTGGTACTTGATATTGCCAATCCTCTCTGGTCTCCCCTGTTGCCCCTTAACGGTTTCCAGCACCTCCCCTTTTAACGGAGACAGCACGGCAACCGGGGTGATGGATAGGCTCGGGGTACCCGTAGGTCTGTGCCCAACCGGTTGCTCGATGAGTAAAATAGAGTTGATATCAATTGAGGCTCTCCATGATCTTTCAATCTCCGTAGTCTTTTGTAAACAGAGAAGCACCAGCGCTATGTATCATCTCTCGGGAAAGTAGGCCGTTAACTCAGGGGCATTCCATAACAAACTTTAAGCGTTCTCCCTAGAAAACGGTATGGTCTCTTCCGAGTAAGGGACAGGAGAATATATGCCCGGTTCTGTCGGGTCCGAACCTGCAGGTTGTCTCGTATATAACCCATGTAGACGGTAATCGAGACGTCACGGCTGTGATTGGGTATCGGCGAGAACTAACGGTGTGATAACTGGTCAGATTGTTCTTGCTGCCCAAGGGAGGTCAGTGTGATAGGAAGCTCAAATATAGCTGGTTTGAGGGAAGAAATGTCACTTTGGCAAATGAGAGTGCGAATCAACAATGACTTTGAGAGGCTGTCGGGGATCGCAATGGCATATGTAATTTCCAAGGGTGGTAAAGCGTTGTGCAAAGTGAAGATCTTAGATGGCAGCGGGTGAGGCTAACAGCCCTGGTAGTTCCAGGTGCTTTCCCGTCAGTCTGGTAACTCTCCCCTTCCACTTCTCTCTTCTCATTTCCTCTCTGTTCATCCTTTCCTCGGCAGTGTTGCTTCTCATCGAGCTTTGAAGCACCCTTGAGGTTCCCAGTAATCCATGATAACTCGATAACGTCGTTCAGACTCCGGCCGTGGGTCCCGTCGAGGCTCTCAGGCACCAGGCACGACCTCGTGGGGTTTGCACACACAGCAATCTCGATAGTCTCAGGCTCTCTACTATGCACTCTTCACTCTTTCCATCGAGCTATCAGCGCCTTATACTAGGGCCATGCGAGTCATTGCTTGGCGCAATCCCCAGATCCCCGATCCCCCGATGCCCGATCTGCCCTGAGATGCTCCGATCCGCACCCGGGCCGCCATGTTCTGCGGCTTTCTGCAAACCATGATAGGAAGGTATGAGGCTCTTTACAGCCGAGACTGGGCGCGTTTGGGCATTGTCAGCTCCGCAGAAACCACAACAGCGGGAAGTGGGCTGGCTACGAGCGTTCTCTCACGCCAATCGTCGAGTCCCACATGCTTCTCTGTGCGACCACGCCCTCTTCCAAACCCCGGGATTCCCAGTCTTTCCAATGGACTTCAGCAGACACACGACCGTATTATGGATACAGAAATTCGACATGATACAGGGGGCACCGATGCGATCAAGAAAAATCATTGACTAACCATCTTTCGCTAAGTAGAGATATATGCAAGTGGGATGCAAACGGAAGGCGACTGAAGCTGTACAGCATGCGAGTTGTTGGATGGATCAAGAGTGTCGACAACGAGTCGATCTCATCGCGAAGTCATTCTCGGCTGGGGAATCATGTCGGGCTCTCACGAGATTTGTTTGATAAGGTGGACTTCTATGGCTTTCGGCCAATGCAGACGTACCTAGTCTGTCAGAGTCCATTTCTCAAGATGTCAACGAGGCGATACATACAGTGGAAAATATGGTTTCAACGTGTGGTCAGCAGCCTCCCGCTGTGCTTGCGTGACAAGGGCCTCGAAATTCTGTGGTGACATATGCAAACGTTGAATCAATGGGTAGAGGGCGAGTGATCGAAGAAGTTGCTTGATATTTTCGTGGTTCGACCGGCCGATGTTTCGCATTCTTGCATCTGCCCTGAATCAGTCTCGATCATTCACCCCAAGAGAAATGCCAAACCAACCATTCGACCACGCTGACAAAGGAAGAGGGATCATCTTTGTGTCCACCTCTACAAAGCCCGCCTCTGTCATGAGTGTTCTCAGTTTCGAACCAATTCGAAGATCTTTCCTATCCTCCAAAGCACGCAGATAGTGTGTGCTCCACCTTCTCAGGGCATGGTCGTCAGTGAGTGAGCCATTGTCAGATTGCACATTGAAGTATATCTCGACCATCTGTACCCATCCTCCTGGCTTCAGTACACTTGAAGGAGCCCGGTGTTAGTCTTGAGGGTTCGATTGAATCGTGTCATGTTTCTCAGATCAACAGCAAAGTCAACCTGCTCAAGGGGTTCGCGCACCTGACTATGTCACGGAGATAGGATGGCCATCGGGCTCGGTGGATACCGGTCGCAAGGAGTCTCGAGTGGACAAGATCGAAGTGGTTGGTGGGAAATGTGAAACGGCGATTCAGATCATCGACCTGTGGGATGACATGTTAGCAGCCCTTCTCAGAAGGTCAGGCATCGTTGATCACGACTGGCTAAGTAAATCCTCAAGACACAAAGCTTAGGTCTGCGGCAGTGACACTGCTGTTCTCTCGATGCGGAATACGCCTTTCGCCAAGGCGAACAACGACTTACCTGAAGCCACAAGTTGTCAGGCATATCGTCTGGATTCATGTGCGGGGCAATGTCCACGCCGATGACCTACAAGGCTCCGATTGTCAGATAATTGTCGAACACTCCCAAGGGAACATATCACCTCGCAGCTGGGATTTTGTTCAGCAACCTCGACAGCCCAGGAGGCGGATCCATGCCCGCAGTCTAACACTCTTCGAAGTCGACGTATTGGTGGAAATATGAGGCGGTTATCGAAAATTCTTTGAAACACTTGCTGCTCGTCCTCGAGCCGATCTGCTTCTTCCTGATTTGCTTGTCAGCAGTGCAACAATGGTGAGACTCCCATAGTTCTACCTCATCGACTGGTCCGAAATATGTGCGGTGATCGATCGAATATTTCTGATACTCGCGGCCCTGGAATGTGACAGTAGCGAGATATTCACGATCTAGTTCTATTGTCTGTGAATCCGGACTCCTAGTTGTCAATATGAACGTCAGTCTTCCTTGGGTTACACGCACGAACGGGGAGATCAAGCGTACGCCATTATCACCCTGAATCAAGTGGAGTGGTAGACGAAGAAGGAAATCTCAGCTGGTATATACGGATTAGTCTGGCTAGGGCGGGGTTGAATCTTCCGGGTCCAACAAAGTGCATCAGATCACGATGTTTGAAAAAGGAGCGAAAATCGATGTGATTTTAATGGAAGCGATCGGGTACCGCTTGGAGACGTCGGCGGCAACGGCACCTTTAGGATGGCGGCTCGCGCGAGGATCATTCACCTTTGAGCGTCTGTTGGTGATGGTGGTATGGAGGGGCTTTCGATCATACAGTGAACCCGAATGGACAAATGGAGAAAGCCAAATGGTCCGCCCAATTCAATTGCCTCGTGGAAGATCACAAAAACGATTTGTGAAGACACGGGGCGCTCAACGGCCAAATAATTAGCACCGATGGGGCCAGCGTAAGTGGTAACCAAATACGATTACTGCGGACTCCTAATTCCCTCCGGATCGCTGATGTGGTCCAGGGCAACTCCGAGACCTCATTCACACCACAAAGAAGGTACCGCGCGTGACAACCTTCCAAGTATTCTACTCCAGGGGAATGGGATATTCAACCAGGATGGAAGAAGCAAGAAGGCGGGTCGGTTGAGTAACCGAACAGTGGTTCACGAAATGTGCTGGCAGGATTGGCATACTGACATGGAAGTATCAGGATAGACTTGACTCGGTTCCGCCGCTTAAAGCCAAGCTAACGAACCTTGAGCCTAGGCGGCAGTGCCGTCAACTAATGCACAGTTCGCCGTCACGCACAGTACCTACTTTGCATGAAGGGTCCAAGGACGCCCGACAGTGTGGATTGAGTGCAAACCCGCTCACACTGCATCTGACTAGGACATCCATACCGAACCTGTAAGGGTCGTTTCTGTGGTAAAATCGAAGGATTCCTTTGACGGGTATTAACGGTTATAGCGCGACTATCCAGAAAATCGAACCTATTGTTGCTTACGGTGATTCTTCCTCAAATCCTACCAACAAGGTGTTCTGAACGACGAAAGGTGTCACAAGGATTTCGCTCAGACAATGCAAAAACCAACCTGAATCACCCAACACTTGGACATGAGGCTGAAACGATTGTCCAAAAGCAGTGCAACATGGCCATAAGGAGAAAAAGCCCATCATGAATCGAACATCATGATAAACCAAATTGAAACAAAAGCTTTGGTATTGGACTTCTGTCCAGCCCTTTCTGTACGCCCTGCATTACATGTACATTACAGATTCCAGAGGTCTGGAAATTGATCTTCGCTGGTTCCCGCTGTCAGTTCCAATCAAGACGAAAAAGAAAAGAAGCTGCCCACAATTGGACCGGAGCCTTGGTGACACAGGTTTTTAAATCATTTACTCACGCCCCGGACCAAAGCCGTATCCTCGGGACAATGTCCATGCAGTACTGTGGGTGCCAGGTGGCTTGCTCAGCCCGGTCTCACAATTAGCACCACAGTGGCCCCCCTTCACCCCAACTCCAGTGGAGATTGACCGGGTCAGGATCAGCATCGTCCTCGTTGGACATCCATCCCCTCGGGATTTCCTGTGGATATACAATAGTTTTGAAATTTTGTTTATGCCCCTCTTCGCTCGCGGCTCACACACACACCGCTTGTCTTGTCATTGTCTTGCGTTCCATTCCAATGCTGTTGGCTTGATGACGCTACGCGGATTTGCTACAGGGATTTTAGTCTCCGGATTGCCCCAATGTACATAACAGTAGTACCCCCGCGCGATAAGCCGGTATTTCTATTTCCTCCCCATCCTTTTTCTGACATGACAGTTCGTCTGGTTGCCTTGCTTACGGGGGTTCGTCTACATGTAAGTGCAGGGGCATAAACGTAATTCTGGCGGAGAATATATCCACCCCGAAGACATTCAATTCCGTGTGAATGTGGGTATCGTCTGGCTTTCGGAGTAAAGTATGTGACTACAACGCCGTGGCAGTCCCCACTCCAGGTTCCGAATCCACCGTGGAAACCCCCTTGGAAAATTCTAAGCCACCTGACTCCTGATTTTGCATTTTTGAATCCTGGCCAATTCTCCAAGGATCGTTTCCACTGCCTCGCACAATTTCATGTATTCGAAAACTGCAAGGACTCTCCCTCTAGTGTACTTGCAGGTACAGGTATGGATTCATACAATAAGTTAATACGAGTTGGATGTTTCCTTTTCAAATTGCCGCCACTATCATCTACCATGGGTGGTGATGTTTACGACCCAGCCAGTCGGGACCATTTCGGAGACGATGTGGAAACCAGTTTAAGTTCACAATCAAAGTCTTTTCTCGCGGGTCCGAGTACATGTACATGTACAGTGCAAGCGAGAAAACATCCAAGTCCATCCAAACTGTCGGGTCACCAGGGGGCTTACAGTACCCGTCCGGGGGCTGCCGTTGGTTCTGAAACCCAGCGCCATGGTTCGTTCTCGGGAAGCCTGGCCTTACTTTCCCGGCACTCTGGTCTACACGTACTAGTTTATAACTTATAACGTTATGGTTAAGGGGCGGTACACATCGCTCTCATTTCCGATCGGCTATTCTGTTAATACTGACTGTATCTTACACGTCCTTGATGGCCTCGTATCGGAGTCCCAGCGGATCGAGACTGAGCGGGGTGTTGTCCAGAGTGTCGGGACGCTATCACGTAGTGGGCTTGCGCTCCCTCCTTGTAGCTTCGGGGTCTCCGTATTTATTTATTTGTCATTTGCTATTCTTGTCTGGGATTATGGACTATCGTGGCTATCTTTGGCCGATCATTGGGAGCCTGTTGGGGAGATGTTGACTTCTTCTGCTTCTTCTTTTTCAGTTTCTACATGTACAATGCGTGTCAAAATATTACTCGCATATTACAGTATATTGTTAGGCCATTGAGTTCCTGATTGCGATTTTCTATTTTACTTTTATCCGGTGGGACTTTGGAGTAGGAGACCCGCATTCGATATTAAAGGGGGTACACGTCACATTCACTTGGATTGTACATGTAGATAGAAGGATTTACCCTTGCCTATTTTACTGGAATTGACTATGATCCAAGCCTGCCGGACATACTGCGGATCAGTCATAGCCCAGATGGATGAGAATATCGACTAGACGTGACAATCTATGGAGAATGCTGTTTCGAATCAGCGAGACATTTCCGCGTTGTCCAAGTTATGCCTCGGCTGATACGTTATAGGTCATCAATCGTTCAAAGAATTCCATATATGAACATGGCAATTTGGCTAGATCATAGCAAAGAGTGGGGTATAGCGAAAAGCACAAACGTAAGTACAGTACACGGCACAAAGTCGGAGCCAGAAAATATCAAAAACGTTCACTTATCACCTCTCACCTACCGAACATCCTCCCTCCCAGTCATAAACTTGACAGCCGCCGCAATAATCTGCATAACAGTCTCGATCTCCGCCTCTGTCCGGGGCGCATAGATGAGAAGATATTCGGCTGGGATGTCTGGCCTGGTACCAAGGGAAAGGTACGTCATGGCCGATGAGCCTGAGAAAGCGTGTCGCTGGCCCCAACCTGCTTCGATTACTTTGATGCCTGGATGTGAGTTAGTGCATGGCCATGCATAAGGAACAGCACAGATGACGACAAAAAAGATGCGATAAACATACAATCAGCTGGCGCGAGGATAACATGTGCCGAGTGATCATTCCCCGAATGAATATGAGCAATCTCGCCATTCAAAATCCCAGGCGAAGGAATATGATCAGCAAAGAAGAGAGCCGGGACATGATTCTCGAGATTCGAGCGAGATAGTTTGACAAGGTGATGGTTGCGCAGACCGAAGGCATTGAACACATCGCAGAATTTCTATTAACAAATAGCAAAACAAAAGCAATTAGCGACCAGCTCATCCAAGCATCCACCTATCCTACCGAAAAGTGGGCATATACATACCTCCATAACAACCTCATCCGGCACCTGCGTCAACTGCCTCTGCGGCACAACATGAGGCCCAACAACAGGCCTCCCCTCCTTCCTCCTCTCAGACAACATCAAGAACCCCTCATCGCCCTTCCCATGCCCCTCCGCCGCCGCAATACGCCGCACATACTCGTCCGTACTGAGCATCTCGCGCCCGAACGGCTGGAAGAATACGCGCACAAGGATCCATCCTAGGGCGTTGTTTGGGACGCCGCCTGGGCCGTAGGATTTGAAGATTTTGTAATCGCGATATGCGGCTGGGAGGAGGAGCGTAGAGGTGAGAAGGGCGAAGGCACTGAGAGCGACGTTTACGCGGGAGTGGGTGTTGAGGGTTGATGTAAGTGTTTGGAGGGTTGGGATGGGCATTGTGGTGGTCGTCTAGGATGTTAACTTGATCATAGAGAATTGGATAGAGGGTGAGGTTTGGTTCTGGAGTGCTGAAATATAATATGTCTCGGATGTCGGGGTCCCTTCGCGGTCTGACGCGATCCCGAGGAATTCGCGTGAGGCTCCGGTTCTTTTCTCATCTACATACACATACATGTACATGCTGTTCATCATACGATATACGATTTGGTGAGAATCCGAAATCCGATTCGTTATGCTACTCATATTATCGTTATGTCTAGTGTGACTTGGGTCTATGTACTTCGTACAGAGTGCATGGCCCCCAAATGAGGTGTTGATCGGGCGCAGATGCAGCCCCCTTTGGCCCCAGGTTTGACTCGGTGTTGCTGTTCGCCGAATTCCGTGCGATTTGCTGTCACTGGAAGTATGTAGTTCGGGTTTACCGGTAGGTCGCGCGATGTCCGAAGCTTCTGTCGGACATTTGACGGTACGTTGGGACGGAGTAGCATGAGGATAGTCATTGTCAAGGTGTAGAGAATACAACAATCCAAACTGCACACTTTCAATCCTCTTTGCTCTCTTCCCTGCTGATGGAGGTCAAGGAATGTGCAAGCTTCAGAAGCACCACGCTCTCGGTTGCGGCGTAGTAATTCAGACTATATCGCTGTTAGAAAACATCATCCCCTCATTAATATCCCAGAATTGTACTCACCTATCCATCAAGATCCGGAGATGACGCGTGAAGTGGTCCTCGTAGCGCTTCAGTGTATCTTCAAGCTTCGCAATTCGTGTCGGATCATAACCCCTAGCCTCAGCACCGGGGACTTTGCCTCCCGCTAAATCTGGGTCTGCAGAAGCCAAGGTTCTGGAGAGCGAGGCTGCTGTCCAGGATGCAAACATGGTGCAGCAGGTCACAAGTTTAGAATGGATCTGTATGATCAATTATTAGCATAGATTCCACCAAAATGAAGGAACACAGCATACCTTCAACAGCTTAGCCTGGGTAAGCATGCACTCCTTCAGGCATGTATCCAGAAAATCCACATGATCCTGCATCAGCTCATCAACCGTCCGGTTAACCTGCTTCATATCATTCTCCGTCACCTCCGATGCCTCCTTATGAACCTTTTCAACGCGCTCCATCAAACCGACCCAGTTGGGCTCGATGACCTCTGCCGTACAGAAATACAGAAGTTGTTGAACAAAGACCAACATTTTCGCGCGCAAGTTCCATGCCCGCCGTTTCCAGATCTCCAGTCGTCTGTCGGAGGATTTATGTCGCCAGCTAGTTACCTTGTTCTGGTCTGACCAGGACGTGACCAGCAACGTCTCAAGGTGGCGTAGTGACAAAAGATGGCGGAAGATAAGTTGGTACCGTAGAACAGTCTTGCGACTGATGACTAGTGACAGAGGAAACGGAACTGAGTAGTCCAACTCCAGAGCATCGAATCCCAGAATGTCTTTGTCCTCATCTGCTGAATGAGCGGCTTGTTGCTTCTCAAATGATGCTTCCGGATTTTCTTGGTTGATGCCTGAAACATTGACAACCTGCATCAACCACTTTGTCAGGCCGATCTTGTTCATCCGCACCTTGACGTCTTCCTTGAACTGGTCCTGTGCTGCGATACTGCCAGGCTGTCGGAGCACGATGTCTAATAGCGACTGGAGCTTGCCCTCGTTGACGACCCGCGCCGGCTTTCGCAGCTCCGAGGAGCCTAGCTCGAGGAAATAAGAGAAGAAATCTGAGCGGTCGAGGAAGAAGTAATGTTTCAGGGAGCGGAATCGAATGTTAAGGGAATTTTTGGTGACAAGCAGATTCAACAATGAGGCGTTGGCGTATGTGTAGGCGGCATTAACGTTGTCCAAAAACCGTGGATCGTCTAGCGTCTTCGGCACATCTTTGACCTCTTTGCTAATGTCGACACCACCACATTCTCGGACCACATTGAGATACTTTCCGGCCAGTAAGACCTTTTCTCGAACGCTCGTAAGCTGCGGGGGAACCTCATTGTCTCGAATCGTGTAACGCTTTTCCCAGTACTCATCCGTGTAGTCTTCCTCCAGCTTCTCCCGTTTGATCCATTTTTGTTCCTTGACCAGGAACTCGGCGTGAGGATCTTTGATACCTCCGTGGTGTAACCATTCATTCAGCATGGTCATGTAGGGCCGACTGGCGTCGCGTAGTAATGTCTGAAGCAAGGTCTTTGTTGTCGGGTCACCTGAGAACGTAGCCAGACGTTCTGTTAGGAGGCGCAAAATGTTTCCTCCTTTGCACATTTTCTTGCGTGCCATGGCCCCTGGCACCAGGTCTCCTCCTTCCTTGAGCTGTTCAAGGATATTGTCAACATCATCAAAGTCGTCAATGGACTCGTCGAGATCTTGATCTAATAGACCATTTCGACGCAACAATTCCTGGCCCATGGAATAAAGCTGTGTTAGACACTGAGCGGTAGGCATCGTGTGAAGGTGTAGTAGGTGCAAGGTGAATGTAGGGTTGTTCAACAGCTGGCTTTCCAGCTGGGCGATAAGGATGAGGTAGTCCTTGAGAAGCTTCCGAATAGATGCACACAATGAGTGACTAACAGCGCCACACTCAGCTCGGCTTTGAATTTCCACAAATGCCTCCATGGCGCTGTAATGTGTCGCCATCTTTAACATGGACTGGGTGAGATCTCGTAGGGTTGGATCGATGCCCGAGGCCATTTGGAAGACCGGGCCCGTCAGGCGGTCTTTTTCGACGGAAGGATCATATGAGCTGGCGTAGTGAATGTATTGGCCTTCGAATCCCATAAACACAAACAACAAGTCCTCCAGGATTGCTGCTTCTTGCGCATCGGGGGAGAGCTCTCGGAGCGGTCGAGGGTGAAGCGACTGCGGAGCTGTCGAGGCGAGAGGAGGAACTGATACGCGACATGCGAGCGGAGCTGTAGAGCAAGGAATCAAGGAAGCTTGGGGATCCCACGGCGCTGTATAAAAACGGGCAGATTAGTTTAACCATCACAGCCTCGCTGGCAAGATGCGGCACAAGGCCACTTACTAGCCGAGTCATTATGGAGATTCGAGCTTGCGCCATCGGCCTGGACAGGTCTCTTAGGCCGAGTCTTATCCCAATCGCCTCGGTTGGCCGCGCTGAGAGAATCCTTGACAGGGTTCCTTCGCACTGCCTTTTCCTTTGTCGTGATCACGGTGCGCTCTGTGCGCTTTTCGGACATACTCTTTTGATCACGCGATACTCTGTGCTTCTGGCTCGAAGTACTTGCGCGCGAAGGGTCTATGTTCTCGGTTTGAAGCGGCGAGGCTCCGCGATTTTCGGCATTGACGCGATTGGAGACAACGCGGGGTCGTGGAGCGCTCATATGGGCGCGGTCATTGGCAGACATAATCCCGCGAGGGCAACAAGTATATCATGTAGCATAAGAAAACAAATGCGAATAATTTAATGGCCTGGCGCAAAGGTAGGGAAGAGTGATATCCAAACAACCAAACAACCTTGGAACTCCACTCGGGTTTGGGCAGAAGCGTGCCTTGGTGCCTGAGGCGACGCTAGGCTCTCACCTCTTACGTCGCGAGCTTCCTTCCCGAGCTTCAGACACCCTCTGCTCCTTTCCATCCTCTCCATCGCCTGTCTTCTTTGCTTCTTTTCTCGACTAGTCCCTTCAGCCCTTTCAGATCCCCCATCATGTTTATTGCCCGATCAGAATATGGTAAGCTTCGTCAACGTCCCCTCGCCGCGGATTCAACTAACAGCTGTGGACAGACCGTGGAATCAAGTACGTCCTCCATTTAGAATGTGTGGCCCCTCTTCGATGAATCCCCAGTCTGACAATGATTGCTCCCCAGCACCTTCTCCCCCGAAGGTCGTTTGTTCCAGGTCGAATACTCTCTTGAAGCTATCAAGCTAGGCTCCACAGCGATCGGAGTATGTCATACTATGTTTTCTCTTTTCACTACGCCGGTCGATTGAGCATATGGAAGGCATCCAATGGAAGCCCTCACATTGTTATCGAAACGCCGAACGAGGATGATGCGACCCCGGAACAGTTCTTGCTGACATTCACCCAGGTAGCAACATCCGAGGGTGTGGTCCTCGGTGTCGAGAAGCGCGTCACATCTACCCTCCTCGAAGCGTCATCCGTTGAGAAGATTGTCGAAATTGACCAGCACATCGGCTGTGCCATGTCCGGTCTGCAGGCCGATGCCCGGAACTTGGTTGAACACGCCCGCGTTGAGTGCCAGAATCACGCTTTCCACTATGCTGAGCCTCTGCGGGTTGAAAGCACCACTCAGGCAATTTGCGATTTGGCTCTGCGATTCGGTGAGAGCGGTGACGACGAGGAGAGTGTTATGAGTAGACCTTTCGGTGTTGCGCTGTTAATTGCTGGTTACGATGAGGACGGGCCACAGCTGTAAGAGATACTATTCGCGTTCTTATTCTGGAAGCCTCGCTAACCTCTGATTTTTGTTAGATACCACGCTGAGCCATCTGGCACATTCTACCGGTATGACGCCAAGGCCATTGGCTCGGGAAGCGAGGGCGCGCAGGCCGAACTCCAGAATGAATACCACCGGTCTTTGACCCTAGCAGAAGCTGAGACGTTGGTTCTCAAGACATTGAAGCAGGTTATGGAGGAGAAGCTTGATTCGAAGAATGTCCAGCTAGCTAGCGTGACCAAGGAGAAGGGCTTCCGCATTTACGGCGACGAGGAGATGGGCAATGCTGTCGCACAACTCGGTGGGAATCAATAAACGAGCAGTTGTGGATGATGTGTCCTGAATTCATCAGGTTCGATATTGGGGCTAGTATCTCTTCAGAGCAATAGAAAAATAATGATGCCGCCCAAGTTTATATCTACGCATGCATCGATTGAGATACAGAACATGCATCCATGGTAATTTTGAGCTATATACAAGAAAGGATAGATAAGACTAGCGGATCTTATACACACAAGGCTTCAACACCTGAGCCTCCTGCTCAGCAGTCATACCAGACTCAGACTCAGGCTTGCGGTCGACAAAGCGCTTCTTACCAGGAGCCGCAGGCGCACTCAAAGCCGAAGCGTGTTTGCCCTTCGTAGGCGCACCACCCTGCTTGACAAACTCCATGCGCACAAACATCTTATTAGACTTGTCGACAGACTCCTGACGAAGCATGAAGCCACGAGAGCGGAACACCTCCACAAAGGCAGAGATATCAGTCTCATCACCGTTATCAGAGGGACGCGCATCCTCAGCAAAGATCTCCGCCTCATCCAAGTCAGAATCAGCATCGTCCTTGCCACCCTTCTTCTTGGGCTTCTTCTTGTCAGTCTTGCTACCGGGCCTCTGGGCGCCGATCTGCGACTTCTTGCGCGTCACCTTGCCAAATCGACTCTTCACCTCACTAACCCAGCACTCGCCCTTGCCGTCGCCGCGCAGAACACGCCATGCCTCTTCAACGAACGAGACCCAGTTGGTGCCCATCAGACTGAGACAGAAGATAGCCACGTCCACTGAACCATCCTCCAATGGGAGATTGGAGATATCAGCCTTGGTGATCAGCGCATCGGGAGCTTGCAGATCGTAGCTGTTAAGCTTGATGTTCAGTTTCTTCGCGGAAGGAGTCAGGGCACGCGACAGCGCCGCATCACCACAGCCCAGGTCGGCGAAGGTACATGATCCATTCGGGCGGCGCGGGAGTGGGTATCCCTTTGCTGGGTTGAGGGGCTTGCCTCGCTTCGGGAGGGGGATCGCACCGCGGTGGCGGATGGTCTTGATGTAGCCGTCGACCGGGTTGGAGGGCCAGGATTCCTTCACCTGTCTTGAGAATCCGGCGTGGTACTCATCGAAGAGCTCCGGGTTGGCATTGAACATGTCAAGCGCTTTCGCGGACGGTGTGGTGTAGAGTGTTTCGTTCAGGTGGCGGAACCGGGAGGAGATCAGCTTCTGTCGCATCGCCTGCTGGAGGGGTGTCAGGTTTGATGCTGGTGGTGGTGCTGGCGCAGCGGGAGCAGGAGCGGGAGCTGCTTCAGTTGAGGGAGCTGCATCGTCTGTTTGCTTCGAGGCGTCGGCGTCCTTGTCCTTCTTTTTCTTGTTTCTCTTCTGCTTCTTCTTGGGTGCCTTTTCGTCGCCTTGGTCTGCCTCGGCGCTTGGGGCGACAGCTTCGCTGGCAGGCTTCTCGGGTGTGGCCTCGGGTGCCTGCTTCTCTTTCTTTTCCTTCTTCTGCTTTTGCTTCTGCTCTGGCTTCACGGGAGTGTTCGCACCCTTTCCACCTTTTGCAGGGCCTCCGGTCTGGCCCTCGATATGCCGGCGGTACATCTCATCTACATTGCCTGAGTTGACAGCGCCATTGCCGCGCTTGCGCTTGTTGTTCTTCGCATTAAGCTTGGTATCCTTCTGTTCGGACTCATTCTGAGGCTTGGCGGCCTGAGTCTGGGGCTTCAGAGCATCGCTCGAAAGCGACCATCCTGGGACAGCGAACATGATGGGACAGGATTGGCGAGTAGTAGCCAATACCTTCAGATATGCGAGACTGGGGTGGGGACGGGGTGATGTTCGAGCTCTCAAGAAAGAAGAAAAAAAGTAGCTCAAAATTTCGTTATCAGTGGTAATCTTACTATCGTTACAATACTACGCCTGAGGCATCAAATGCCTCAGGTCTGAAGCCTCAGGCTTCAAAAGGCTCCGCGCTCAAACACCTATGGAGTTGATCGGATCAAAGGACCCACGGCGTTCCCTGTTTAGGTCTCTCCCTGACTATCATATATTCAGGTCGATTAGCACCAATAGGAGACCCCCATCCGATCGGCTGTTATAGATGTACAACTCAGTCCAGGCGCCACATAAGCCGGGAAACCCTGAGCCCTGCGTAGATGAATTAATTGAGCATGTATTAGTAGAGAACTTTCATGCTAGGCAAATCGATATAGATTAAATTAACATATAAGATGGAAAGTAATGGGCGGGGGAAGCTTGGATCTCGGCTGATCTGCGAAACCGGCAGCTTTAACCCTCCATCCAAACCTCGTTAGCTTCCTCACGTCTACTCCGTACTTCTTTAAGGTCCCTTTTGGCCCCACAATGTCTTCCATGCATAAATACTCTCTTTCTTCCTATACTGTCTAGTCACACTTTCTACCATGGCTGAAGATCTCCATGACAATCCGAGTCCCATCGAGTCTGCGGAGGCCTCGTCCTCACGGTCAGGTCCCCGCAGACTCCCGAAGAAACGGACCAAGACTGGTTGTTTAAGTATGTTGCATGATGGGTGAGAGATGGTTCCCCGTTGACCAAGCCTAGCTTGTCGAAAGCGCCGCATTAAGTGCGGCGAAGAGAAGCCGATCTGCACCAACTGCGTCAAGTCAAAGCGAATCTGTGAGGGCTATGCCCAGCGAGTTGTCTTCAAGAATCCCATCGGTATCTTCGGGTCTTTTGGTCCCCTACATAGTCAGGATCCCCAAATGCTACAGCAGCATATGGGGATGCCCTTGTACAACGACTATGGCTCGCAACTCCCGCCCCAGCAGGCCGCTGCCGCCGCTCAGCATCCAATGCTTGCCCCGCGACCTGTTGATCCAGCTACGATGGGTTACAGCTCTTTCCCGCCACAGATGCCTCAGCCAGATAGGACTCAGCCAGGAAATACTCCTCCGTTCTACTACCCACCTGGTCCAATGCCAGTGCAAGCGCCGACGCATATGTGGCCCATCGGGCAATTGGGTCATACAGAGGGCATGCCGGTCCCACAAGCCAGCGCTGACTACTCACAGGTGCAGCACCCAGTTCATTCGGGTCAATCGAACACTCCACAAATGCCACAAACAAGCATACAATATCCGCCTGCGATCACCAGTCCGATCGGGCAGACGGCTGAAGAATACGCCTCGAACCTGTCCCCAGTTCCGCCTCTCAATGAGGTATCGGAAAGAAATCAGGACATTTCAACTCAGGTCTGTATCGCCCGAGTCTCCCTAGTGTTTGTAATGAGCATGCTGAGTATTGTTAGATGACTCAACCTCTGCCGACGATATACCATTATCAGCCACCACCGGGACAATTGCCACAGCAATCAGGTCCTCTTGAACAGTACATTCCCCAGCAACCGCAGGTGATATATATGGAAGATGAAACCGAGGACTATTACGATGTGGACTCGGACGATGAGATGGACGACCAATCCCGGGCCGAAGGCTTCAACCAGCTGAGTCTCATTATGGCGTCTGCCAACCGCGACGAGCAACAACTACGCTCCTTTACAACTTATTTGAACGAGCCTAATATTCTCGCCTCGTACCGTCCCTCATATGGTTCTTCTCCTTTGAACAATCCCAAAACAGCCCGCATCTTCGCCCACTTCATTCATTCCACCGGCCCCTCTTTGTCAATATTTGAACGTCATCCTACCGACTCTTCGATTGTCCTAGGGGCTGCCGTGCCCTCCACACGGCAAGGTTTATGGACCTATACCCTTGCTCTCAAGGCTTTGGAGCACCCCGCGCTGCTTCAGTCCATTTTGGCAGTCAGTAGTTTGCATATTGCAAACTTGCAGCATACTCCTGCAACAGTGTCCCTGAAACACTACCACTACGCATTAAGAAGAATTGGTTATGCAGTCGGCCTTCCCCACCGGCGCAAGCAAATCGGTACACTGGCTGCTACTCTTCTGCTTGGCTACTACGAGGTGATATCGGCTGATCACTCCGGATGGAACAACCACATTGCCGGATCCGCCCAGCTAATTCGAGAGATCGACTTTGCTACCACGACCAGAGACCTTCGAGCTCATCGACGCAGGCTACACGAGCAGCGACGCCAGTCGGACTGGTCGAATTCATGGTGGGGGATGTCTGGCGATATCTCCGAGGATGATCCCTTCGAGGAAAAAGAAGGCAACATCGATGAAGACCTCATCGGAACCCTTATGGGTCGTTCAATCAACTATGATCAATTTGGTGGTATTGACGAGGGCAACACACAGCCACCCAAGAAGCACTTTACTCGCAAGGACATTGAGGTTTTCCGAATCCAGTGCGATCTCTACTGGTGGTTCTTCAAACACGATGCATTCCAGAGCTTTATTGGTGGGAACAAACTATTGTAAGTCTCCGCGTACTGAAAATTGGAATGCCACTTGCTGATAGTGGAAGGATGCCCTTCTCTCAACGGGGTCAGTGTCCGCCCCGAGCGGGTGTCGGTCGGTTAGATGCCATCTATGGCTCGGCAGATCATCTATGGATGTTGCTTGCTCGAGTGACGGACTTTGGCCTGCGTGACCGGAAGCGAAAACTTAGAACTTTGAAGGCAGGTGGGAAGGACTGGAGGCCTGGTCCTGAGATGTTCAAGTTCATGGGTCGCTTTGCTGGCGGTCCCCCTGGCCAAAGACCAGGGCCTCCTGGTGGTCCAGGTCCAGGCCCGGGAGGTCCAGGGGGTCCACCTGGCGGTCCCCCTGGTATGCAGCCTGGAGGCCCGGGCGGGCACCCGACAGGGGAGCCTCCTGGGCAATCACCTCAATCTGCTGACAGCCCTCCCATGTATGGGATGGTACCCCCTCAGCCCCCGACTCGACTGCCGTCTGGATTTCAAGAAATACCGCGTGAGCCGCGGGCGTCACCTGACGCGGATGACCAGATCGAGGTGAGTTACAAGGAAGCAGAGCAGGAATGGGAAGAGATCTTAGCTGCTATGGAAATATTTGCCCATGCGCTGGGCCGTGACTTTCAGCCTCTGCCAGCGGATGTCACGCTTCCGATCGCGACTCCCTTCGGTCCCGCCCTTCAATATCGTACGCACACCATCGCCGTCATCTGGGGATTCTACTATGCTGTGCGGCTTTTGCTGAACCGACTTCATCCTTCCATGCCGCCGGCCATCATGATGGCAGCAGGAGTGGCTGCTCCGACGACGGCCGAGTTAGCGCAAACCATTGGAAAGATCTTCTCGGGTATTTACTACCCGCAACGCCATAGCCTCGAAGCCGGCAGTCTCAATCCCAATCTGGGTTCGTCATTGACTGAAATGACGGTTCCACTTTTCTTTGCGGCCGTACAGTATACCGATGCTAATCAGCGGGCTTGGACGATTGCCAAACTCCGAGATATCTCTCGTCTGACAGGGTTTAAGTCTTCCGAAGCTGTTGCCGGTGGCTGTGAAAAGGCATGGACTGTGGCTGCCAAACAAGGTCGGGGGCCACCCTATCAACGGTCATTCGAGACTTCACGAGAGCGGGAACGTCAACAAGAGGTAAGCATGCTCCGAAATTCTGGCAACATCGACGCTAATGTTCATGCGCCACAGGAGGCTGTGCGGGAAATGAGTGACGATCGTCGTTTTGTGACGGTCAAGAAAGATCGATCTCATTGGGCTATGGGGATTTTAGAGGAGGACATAGCCAACTTGGAAGTGTAGGCAGCATACAGCAAGGCATATCATACAGTAGTGCCCGAATTAGTGTACGCGGAGATATACCCCCACATCGTCTTACCCAATGTCATCATTGATCGACTTCTGCCTGACGTGCCTATTTATTATTTTGTGGCTTTTCTTCTTGTAAGGCTGACCTTGCGTTTCCCTTCTAGACCCTTCAGCTCTCTCTCTCTCTCTCTCTCTCTCTCTTTCTTTTCACTTCCACTTGCGTATCTACTCTCACCTCACCCGTGGTTCGCACTCTCGGTCCGCAAGTCAGCCGCCCGCGTCATCCACGGTTCACGTCATCCCGGACTTTTGTCTTTGTCTGCAGGTGATAGCCATGTCTCGCTATGACGATTACCGTTCGTCAACAGGGACGTTGGACTCGCGAGACCGCCACGATCGCTACTCACGGGGCCCAGCCGTGGTCGAACGACCCCGCCATGCCGAAGAACGCTTCGAAGCCCGGCTCCGCGACGAAGACAGATACGGACCCCCTGCACGCGCACCAGGGCGCTTCTACGAGGATGAATACCTAGACCACCCGGCTCCTGCAGGCCCTCTCGTGGCGCATGATCGGCGCCGACGCCGTGACGAGAGCCCCTCCTTTGAACGTCCCCGTCTTATTAGGCGGCAGTCGTCTCTGGACACCTTTGATCGAATCCCACGGCGCAAGATGGAGGCTCTCGATGCCCATGCCCGCGACCGGGCCCCTCGCATGCCCCGCGTTCCTGCTCCGCCTCATCGCCACTTCTCCCCCGGTCGTTATCGGGAGCGCGAGGTCTATGAGGATATTAGGATCGCTGAGCCCGATTATTATGGTGATGAGGAGTTCAGAGATGTTCGTGAGAGAGACATGGTTGGCCATCGTCGCCGCTCGAGCAGCAATGCTCGTAGACATCATGAGGAGAAACCTTACCCGCGCAAAGGGAAGACCCGTATTCCTCGTCACCTTGCCCATGTCCATGCCATCTTGGATCTAGGCTATCCGTTCAAGGAGGAGGTTGGTATTTACGCTCTGATGTTATCTCCAGTTACTGACTTGTGTAGGATGATGTGATCGTGATCCAGAAGGCCCTGTCAAAGGCTCAGATCGATGAAGTGATCACCTTGAGTCGCGAGTTCAGGAGGCCTCCTAGCCCGGTAGAGAGTGAGTGGCATTCCCTATCTCTTTTTCGAAAGACCAATCCTAACTTGCGACGCCGAGCAGCTGAATACCTTTCTGTACGAGAGCGTCCGCGCGAGCGTGTCACGACTGAATACTTGCAAGTCGAGGCAGCTACTTCTCCACGCTCGAGTCGTGACACGTTCATTGTTGAGGCCGCACCTTCACGACACAGGTCACACTCGCGCCATCACCACGATGATTATTACGAAGAGATTGTGGATAGACCAATAGTGCGAGGGATCTCCCGGCCACGTTCGGTATCAGTCCACGCACACCGCCCTGTGCAGTACATTGAACAGCGAGAGTTCGATAATGCTCGGACCGGCCCAATGGTTCTTGTGCGTCCACGAGACAGTGATAATGATGTGAGCGACTACATTCGTGAACTTGAGGAGGAGACTAGACTTCTTCGCCTGGAGAGACAGGGTGGCATTGAGATTACGCGGCAACGCGATACGGAAATCATTGATAACAGAGGGAATGAGGAGGAAGTTACGGAGGTTCGGAGACAGGAGCGCAGAGGTATGATTCTGCAAACTATTCTCATCTTGATTTCATAGTTCTGACATTCTACAGAGCCCAACTCTCGCATTATGCGCGCTATGATGGCTACTCTTACTTGAGCATTGCACAATTTCGCAAGATTCGGCAGGGATTTGATGACGCTATGACATTAATTTGATTCTGGGAGATTTCCGGATGTTTCTATGTACTTTTCTTAGTTTCCGCTGAATATTATCTTTACAAAGCGCATTGTTGCCTGTTTGTTTCCTGTGGCGGTGCATATGAGGCGGTGCATTGCCCGAGCCTCGACCTTCATAGCTGCACATGTGGTAATATCCTATCATCTCTTCACCCACACCCCCATTTCTTCCTCTTTTTTAGTCAATTTCCTCAATAATTACGCAATCATGGATCGAGTGCAGGCATTCGGAAAGAACTTCAGGTGAATACAACCCCTCACCCCTCACCCCTATCCCGCGGACCGTCAACCTAATCCGACTGTGGCCGATCGCGTTACTGACATCTTCTTGCCTTGTGGTTTTCTGACGGACAGCGCAAACTTCACACCTTTTGCGCAGCGTACCCAGCAGCTGATCAAGGAGCAGCTTGGCCAAGCCGACGACAAGACCCAACTGCCCGATGAATACATCGAGCTCGAGAAGCGCGTCGATGCGCTCAAGCTCGTCCACCAGAAGCTTTTGCAGGTGACGTGAGTGATACCCACTCCCTCGTCATGCTACGGTGCATGCATATCGCCCGCAGCTACTTACCAGTGCCACCACCAACCAGCTCCCAATACTCCAACGAGGCCTACGACTACCCTCCCAACATCCGCGAATCCTTCAACGACCTGGGCCGCACCATCAACGAGAAGGTCCAGCTCCTCTCGCAAGCTGGCTCACCCGCCGAAGCTCAAGCCGCCCTGACCGCCCCACCAAGCGCAAAGCCCCAGCCCAAGACCTTCAACCACGCCATCGCCCGCGCCTCCCTGGCTGGCTCGCAGACTCTCGCTCAGAGCTCCGAGGTCGAAGACCCCCTCGCCAATGCGCTTGAGAAGTATGCCCTGGCTGAGGAGAAGGTTGGAGAGGCTCGTCTCGCTCAGGATGCGCAGATCCAGTCCCGCTTCCTGGCTGGCTGGAATACCACGCTCAATACCAACTTGATGTTTGCTACTAAGGCGCGCAAGAACGTTGAGAATGCCCGCTTGATGCTTGACTCTGTTAAGGCTAGCAAGAAGGCTGCTGCTCATGGTGATCTCGATAACCTCAGTGAAGATGCCCGTGCCGAGATCGAGCAGGCTGAGGATGAGTTCGTTGGTCAGACTGAGGAGGCCGTGAGCGTGATGAAGAACGTGAGTTTTTGCCTTCCCTTTGGTTGATCTTTTGAAATTGTGGAGTTTCTTGTGCTGACTCGTCCGCTAGGTCCTTGATACCCCCGAGCCCCTGCGCAACCTGGCCGATCTGATCGCCGCTCAACTTGAGTTCCACAAGAAGTCTTATGAGATCCTCAGCGAGCTTGCCCCAACTGTGGATGCGCTGCAGGTCGAGCAGGAGGTAAGTTTTCATTGATAATTATCCTTGAGTATCACAACTAACTAGATCTAATAAGGCTAGCTACCGCAAGAGCCGTGAAGGCGCGTAAACGAGTTATTAGGTGCCCTTTTCTTTTATTTGCCCTGCCTGGTTCTGGCTTTATCTGTTATTTCGAGCCATGGCTATTGTCTGTATCTAAGCCGCTTTGCTTCTGCTGTGCCATCCCAAGGGATCATCCAGTAATTTTTGGACTTGGAATTTATATCCACTTCGTAGACCAAATATTACCTGTATCAAAGACTTAGATTGTAGATTGTATATTGGTATAGAGTAAATGCCGCCTGCATTGATCCACCGCCCGCCCGTTGTGGCCTAAGGCAGTATCGCGCTAGCTCAAGGAGCTCCGACATCAGATACTCCAACTCGCCAGGTCGCACTTCCCAGCTGACAACCCCGACAGCTGGATACTTTTCGAAGAACATCTCGAAATCCGATCCTTTGAATCCACATCCAACCCACGGTCGACCTGACCCCAATCGTGCCACGCTACACGGAACATCGAATACTTGTCTGTATCCAATCCGCGCTGTCGAGTGAATCGGACTGTCGAGACGACAGACAATTCAATCTAGTGAATCAACACTAGAATCAACAGTCAACAGTCTGCTCCCTCTCGAATTCTCCACGTCCATCACACAGGATTCCCCGAGACGAATTCCGCAAAACACGCTTCGACACTTCCGCCCCGGGTTTGCGCTTCACCCTAAAATACATTACCAAATACCGACAAAATGGCAAACGGGTACGTCTTCTCTGCCCTGGGAGGTGTCTGGTGAATACATCATCTATACACAAATACAATTCCTATTACCCGGCTGGTTATTCGACCACCACAAGTCTCTGTCACGACGATCTTATCCCGCCACACCAAACCCTCCTCATGATCCACGCTATTTTCCCTCAGCACATTCCCTATCATGTACTGACATCTTCTAGCTGGAGCTTGGTCATCGGCTTGATCATCATCGTTGCTGCATCTGTTGCTGCATGGTTCCTCAGCCCGAAGGGTGAAAACCAGACGTGAGTTTAGACCCCAGTATCGGATATTGGATCTACCAGATATCTCAATATGAGATATGGAATGGGGTGATTTTGCAAGATATTGACTCTTTCTTTACTCTAGACTGTTCCGCAGCACGCTTATTCTGACGTTTGTTTCTTGTTACTTGATGTGGGGTACGTATTCCGATTATCTTCTTTTTGGGATATGGTACGGTGGGCTCTATATATTGCAACGTTACTAACATCTCGGCTTCTATAGCAATTGTCTTCCTCTCACAGTGGCATCCCCTCATCGCACCGAAGCGCGCAGACATCAGACCTGACCGCGTACCAAATTAAATGTATCTCCATTTTTGGTTTCTGGATCAGTTATGTTTCTTCTTCTGTCGTTGACAGGCTTTTCGGGGAGGTTCTTGTTTGAGGTATTGTCTTTGGAATATGGTCTATTCTATTACATGCATTCATGAGCTTTAGTTGGATTGGGATCCAGTTGTTCCTGGTCCGCTCTACATTGCGGACATTAGGTTGGATTTGCACCTTTGTTGGAGGTGCTTTTGTATAGTCTGGTTTATTTTATGCTTGGTAGCGTTCCATCAATTATTTTCATCAAGTCACTGTTTCTGTCTAGTAGAGATCTCTAGGGCCAGTTTAGTTCTGCTGTACTTCATAAGTTTGGGTTGCTTTAATGTCGCTAAGTTTCTTGGTAGAGAGAGATATGTATATATCTACGAGGGTAGAATTTATTCAGATTCGAAAATCGAACCTTGAAGCCGATGGATTCCGGCTAAATTATAATTATGTATCAATTATATATAAATGCATCACGGTCTAACAACAAACAAGGCATCTCTTATCCAACCCCAATAGCACTCAGAATAACTCTCTGCACCGCCCACCGCGCAACCTGACCAGCAACCGCAACCGCAACAGCGCGCAGATAACCACAACCGAGTAAGATGTACAATGCCTCAATATTACTTAATAGCACGAGATGCGTATCAACAACACCAAGTGAAAGCAACGACGCAAGCAAATCAAAAAGCCCAGTCAGATGACTAGTCGGCGTAGAACTCCACAAAGACGAAAAAAACCCCGCAAGCCGCGATTCCAGAAACGAAGCAGGAACCGGTGTTGCAGAGGGAGATGGCGAGATCGCTGCTTTCGCTGAGAGAACTGAAGACGCGCTTGTAGCTGCGGAATATAGACTCTGGTTCACTTTACTGTGCATGGTAGTCGGCTGTGTCGCAGATCGGATTGTCGCCGCTGTCTGGCCGTTCGCTGGAATAGTGGAGAGGCTGCCGCTGCCGTCGGCGCCCCAGATTACCAGTAGGATGGGGAAGAGCTTCGCGCAGCTGCTTACTAGTAATGCGGTGCTGATTGCTGCTGGGCTTGCTGCCGTTGGAGGGGGAGGGGCTGGATGTTCTGTAGCGGGGCTGTTGAGGCGCGACGTAATGGCGGGGCTGGTCGTGGTGGTGGGATTGGTGGTGCTTGCGCATCGGTTGGGGAAGTCACCTCGCTGTATGTGCTCGAGGCTTGAGTGGACTTTGGTGGGCTTGCTAGTGGGTTTGCTTGGTTTTGGGTTTGGGCGATTACTGAGACAGCAGATGGGGAGGGCCGGATTGTTGGTGTCGGGGGTCCTGAGGGGAATGGGGTGGCTTCGCCTGTGTTTGTTGTGGTGGCATTGTTGCTGCTGTCTGGGCCGTTGTACCGGCGGGATTTTGGGACCAGAATTGAAGCTAGCAGGCGGACGGTTAGGTGGTGGGCGAGGGTTGCGGCGGCGTTCAAGCTTAGGAAGAAGAGGTATTGGACGATGATGGGGGCGCGCGAGAGGAACGTCGCTGCGAGGGATGGGTCCTTTTCAATGCGTGCCCAGGTCAGGTAAACGTCGAAGAGGAGTAGGAGAACGCCGAGGCGGATGATGGATCGCTATAGGGCCATGTTATCAGTTAGGGAACTGCAATTGTGTTGGATCCTACACTCACATCGAACCGATTGTCGTCGCGTCCGAGCCGATTGAACAAAAGGTGCCGGTATACCTATTTTCAGCCATTGTCAGTGGCTTGCCATATTTTCTGGACTTCACATAGAGCTTACCTGGGGTTTGATAAGCACCAAGTCAATGAACAACACAACGAAGTCATATTCGACATATTTGTCGGCAAATCGCTGGCAACGCGGGCATTGCGTCAGTCGCACACCCTTGCCTTGAGACCGGTCATCGGCGCGACTGTAAGCACTGTACAGATGGGAGACCGGATAAGAGCATTCGATGCAGATGGGCATCGTGTCATGACCTGAAGCAGTGTTCAAGTTGTTGCTCCCCTATATATACAAAGGCGGTGAGTTAGTTGAATACGTTCTAGTTCTACAGAGCTCCATATATGAAAACGACCTAATATTTATTCCCGAGGCCATAAGAATATTATAGCCTAATACTATTTTAAGATAACTAGAGTCCACTTGATTCGTTAAAGAGAGAAAGAGCCAAAAAATTAAAAATTGTGTGCTGGGTAAAAAAGATAAAAAAACAAACTCCGATAGGGGGAATCGAACCCCCGGCTGTCGTGTGAGAGACGACGATGTTAGCCACTACACCATATCGGATGTTGGATGAAATCAACATCCACTTAGTGTAACATGACCCAAAAGAGCGGTGTGGAATTTTCAGACCCACTCCACTCCATTCTATGAGATATCACTCTACTTCCCATTCTTGCACCGCTTTTTCCACGCTTCTACCTCGTATACACGTATTCCCGTGAGACAATTTTGCTATTGACCCGGGTCACCGAGCTCCTAAGCTCCGCCATCCCTTTCTCTAATATGTAACTCGTCGGCTCTACGATCTGCGCTACCCTCCCTCGTCCGGCCCTATTATCCCCAGCTCAGACCATGGCGCTCGAGTTAAGGCAGCCCTTTCCCAAAGTCTGTGACATTGGCATACAGGCATACCGCTTCAGATCTCAATCGGGCCTGTCCATAGTTGACCTCTGTGTAAGCAGGCGTGTTCGCCCTATACCCTTTCAGGACATCCGTCCCTGTGCAGCAGGCCGCAAATCTGCCTTGGGGCCGACACACTGCGCGAGAGCTTTGTCAACCTTGACTGATAGCGCGCTCACCTCAATTTAGAATCGAAGGTGACCGTATTTCATCAGTTTAATAGACTGATCAGACTGTCCCAGCCATGGTTCACACCAGCCGGCTCTTACTCAGTCAGCGCAATTATATATCTAAATAGGGACATTTTCTTTTTACGATGACTATCATAGATTAAGTGGTCATGTCGAGGCACCAAGACGGCCTTTAGATCGACAAAGGGTTGCTGCCTTATAAGGAGCCATTTCCGTGTCCCATTTGCAGCCACACAGAGCTTCTCCTCGAATTCCACCCGCCATCAGTTGAATATCATACAATCTTCTGGCATCCAATTCCGAGTCATACTTTTAGTATATAGGAAGTTGACCAATATGACCAGCTTGGCTTAGGTATTAAGCCGTCATCACAAGGCTACTGGGATTGGTTCTATCCAGGCTTTGAACCTCAGAACCCCTATACTTGCATCCCGGATGATGATAGTACGCGTGGTAAAGGTCAATCTACTGACTATGAAGTCCAGAGCATGCAATATGCAGAAGGGCCTTGGGATCCACTTTCTGTGGCATTTGACAATAGTTTTACTCTATCAACATCATCTTACAATATTGGTCAAATTCCTCTGGATGCGAGAACAGAGGGAGTCAAAAATCTACTTGATCAGTACCTTCACGTTCCAATAGACTCTCCCGATGAATCTCCACTTTGTCTACTACACGAAAGTTTGGGCCACGAACTTAGAGACAGGATTAAGCTATTGAAAGCCCAACCGCATTTCAGTGCTGAAATTCAGACGATATCAATCCCTCACGCCAAATTGAGAGAAGAAAGCTTTCGTGGTCTTGCACCCGACTGCGGATTCATTCCACACTCATCTGTTGCATATCCGCCGAGTTGTCAAACCCACAAAGATGAATATGGTAACAACACATATCTTGCTTTGTGCACACATTCGCCAATTGAGTCATCCAAGGCATTACTTATCGGTGACTTACAATTCTTTGACCCTCTCGGAGAGACCTTTACAGCCCCCTTCTATGTGGACAAGGAAACTCGCTCTAATGCTGGGACATCAGGAGCTACAAATCTTACAGTAAAACGTCCAGAAGTCAAGAGAGGTCGTTCTTACCAGCTTATTCCAAAACCCTAGGGTTCTGGAATACGACATCCTGGCAATCCAAGAACCCTAGCGTAATTCATTCATCACCTTTGGATACTGTAGAAATGCCGGGCAGTTTAGAGATGGTGGCGCACTTATCCCTGCAGGAGCTAGAGCTTCAGCCTCCACCAACCAAACTTCATCCCATATACCTAGAGTCAAATAAACGACCAGGAAGCAACAATATTGAACACGTATATTCACACCAGTCATACTAATGCAGCGTTACCCATCTGACGGACTCCGATTCTGCAAGAGACAGCCAAGAAAGCCAAGCCGCCGTCTCCCAGATACTAAGGGTCCTAGCACTCTTAGCGAATCAAAAAAGGCTAGACCTTCGTATTTAGCAGAGCAGCCCGACATATTAGTAGGGGAGCGTGGCCCCCCGCGATGTTGGACTCGAGCTCTTCGATTCTCATTTCGCACCTGCGATAAGTGGCAAGCCCAAGTCCATCTAGTTTGCGACAGCCTGAGCGACAATCGTAATGCGCCGCGCCGCCACATTATTACAGCTACCGCTGTTCCTAGCAGCGCAGGCTCTAGGCAGCGAGGATGTTAATTACGACCCAGATGAGAATTACCGGCCGCGCAACGTGACGGGTTTAGATTATTACTATTATCCATGGATTGGCTCGTGCGCTCAACTCCATATTTACAGACCACGCAGACTGCATACTAAGAATCTGTCTATAGGTACTACAACGGCAGCGCTGTATTCACCATCTCCGACGTCAAGCCTCGAGACGACCGCAGCGATTCCGAGATCGAAGAGGAGGGGGAGTTAGAACTCTGCGGGCTATTACGGAACATCACGTACACGTGGTCGTACCCAGCAATCCTAGCGATCACAGAGACAGAACCGGAAGATGAGCGACCGAAGAACGTAAACCCAATTGATGTTTCACTGTTCACCTCGTACTCGAACTTTACGCAGTATTTTAGCGATTATATGGATTCCAGCAACATGCAGACTCGGGATATGCCCTTTGTATTTGAGTCAATTGAGATGTCGTAAGTATATACCCCTTTCTAATGCGCAGTCACTTTTCTGGCGGCTGGCTGACTTGCGACAGGCGTTACTCATTCCCCACGAGTAGAGACACGAAGCCAGATTTTAACCTGACTGTCGCCGAGGACACTGGGAATGGGCTCCCTTTTCGAGTGACAGGGAGTTCGGAGCTAGAGCAGAACCCGCTGGGTACTTTACAGATGAATATGTCGACCTGCTCCCGTACCGAAGGATGGTGGGGTGTCGTTCCCATTTCACTCGATGATGACCTTGACGACGTTAGCGGCGTGATAAACCCGACCTTGCAGCTGGCATTTGACGACTCTTCGGCAAGTTTCAGTATTCGATCGTGGATTGTCGCGAATACCTTGGCCGAAGAGGATGAGGAGACGCCAAGAATTTCCGCTAGGTTGACGATCGAGTTCTTAGGGAGGATTGATGCTGCGCGCTCGGATGTCTTAAACGAGGGAACTCCAGTGACATGGACACCGAGCATGGGGTTCGGGAATAATTCCCTGAGTTCGGATTATGAATCCGGTGCGCTTGCCGCAGCCAGAGTGAATATCCGTCAGATCTGGAGCATCCTGGGGGCTGTTTTAGCATACATCTTCATATAAATACGACATTATTTACCCTATCGGGGCCTGCTATGAACGTGCAAGGCCGAGAATCAATACCTACAGGCGTAGCATGGATGTTAAGCCGGTGTCAATCATAGCTATGGGTGGCGAGACAATGTATGAGTTGGGGCCATACTGTAGTAGCAGGGTCTGACCGATGAAGAGCCTGCTGCGCAATAGGCCGCAGGATGTGAAATGATCGCCTAAGAGCAGGAAGCATGACGAGGGAGGACTTTCAGCCGGGGATCAAGAAAATACATTTTCAAGAAAACTTCCTCAGCAGCACTAATCAAAAAGAACGGCGGGAAGCCCCTTAGATTCAGTAAATTAGGAGCAAAAACTGAGCTATAGCCTTCGATATTAGGGGACATAAAAAGTTATCGGAGGCAAGTTTGTATAGTAAACCGAGACCTGCTAGGTGTGGAAGGGATGCGTGAACACGTTGTCTATCTACGATCCCAGGAACCCATTAGAGCGGGCTACTGTAAAATCGGAGGGGTGCAGTACAAGAGTTCTTTATACATCAATTGATTATGAGTCAGCTGGCAGTGGTTCGCTCAAGAGCTGCTACGGAAGCGCTGCGCTTCGGGAGTGCTCTGGGATTGCTCATGGGGCCGCCGGGACTGACCATCTTTTTGGCGAGACATTGAAGAGTAATTAGTTAAAGTTGAGAGCATTCCACGAAGTATGAGGATCCCCTTTTATTTATACCCTATATGTGATAGGTTTCATGTTTTGCTAATGATAGAGCCACCGGGGCGCTAAATACTGCCTACTTCTAGGTAACTGTTTAGGTCACGTAGGCATAAATGAGCTAAACCATTTTTGATATAGTGCTAAAATCACCACACCTTGCCGCTGGCTATATGGAAACACCACGATTTTGTTTCATATAAGCACGCAGAGTCGTCACCTCGACTTACACCATATCGGATAGTGATTATGTGTATTGTCACGGAATTTGATTCTATAAACCAAAAGAGCAGTGTGACGTTTTTTGATATCTTTCCACGTTTCTATACATGCATCACCAATAAGGCATTTTCGCTATTCATCCGGATCTCGAAGCTCCGTGCTCCACCACGGCCCTTCGTACTCTCCATGAATGAACGATCTGTATATTCCGAGAAAAGGTTGATTGATCTATATTCGGCAATGAACCAACTTTCGGAATACTATTGCACTTGCTGTTGGCCTGTCCATAATAGCAGTTTTCTAAAGTTGTTGACCTTAGACCACTGCCGATGTTTGAAGTCAGCAACCATGGGAAGTTTTACTTCATACCATTCTATAGGATTGTTCTCTGTATTCCAGGTCCATCTCTTTTGTTAGATCATTTCACGAACAAGACTATACGCCAGTGCTCTGGCCAATGTCAGAGTCCAAAAGCAACTCCAACTGGGGCCTACGCGTATATGCCCGAAGCATTCAACCAAGAAATTACCAGTCCAAGATCTTCGATCCACTACATGTTTCACCCGGGCTCTCTGCGTAGTTACGAGGCATACTGTTGAGGAGCGAGAGAAAGCATGATCTGGAAACTCTTTACCTGAATGAGAGCGAATATATACATTGGTTTTGTCTTAACATCCTGGCCGTAGAATGATTGGTATTTTGAGCTTAAAACTAAATTAACTACTGCAGGATCATTATGTGCTATGGCGCAGAGATCCCGCCGTGGCTGAGCTGAGATATCAAGGGCTTATTCATGACTTATGTATTCCACCATCTAGATATGGTTAGAAATCCGAGGTCAATCTCATTTTGAACTAATGTAAAATGACCTTCATCTAGGCATATTTGAGATAGTATGGTCAGCCTCACCTATCGTGAAAGCTACACCAAGGGGCTAGCTGATGTTGCTATATCTTGCAGGACCCTACATGAAAGCTCTAGAGACGCTAGGTAGTAGGTCCGTGCCTGACGTAAAAGAACATATAGGTATGTAGTAGAGTGGCAGCTCCGGATAGATAAGCTGAGTTTTATAACTGCTAGAGGCTCGTGCTAATACTCTAGCTATCCGAGTCCTATCTAGGAGTAGTTCGGTTGACAGAAGGGGACGCGGACGTGTAAAATAAAAAATCATTCCGCTGAATCGAAATCATTTGGTATCATATAAGCAACTTCGCATGTACTCCCGCAAACCCAACCGCAGTGAATATTACCTCCTTTGTCATACCAGCCGAATACTTGGCTCAGTTAGCCAACTAAAGACCATCACGACATGTTTCAAAAAAGCAAACTTGAATAGGGGTTGTAATCAGGGCCGGACCCTGATTTCTCGGAAACAGAATCTCTCTCAACTAGGGTATCCTGTTTTCTATATTTTCCATCTTGTTTTCCATCTGATGAATCCGCCTCCGCAGTAGCCAAAGCTTGAGAGCTATTAGCTTGATTCTGAGTCTGAGTCAAAGAGCATGCCTCAACTCCGTGGTCCACAGAAGCGATCGCGACGAAAAATATACTAATATATAGGATTATGGTAGTCGTCAAGTCAGCGTCCATTTTGACGTTGAAGGAATGGCAGAGAGAAACGGAATATCGCAGTTGGGGCCTAGAGACGGAGGCAAAAATGTGTAGTTGAGCGAACAAAAGATAACGAGGAGGTTGAACAGAATTACAAGAGGTGCCCTGAATTTTTAATCATCAAGGTCATCAGTATGATTCAATAGTGACGGATAGTCTCAAGGATAGGATTTCAGGTCCCGATCAGGTGCCACAGCTGAACGGGACCCGTCATTAGCCCGTTGAACTTTTCACGGGTCCCCCTCTCTTCTTTAAGCTTCTCTTCTTCGTGTCGCCTATCCACTATCAACGCAAAAATGGCAGACTTTGCGCACTTCCCTGGCCAAGGCCCGACCCGGCAAGCCTTCGACTTCCCATCGCTGGCTACGCACATGCAAATCCAGATTAAAAGCCCCGAGCTTACACAAGAACTATTGCTCGTGATAAACGCGCCGGTTTGATATTTTCCACCATCGCAGGAGGTGCACGCCGCTTCGATATCCTAGCCAAGCATCTGAAAGGTGATCCTCCTCCCAACCGTCCAAAGCAGCTGAACAAGTAGAACACCGGAGTGTACGTAACATATATTACACGTACACATAGGGCTTACTGACGTGAGGGAAAACAGCTGCGGTGTTGTTGTCAAACCCCCTCAGGGCATGTGTGGCCTTGTCTTCGGCAACTACGGAATAAGCATACTGGAGCGGGTAAGTACATATTCATGAGACACGTTGAATAAATACTTTTGCCGCGTTCCAGTCGAGCCGTACCCGCTAAAAGTTGACCCGGACTCGCTCATCTTAGTCATTAAAGCGAGTCCGGGTCAGCTCCACCGGTCAATCTTTCGGCCATAATGACAGCATAGCAGCAACATCTGGTTGCGGGTATGGTCGAGGTAGGTAAATCTCTGGCTGTACTACAATCAGCTACCGTGGCTATGGGAGCCGCGGGTCTATATACCAAGATCGCGGCAATAGTTTCTTCTTAGGACTAGTATGTCACTCCCGGAAGGGTTCGTATAGAGCGTTCCCTAGCTGCTATAGGCTCTAGACCTATAGAAGGTTATCACTAAGAAGGCCGTGTTAACTTATCTACTATAGCCTATCGGGAACATAGCCAAGACGAGTCAAAGTACTTTGCCAACGAGACTATGGTCACAATGACTGATGTTTCGAATGTGATCAACTGAGCTTTTTACCTTAAGTCTTTTATAAAAATCTCAAGCCCAACGTGTACATGCCTTCCATTTGACGCCTCTGTGACTCCCTGTTGTGCTTACATCCTCTGGTATGAAATTATTTCCAGTAGCGTAGAAAATGAGCTCTTAGATCTGACTATTTGTCCTTACGGTGCTACCGGCTAACGGCAGACTAGGAGTAAAGCTTACGATAGAAATATCTACTATCTTCCCACAATCCTATTTGTTGCCATCAATTCCGGCCCTTCCTCTTACGACAGAAAGGGGGAAGGATTTACCTAACTCATCTTGTTCTAATCCACTTTGTCTATCTCTACCTTCTCACATAGCTGTATTATCCGTTTGTGTACTTCAGCGGTAGGGAGTCTAAGTCAGTAAGACCTTTGATGAAAGCTGCCCTATCCTTGCGTCTTTGCTTATCCTCAGCAGCTTTCGCCGCTGCTTTGAATTTCTTCGCGTGGCATGGCAAGTTACTATGAAGCCTGTCAGTCAGCTTATGAGATAGATTGATAAGAGCATCTTAAAACCTTGGAGCTTGCAGTTTTGAAAATTGAGCACAGAAACTTCCAGGGTTTGGTTTGGATCTTTCAGTGATGGAAATGAGGGACCAGAGGGAAGGATGTAGGAGGGGCCCCGACAGCGACATATATATGTACCGAAATACGAGATAACGTTAGCACGAAGGACGAATTTTGGCAAATGAGGGGTTTAACTTGTACATCCATGCAGCTTCTACCTAATCGGTGACTTGGAGTGATGTCATTTGCGACCCTTGTTACTCCTCAACCAAGCATTCAGCTATTATCTTAAAACCTACAGCAGAGGTCTCAATTAGCCTGATAGTAAGGATTATTTGAGCCTTTGAAAGTTTAACCTAGCATGCATTAATATTCGCGAAATAGCATTTGAAAGTGTGTAGAATGTCAGACTGATTTAACCGCTACTATACCTTCCGCTGTTATTGGAAGGTAAAGTTTGAAAGGCGGGCCGGGCCCGCGCCATATAATGATAGGGCTCCACAGATCTCTTAGAGCGAAAATAATGATACAATAACGACTACGACGGAATCAAGTCTATACAGATGAGGATAGCGCTGGAGCCCGGCTCCTTATTCAAGGAAGGCCCGACGCATATCTCGTTACTGTTTCTTTCATTACGAGCTATCACTGAAGGTAAGCCCATTTCAACGCAAGCCAGTTTCCCCAAATAACAAGTCCAACGAGTTCAACGACAGTATTCTTCCAACACCTTCACTTGGATGACATTCAGACCCCGATCAGTCTGTCCATTGAAGTTGTCACGAGTAATTTCAACATTCCTCTCAGTTGTTTCATGCAAAGCAAACTCAAAGCGACGGAATAGAGACCCTAAAACGAGGTGTATCCATGCCCAAGCCATGCTAGAAGACTGTCAGCAGCGAATCATCTTCTGCTCAACTAGATATTTTCTTACTTCTGACCCAAACATCCCATCGTTCCTTTAGACCCTGGAACAAGATATTTCTCCAGTCCTCGCAACCGCTCCCGGGGCAATAACCATCGTTCTGGTTCAAAGGCGTAGGGCTCTGGGAAAATTTCCGGATCCCTCAGGATGAAGTAAGTGGACATACTAACGATCGTCTGCAACTCGTTAACGTCATTTCCCTATTGCAGGACATACATCGGGCGTTCATACTCCAGCTGGAATCTGCCACTGCTGATATTGGAGAATTTCATCCGGGGCCGAGCGGGGCAGTCGTGTTGTGACGATGGCAGAAAGTCGTAGACATTCTCTGACGACTGCGCTCTAGATACAAAGTTGGGTTAGGGAGAGCAATTAAACCTAATGTCCTATAGCCAACTCACCAGATATGGTAATCGCTCCAACTCGTCCAGTGTGGGTGTAGTGTTAATATCTGGAATACCCGAGAAAAGCTCTTCCTTGAGCTTCTGGTACACTTTGGTATTGTTCAGTATATGAAACATGGTAATAGCAAGTGCTTGCGCGGGAAGATCAGTGCCAGCCACCATAAGGAATATTGCATCATCTTGTAATCGTAACAAGTCCTTTTCACTTTCGGGCACTTCCGGATCAGCCAGAATTGTGGGATAGATAGCTTTTTCCAAAGAGTCATTCTTGTATTCTCCCCCAGCTTCTCTCTGTCGCTGATGAGTCACTACGGCGCTGACTCGGCGCCTCACATCCTAGAAGCATTATAGGAACTGTAAGCTCCCGCTATTACCAGGAATATAACAAGAAAAAGATTGACTTACCTGCTCTAGTTCATAGACAAATCGGAAAGGGGGAACAACCCAAGATGTTGGCACGGGAAAGGCATGTGCCAGATACGACGACACGGGAAAGTGCCTTGTCAAGCGAGTGAGATCAAACATCGCTGTTACTCCGAGTTTCCAGGTATCTGACAATTGAGATTCCTCCAGATAATGGGATCCCATGCCTCGCCCAAACGCGTGTTGGGAGAGAAGATCACTCGTAAAACAGTGAAAGGCGGCATGGAGTTCTAGAGGCCGATTATTTGTGACGGCAGCAGAGAAGTGTTTGCACAAACTTCCAATCTTAGCACTGATTACTGGCTCGAGTTCCAGGACCGCGCTCCTTTTGAAAAACTGCCCTAAGACCTTTCTACGGGCCTTATGGAACTCGAATCCGCTGGTGGAAAAGATCGACCCAGGGAACGATATGAAACTGAACCAGGGGTCTTTCGTTCGATGCCTTGTGGGACCCGCATAGACAGTATTGTAGTAATCAGGATCTTTGATATGGATCTCCCATGGTGTAATTCTCACCACAGGCCCGTAGTGCTGATGCAAAGTCTCGATATGCCAGCTGAATGTTCCGCCTTTGAGAATCTGAAAATATGTCTCATAGAGTCGAGTTGCAGCCGCAAGACGAGGCCCTGGAAACCTTGCCAGGGGACTCAGGACAAGTCGGTAGAAAACAAGACAGCTGATATAAGAGAATATAAATAACAATACGCCATATGCGTAGGCCTTGCAAGGAGCATCTCTCATCGCCGAATTCAAAATTGGAAAGCGATATGAGTTATTGGACATCCACATTGCGGCCAAATTTCGCGTGAAGGAGCTTTCTCGGGTTATGGATGAATGGCTGAGATACTTTGTGGACAGAAGACCTGACCCTTCCCTTGAGTGGGTCTTACTCAGAAATACTATATCTCTAGTTGCACAGTTGGACAGCAAAGAGCTAGGGCCACGACGCCCTGGACCGCCTGGTAGTGATAGTTCGTGTGACATGTTAATAAATTTCTGGAAATGATCTGCCTTGGTACGTGCCGTCACTCAGCTGATATGTGACATCAGATGCGGAGAAGTAGAAATGTTTGTTTCCAGCTGAGCTCCTGTTTTAAAAAGGGCAAAAATTCACGAGAAAAAGCAACGGAGAATTGAAGTTAAATTCGGTATTGTGCTTCCTATTGGTTCGGATGTCTCTTCAGCTGCTGTATGTCGTTGATCTTATGCATAGTGTGAATTGTAAATTGGAATAACCTTTGGTATATCATATAGTTGATAGAAGAGAACAAATCACATCAATTTAATTACCCACCTCGATCAATCTGTGGGTCGATCGATGGAACTCAGCTGATTCATGTGGAACACAAGGTTGAATCAATCAAGGATTTTCTTGGTGTGACCGTGGCCGGCTGAGGCGTCCCCTCTTTTAGTCTGCAGCTCAACAGGACAGCAAAGCCTCTTCAACACTTCATGCAGCTATCTATTGAAACGCTTATGCACTATAGCAACTTCAAATCACTTTATACAAAAAGCAAACCTTATCTTTCTTGGCATTCACCCCCCGGGGTGCCCTTAGCGCATTGTATTGTTCTGTCATTCTCCTAATTCGTCGACTCGTCAGCTCTCACCGGCCTCTTAATCAATAGGAATCGTTTGATCTAAAATCATAAAAATGTGTAGAAAAGATTGGTGAAAACACGAAACTCTGTACCTAGCACGAGATATACCCTCCAATGATTGTTTTAAAATCATCTGAAGTTCATATAGGATTGAGATAATACACTTTTATGACCACTAGTAATTAAGGCACCACAGGTCTTTGCTTTTGCTCTGACCAGGCTGTGTAGATCACAACTTAGTCTAGCCACTATCACGGAAGATCGACACTATACTGCAGACTACACTAATTTACCCATGAATTATCTTTCCTCTTTTGTTAGTCAAGAGTCGATAATACATTTCTACGAAGGCTCCCGCTCTATAAAGTCTTATAATCCAGCATGGAGACCACCTACTCCGTCAAGGATCCTGCTCTCCAGCTACTCTACTATCATGGATCTTTTCACAGACCACTCTGCAATTAAGCTCGCCTTTCCACCACTGGACCTTTTAGGCTCCCTCCAAGCCAGCCTCATAAGCCGGCTACACGTCTTCCTCTTCCACCTACGGGTACTTCCGCGGCAAGGCTTTTTCAACCATTTATGATCAATCCTGGAATTTTTCATCTCTCTCTCGATCTCAAGCTCGTTCTCTCTTTCGCAGCGGTATATACTGCCACGGTTATATATCTGAATCACTTCAATGCTACCCGACAGCATAAACCATGGGCTTTTAGCAAAACCTTCATATTCAAGGCTCTAGTAGTAACGCATAACGCCTTCCTGGCGTTATACTCTGCATGGACCTTGTGTGGAATGTTCTACTTGATATATAGCTATTGGCCTTCGGCAGCAGCAGAGGAAGGACCCAATTACTATGCTCATATTGCGGAATTATGTTGTGAAATGGAGTCGAGTACATTTGTCGGTAAGCTTTGATCATCAACTAGGATCTCATGCGACAATTACTCGTCTAACCGCTTATACCATTCTTTTAGTTTTAAAGAGCTCAACAAGTGTCTGGGAAGGAGGTGCCGGTTATTTAGGCTGGCTATTCTATATGAGCAAGTTCTACGAGGTTGTGGACACACTGATAATTCTTGCCCGCGGGAAAAAGAGCTCAACTTTGCAAACATATCATCACGCCGGTGTGATTGTTTGTGGATGGGCAGTGATGAGATATGAGTCCCCACTGGGCTTTGTTGCGGTGCTATTGAATGCGGGAATCCATACTTTGATGGTAAATTGGCCCAACCGCTTGTCTGCATCAATATACAATGCTAACAATTTATTATCAATATTCCAGTATTCATACTTTACTATCCAAACCCTCGGAATTTCTGTCTCTATGGGTGTCAAGCGCACTCTAACTAGCCTTCAAATCGCCCAGTTCTTAGTGGGATTGGCCTGGGCCCACTGCTATCTCTTCGTGAGATACAAGGCCCCTATAGAGGTGGCAGAAAACACTTTCAACTACGACCCGGCGCCGACGTTGCATTTGCCTATAAGCCGTAATCACTCTTCAACTGGGGCCTCTTACGGAAAGGCCAGAAAAGTGGCCAGCGATGGTGCAATTACATGCTTGAGTGACAGTGGAGAGGTTTTCTGCCTTACTGTGGGAAGCATTTATCTCGTCCCGTTGATAATTCTCTTTGTGCAATTTTTCACGAAATCCTACAAGCCGAAGAAGACGGAAACGATGCCTCCGAAACAACAGAGCCCTGCCGCTAAGGAAATTCATTCTCTAGCTCCTACCAACGAAAACCCAGGTCGCGGTAGTCAAAACTCGCTGAACTGGAAAAATACAACCTATCTTGTTGGAGTTCCTTTGGTGGCTCTGATTAGTCTTCTCTGGGTTCCTCTTCGTATAGAGACCGTTTGTTTTGCCATCGGCTATGCCACCCTACGAGCTATTGTCATTACGGCTGGTGAGTTTCTCTAGCAATCACTTCTTTCCCACTCCCACTATATTCCAGGAAATTCTAAAGAAATATGTCAACAGGTTATCATCGCCTCTGGGCACACAGAGCTTATACTGCTAGCCCACTCTTGAAATTGATTTTTGCGGTTATCGGCGCTGGCGCAGGACAGGACCCTATCAAAAAATGGTGTCGCGACCACCGGGCCCATCATCGCTATGTTGATACCGATGAAGATCCATACAGTGTAAAAAGTGGATTCTTCCATGCGCACATGGGATGGCTGTTGTTTGAAAAACCATATTCCCCACATGACGTCTCGACTACACGCCACGTGGATATTAGTGACCTCAAATCCGACCCTATTGTGGAATGGCAGCGCCGATACTACTTTCCCCTGGCATTGCTCATGGGCTACGTCTTCCCCACGGTCGTCTGTGGCCTATGCTTTGATGACTACTCTGGTGGATTCGTTGTGGCAGGCTGCTTGGGCACAGCTGGAGAACTACAGGGCACATTTTGTGTGAATTCTGTCGCGCACTGGCTCGGAGACCAGCCTTACGGAATCGGGAAATCTCCCCGAGATCACCCTTTGACCGGTCTCCTCACCCTTGGGGAGGGATATCATAATTTTCATCATGAATTCCCGATAGATTATCGCAACGGGGTTCGATGGTATGACTTTGACCCGACCAAGTGGTTGATCTGGACGTGTTATAAGATTGGGCTTGCCTCTAATCTGAGACGTTTCCCGCAAAACGAGATTCAGAAAGGGAGGCTACAGCGAAGACAGGAGAAATTGGAGAAGGAGTGTGAGATGGTGGACTGGGGCGTGCCACTGGCGGATCTTCCAGTTATGGACTGGGAAGAGTTCCAACAACAGGCGAGGACAGGATGCAATATCATAGTTATCAGAGGGGTTGTCCATGATGTTTCGAGCTTTGTGACAGAGCACCCGGGAGGTACAGCTATGATCACAGGGGCAATAGGGAAAGATGCAACCAAGATGTTTGAGGGAGGGGTATATGGTCATTCTGGGGCGGCCTTCAACCTTTTGGATACGATGCGGATAGCTGTGATTAGATAGACCCAATTAGGGTAATTACTGATAGGGGTGGAGAAATTTAATCCAGTTGAATGTATGGCCTAACTACAGACTGGAGTGCGCTGAACTAGAGCCTTGAATATGAAGGTTTTGTTAAAAGCCCATAGTCTATGCTGTTATCAATAACAGAATCGTGGTAGTATATACCGCTGCGAAAGTGAGAATGAGCTTAAGATTGAGAGAGAGTTAGAAAATTTCAGGATTGATCATAAATAGTGTAGTGATGGAACCCCGTCCTGCAGTATGAATAGCGGTCTTACGCGGCAAGATGTTAGGGACTACCAGCTCATTTTCGTCTTACAAGATGAAAATCACCTGTGCACCAAAAAATGACTAGGTGGCCCGTCGATGCTGTATCCTTCGTAGAACCTTTTCCTTATTATCGATTCTTAGCCAACAGAAGAGGGGACGTCTCAGCTAACCATAGATACGCCAAGAAAAACTTTAACTGAGGTGATAATGAACCTTATGTTGCATATGGCTCAGCTGAGATTCGTCGATCGACACACAGATTGATCGAGAGCGGGTAATAAATTGAATTTTTGCATATCTGGAACTTGGCAGGTACACTCAACGAATCTTTTCGTCTTTCAGAGTTTATCCAAGCATCCAAGTATTCTCACACAATGTTTGGTGGCTGTAGTGGGCTGGTGACATTGTTCGTCTGATTTCTGCATTTTTCTAAAACCAACAACTTTGTGTTTCGTCCCTCTCTTTTGTCAAACCACTTATGACGCCACTATTAAGATGGATATACGTCAGATTTCAGGTCGGCCATCCTCTATGACTTCATCTTATGCGTCCTTCCAAAAGCCGGCGCTAGTCAATCGCCCCGAGAAAATATGGTATAAGTGTCGGGCGGAAAGTTTAGTCGCGGTGACAGTAAATACATCCATGTAGGCAAACCAATGCGCATGCGTAACCGTAGCTCTGTTTGTATGACTGCAGATCAGGGCCCGTGAGCGATGGGTTTATCGTCAAAAGCAAAATGTCCAAGTGGCGGTCTGTGGAGTGTCAAGGCTATGTTCGCATATGATATCATACTAGCTGAACATACGCTTATGTTTCCACTCTCTTTTCCCCCTGACGTAGCATGGCCACCCCGAGTGTTCTGCTAGCCCTCTTTGCCGAAACACTTGTATACTGGGAAAGCAAAGAATTCAGACCTAGATCCCAGACGACACTATGAAAGAATATCAAGCATATTTCTACGCTGTCTGTCTTTGCACTTTGTTTTATATCGGCACTGTACTCTTCTACCGATTGGTACTAAGCCCCTTGGCGAAATTCCCCGGCCCTCGCCTGGCAGCCGCCACGCACCTCTACGAAACCTACTTCCAGATCATCAAAGGGGGTACATTCACCTGGCATATTAATGACCTTCACAAACAATATGGTCCTGTGGTCCGAATATCTCCGTGGGAGATACACATCAAAGACCCCGACTACTATAACACCGTCTACGCTGGTCCGGGAAAGCTCCGCAACAAAGATCCTTTGTTTAGCTGCATTAGGTATCCCAAGTCAATCTTCTCTCACAAATCTTATCGACCTTGGAGAAGGCTTTTAGGCCATTTTTTGGAGAAGGGCGCTATCCTCGAACTTGAACCGGTGGTAAAGGCAAATACACTATCACTATGTAAGCACTTCGCGGCGGCGGTCAAAAGCAACGAGGCTTTGGAACTATATACGGCCTTTCACTGCTACACTAGTGATACCCTCTCTCAACATGCTTTCGGGCACGACCTTGGGTTCCACTACTTAGATGAACCGCAACTAGCCAATAATTGGAAGACCAAGGTGAATTCGATGTTTCAACTCAGTCGGCTATTCCGACATTTCAACTTTGAGGGTGACATAGCGCACTTGATTCCACGTCCGCTTGCGTTAGCGGTTCCCCAATATGCGCTTTTTTATTCAGTGGAACAGGTATGCCACCGCGGCCCTCGTCTGATTTTCATGGACATTTGGGGAATAACATCATAATAACGGGTCGACTAGGATGTGAAACTTCGAGTCCAGCAGTTGATAGATCAGTATGATCAATGGGAGGTTGAGGCGCAGTCGACTAGTCACGCAGCAGAACGGCCTTTCTTGAAGACTTCAAATGCAATCTATCCGGCAATCCTGGCTAACCCAGACGTGCCTCTGCTCGAAAAGAGTCATTCTCTGTTGGAGGATGATGCTATATTTCTCATGCATGCGGGTACAGATGCCCCGTCGCAAACCATTGCCATGACCATGTTCCAAATACTCAACAACCCTACAACATATCAGAGACTTAAGGAGGAGCTCTTCACTGCTATCCCAGATGTGACAGCCACTCCAAATATGGATCGATTGGAACAAATGCCTTATTTGGTATGTGGCAGCGTGGTACCTTATTTTTTAGGTCACATTGGACTAATATCAGTATAGACCGCAACAATCAGAGAGGGTCTCCGCCTTGCCTCTGTCGTGACAACTCGGCCGCCTTGCTCGGCACCAGATGAGGTCCTGCGATATCGACAGTGGGATATCCCTGCTGGGGTATGTAGACTGCTTGATCTCCTCAGTTCACACGCGCTAATCATTATAGACGTTTATCTCCATGTCTACGTACTTTATTTTAAGGGACCCAGAGATCTTCCCCGAGCCTGACAAATTCCTACCAGAGCGGTGGCTACTCGAGCCGGAGGAATTGCGGAAACTTGAGAAATATCTCGTTCCGGCATCAAAAGGAATATTGGGTTGTCTAGGACAACAGTACGTTTCCCCAATGGCTGAGGCATGAAGGATAACTGACACTCTGAAGCATGAATTGGTCATGGATGCACCATCTCATAAGTGCTCTTGTGCGTCGATTCGATATGGCATTGCATGAAATACCGGAGAGAAATGTAAAGATGGTTCGAGGAGACTTTATTGGACAAAAAGAACCACGGATAAATGTTGTCCAAGTTAAGGTACTGGAGGAATATTTTCATTAGCAATTGTTCGACACTAGAGCAAGTAGCTGTTCGGAACGAATTCAAGGGTCACATTTCTGTCAATAAATTTAGAGCCTTGGAATTCCTTTTTTTTCCGTATGATAAGAGCCTCTCCATCTTAAATAATGCATAAATGTACACTTAATCGGTTACAAATTTTGTCCACCAATATTCAAATTTGTTCATATAAAGAGACCTCACATTGCAAAGTAGTAAATAATTGTAAGAATCTAAAAGGAGGCCCCGGGCATTATTTCCGCGTTACTGTACTGAGCACGAACTTACCGTTTCGTTCTCGTATCAGCACTTTGCGAACAACGATCTCGCTCGCCAAATCTTGGTATTATCCTGAACGTCCAGCGCCAGCTCGAGTCTGAAGCCGCATTTGGTAATCCGTGGATACTTATGCCTCTGCCGCATTATCCTGACCCGTCCGAAACCGCTAGAGGAACAAGTTCGCTGGTTGGAGGGGCTCTTCATATTCGTCATGCGATAAATTGGCCACGATCCAGAGTGTGTCAGCCAAATTGTTGATCAAAATGCATCTGTGAATGGCTAGACTTTGCTTCCCCGGCATTTTGCCTTGTTTTTATTAGTCTCACGGCTCCTTTTGTAGTCCGAAATACGGACATTATCGTCGGCGAACTGAGCGTCCGCTTCGGCTGGCGTGAGGCTTTCCGCCAAAACTTGGTCCAATCCCTTAACGATCTTCGGAGAAATAGCACTAATATCGACCCAGTGATGCTTCGTTGTTTACTTGATCTTTGTAATGCTTCGCTGGAATTTCTCAACGATTTTGGGTGGTGCATTCAGCTCCGAACTAGTCGGAGGTGGGGGTGTATCACGAAACCAGGCGTTAAGTGAAAGCATTGAAAAGCAATGATTGTCAGCCCATCCATTAGGCGTAGGGGCTGCCAATAATCACCAAAACCATGGTCTCATTAGCCAACCATTAGCTGCCGAATCATCTCGCAGCTTGGCGGGGCATTAGCCTAGTTCAAGATATCGATCCAATGCATTAGTTTGCGCTGGTTCTATTGCTTTTTTGGGGACGATAACGGTCCTTATGAGATTTGCGATCGTGAACCCCCCACCCTTAAAGAGTTCGTAGAGTATATTGAAGTCCCGTGCAAATCGAGCAATTTTCGATTTATCACTTGCATGGTAAACTTCCAATGTAATGATAATGCGATGTTCTAATAGTCGAAAAGTCGAGGCATAATTAGGGTGGCGGGGAAAGGTCGATCATTTGACTAGTCTGATTATTAGACGACCCGTGCGGCCCAACACCTGAAGGGTGGTGGGTCTTGCGTTCGGTCGAGTAAATAGACGGCAAGAGAAACTAGAGGCTTGCTTGTATCGGCCCACCAATTTCACACCATTATCAGACTTTCATAATGAATCCGAAATCCGACCAGAGCTACAGTATCGGTGCAAACAGCGATTTGCTTACATTTGGTACCAAGTCGCTGAGCGAGAAACAGACCAAACTGGAAGCAGACCATGACGCTGTTGACCGCGTCAGGTCCGCCCAGGTAAGATTCCAAAAATATTGGAGGAGGTTTTGGAGTTGCTATCTCGTGGGGATTGTTATATTCCTTGCAATCTTTCTTCCAGTTTTGTAAGTCTGTAATAGCCTGCTGCAAGTTCTTCGTCTTACTAACCTCGCTTGTCGCTTAGTTCTCTTTCTACCTTTGGCATCAAGTCACAGAGCGAGAAACAGACCAAACCGAAAGCAGACCATGACGGTGTTGGCCGTGTCAGGTCCGCCCATGCAAAATTCAAAAAGCATTGCAGGAGATTTTGGTGTTGCTATCTCGCTGCGATTGTTATATTTCTTGCAATCTTTCTTCCAGTTTTGTAAGTCTGTGATAGTTCGCTGCAATTCCTTCGTCGTACTCACTTCGCTTGTCTCTCAGTTTCCTTGCTATCATTCCCGCGATAGCCCGGAGAATTGTCGACAATACCACTCTCCATGTGTACTCGGCCCAAATCTTGAGTCCTAATGCAGACCAATTCACCTTCATCCTTCACATTTCCCTAGATGTTCCTCGAGGGCTGCGAATACGAACAGATCCATTGAACCTGAGCTTGTTTAACCGCGACGTCACACCCATGGAGCCATACTTAACTGTCGCTCTGCCAGGTTACAGCCTCAGAGGAAAGACCGAATTGAGTATTACCAGAAATGTTACCGATATTCTGAATATGAAACAATTTGTCAATACGTTGGCAAGTGCTGTTTATAACAAAAGTTTCACTATATCTGCGAAAGGCTCTACTATTGGTCATCTCGGTGCCCTAAAGACCCCATTAATTGTCGACAAAGATATTGAGCTAAAGGGTAAGCTTATAATAAAGGTTGTGCTGTTTGGATTATTTACACCTGATTTTAACTAGGACTGAATAAGCTGAGTGGCTTCTCTATCGACTCCGCACGGCTGATTATCCCAAAAGAAGCGGATGGGACGAATTTGGTTGGCGTTGTGATCCTTCCTAACTATTCGGTCTTCACCTTTGCTCTGGTACGCTTTTTTACAAGGTTAAATTCTGGATGTTGTCGCTAATTTTCGAATCTAAAGGGCAAAGTGACACTTAATTTACAAAGTTCAGATATGGTTATTGGACAAGCCACCCTCGAAAATGTTGTTCTAAAACCAGGAAACAATTCAGTATCCCTTCGTGGTCAGCTAGATATGGATACTGTGATTGATAATCTTCCGGTCATTCTGTCCACGCCAAAGTCTGCTTTGATGGACGGTGAACTCGAGCTTAATGCTTCTGGGAACTCAACAATCTACGATGGGAAGCACATTGCATATTATGAGAAGCTATTGAATAATCTAACTATCACCACAAAAGTTCCAATTTTAATGATACTGCTGGACACGGTGCGTGGGCTGCTAGATACCACAGGGTTGGGGGACGGCAATGGGATAAACATTACAACTATTATGGGTGATATGTCAAAAGTCATGGATACAGCACTCGCCGCGAGGTCGCTTAAGTTTTTCATGGATGGTTGTGACCCAGTCATAAGTACAAATTTAAAAAATTAAGTTTCCGATTGCCATAATTAATAACAAGACGTCAAGTGGATGCGTTGTTGTCTTTGTTCACCAAATACGACCATCTCTTGCACGATATAATGACGCACTCGTGCAGCGAACTTACTCTGTATCACGGCGATTACACATGATACCGGAGGCTAGACAGGTGACGATATGTCCCCAGAATCCCGTGCCGCTTCCGAAGGTATCTCACTATTTGAAGTGTATCACTCGCATTCCATTCATTCTTCCATCCTTCCTCAGCGAAGCCTTCCATGGGCTTCTATCTGGCCCTAGATCAAGTTCTCGAAATTAGTACTTATACTCCTGAAGAAGGATCTAACCACGGTCATGCCGCTGATCTATGGATCATCATTGACCGGGGTGTATGACCTGTCACGATTTATACACGAGCACCCGGGTTGGGATAAAAGTCTGTTTAAGTCTGGAATCGCATTAATGTATGTTTCAGCATATCCCATGTTGGATGGATTAAGTTTTCACTTAGGCATTATGAGCCATAACAGGGATGGGATTTTAGACGTACTCCATTCGCAAATCTCACATCCCTTTTCCCACGTTTCTATCCCTGTATCCCCAATGAGGAATTTTTGCAATTGAACTGGGTAACCGAGCTCAGCTACACCCTGTTGTTCCCGTCGCTTCGGTGTGATGAGGGGATACGGGATACCATTGTGAGAGGAAGACGATTGCTATAAAAGCCGGGTAGTTGGTGAGTTTCCAAGATATAGAGTCCATCATACCATATCCCGAAGCTAGTATATAGAATTATTTAGCTCACGTATCTAACTATAGTGTCTATCGTTATTCCGCAATGCGGGAGAACGCCCTGGTGCATAGAGACAACGGCGTGACGACGCTCCCAGAGCAGCAATTCATGGTCATTACATGGTCATTACGGCATTGTTTAAGCTTCAATTCTCTCGTAATAGTCATTAGCTTGAGTTGTACAGGAAGCGGCATTCTTCCCCTAAGCGTATTTGGCGATGGACTTGATTATGCAGCACTCTCGTAGATACAAGAGGTCAACAACAGAGGTTTCCAAAAGCGGGATGATCTTGTCCATTGAGTTATTTGAAGGGCTCGGAGGCTCCCTTATCAGTATAACGGGAGAAATGAGGATAGAAAGTAGTCAATTTAGCCCCCCAAAATAGTGACTAAGAATGATGATAGAGTAGACTCGCTCCGAGAGACCCATTGGCGGTTACTGAAAGGTTTCTCTTCAAATACGACTAAGAATCACAATTACCAGGCCGGCATTGAACTCCTCAATTTTCTTTAGACTCAATTAGAGGGTGACTAAGTTGGGGCGAATATTTTCGTACTGTCGGTTTATACCGATAATGATTAAAATGAGGGCAGGCATGAATAAAGATGTCTCATCCAGAACTCGAGATGGTTATTCAGTTTTCAATATCATTGTGGATCGCAATTCGATACATGATGTCCTCAACTCTCTTGTCGGTGTTATTACCATGTCTCCATATCCTACGTCCCCAATCCCTATGGTTTCCCGATCCCTATGTTTTCCCGATCCCTATGTTGGGATCCTTATATCCCCACAGCCCATATCCTCAGTCTCTCTACCCCTAGCTCCTCTGCCCCAATTCCCCTTTCCCCAACCCATACGCTCCTCCAGCCCGTTACCCAAACCCCAATGACCCCATTCATAGTTATTACGGTGCCTGTGGCCCTCATAATTACCATGAGAACGATTTCTACAAGATGCCCCCTCCCCCGGTATTTGGGTCATCACGACGCCCAGCTTCAAAACCTCGGCGGAAGACTAGTTTGAGCTATCAGCGCGAAGAATGTGAGGCACATATCCTTTCAATCACGTCTTCGTCGTTAAGGCCAGTCGGCAAGAAATATGCTCATACTCGAGTACTTTGTCCCCCAATGTAGTCAATAATGCGCGGTGCAGAGAAATAAAATGAGAACTAAGATTTGACATAAAACACCTGGAATTGTTAGACTCCTAAATGGCGAAGTCGGGCCCAGCCTTTGTGAATGTACTGTTGCTTCGCACTCCGTCAGAATACGTGGTGCTTGAGGGATCACATCCATGGACTCGTCTGAATAACAAAGGCAATTTGCACCGCCTAGTTATGAAACCATGGCCAATGGGAGGAAGCAGAAGGCATTTCATCTCCGTGCTGCCACTTTCTAACATTGGCAGATATGGGGATGCAACATGTTGCCAACATTTCTCAAGATTTCTCATCATTGAAAGCATTGGTACAAGAGACAAAATCAGGCTGCTGAAAAGATCCAAGCCCGATAGAACAACTCTCGTTGAGGATTTTTCCAGTTTTGAGGCATGCAGTAAAGATGGGAAAATATACACATCGGTTGGTCGACCTTTACCGACATGGCATGGCATGTACGAGTACGAGGTGCAGCAGATTCAGTTTAGACCACATTACACAGACCTCGCCGAATCCATGAAAAGATGAACAGCACGAGCAATTTAGGGAGTCAAAACGAATGTAAAATTGGAATAAACCTTGAATGGAGAGAGGAATTTATACTCTTCATCAGGACAACTAATTGTAACACATTGACAGCGTGGACCTTTTCTCCCTCCCAAGAGAAATTTCGGAATGATTACAGCCATGGTAATATTTTGCAGGAGTCCCTAACAGAAAGTATCAAACCTTTCTTTAGACAGTGCAAACTACATCCTTATTACCATTGCTCTTCGTGTCCTAATTTTGTATTAGTCTCTTGCCCTTCTGAAGTAGACACAAAATCCAGAGAAACTTACCACAATCTGGTTGCCGCCACAGCAAAGAGGCCGAGAACGTGTACCGGAACAGGTCACGCCTTGAAGATTCGCTAAACCCTATATTAGTAGATGTTTCGGGTAATCACTCAGAAGTGCCTTACATTGACAGTTCGACCCAACGCCCCTGATGAAAAATATGTTCAGGTTGGTTGCAGTAGCACAGCACCAGTTGTGGGTAGGGCCGCCCACGGGGCATGCTGCTCTCTTTTCAAGGTCCTCTTCAACTGGGGTAGCAATGGCTAGGCCAGCAAGAGTAAAAGCGGCAAGGATATTCTTCATAAGCATTTTGAAGTGTCGGATATAGTGAACTTATCGTGTAGATTGAAGATAGGAAGAGAGATAGGAAGTATGGGTTGATTTAGAGGGACATCAGAGGAATTTTCAACCTTTAAATAGATAACTGCGTACTCGTTACGAGCCACCCAAACCCGATCTACTTGTATGCAAATGAACAATTTAGTGTAACCGATGCGTCTAGATCATATAGATGAGATCGATGACACAGGGTGAAGTAAGACGAACCGTTACTATTGATTCTGTAGAACTTCGTACAACAGGTGGCGAAGTAACTAGGCAGGATTTTCCGGAGATATATGACTTGCTTGGCCGTACTAACCTTGGAAACCTCGACGCTCTATTCTTAAATTCAATTCGTTCCAAACTAGAACAACCAAAATGGGATGACAGTTGAGTGAACACCAAAATCTCGCGTATGTCTACACATTCGAAGCCAAATAAATAAAAATAAAAACGGAAAAATTTCTGAAGATCATCCGTGATATGCCACTGGTCCAGTAGCTCATCGCCTTAAGAAGTGGAGCTTTGAATGCGACCCAAAACTAAGACTTGATCATGTTGCAGGTTAAAACGGCAGCTTATCATAATAGGTAACTAGTTATAATTGAATTGTCCCAATTCAGCATTTTCCGATCCCATTTGGAAAGATTTGGCCAAAAATAGAAGAGAGGCGGGTTTCAAGGTAATATCCGTTTCCGGGGTTTGGCGGTCTAGACGAAGATAAGATCTATGGTAGACCGCCAAGCCAACCCCGCTTGTTCGTGAATGGACGGGTGAAACCGACGGAGTTTGGCATCAGTAGAACCAGAAAGACCACATGATCTGGTCGTGTTCCGGTACGAGCCGAACAACAGCTATTCACATCAGAAGAAATGACGGTACAATGCTGGCCGAAATTTGAGAAAGCTTGCATTTCCCATGGCAACGGGGTGTAAGGAAACCTTAACCTTTAAATTGAACACTCGTTTGTAGCAAAATTTGCACTCGAATTTATCGAAGATAATAATGACTGCCCCGTTGAATGAGCAGAGATGTATACGTAGATTGACCCTCTTGTTGAAGCTAGACAAGTCTGTACTTAAAGAACCAGTACCTCTGGGAATCATTTCTCGTGTTCTTCAATCTAAGAGTCAAGTTTGCATCATCAGTCTAAATGGAATTGACATCTACAAACCTACAGAAGCTGTATGTGTTCAAAGGTAAAAACCGGTTTTTTTTTTTTTTCAACAGTACATTGAATATCCAAGATATTTGATTGTCTATTGCTTAATATTACTAAAAATACTTCATTATGGACGGAACAAAGAACCTTTGCATTCGACGTCAAGGCTCTGATACATACCTATACGGCGACTGTAGGTAAAATGACGACCCGTGGGCCTACGGCCAAGCGAAATGCGCCTAGGCGACTACATTGGAAATGAGCACGGTAGGGTATCATCTGAGTAACTATTGAAACCCCCAGATTGACGTTAGACCAGGTTTTCTTTTAGAAAAATAAGGGGCAGGAATTAACCTAGAGAGCTCGCCGGATAATCTTTAGTCTTGAAGGCCCAAATCGCCGTGCTACGCGCCGAGCTCGAAGGAGATTTTCCCAGTAGCTACACGGGAAGGGATGTGAATCTAGACGAACACATCTACAACGATTTCGGTGAGCCAAAGTATCAGTCAGTATTCTGCTTTTTCCACAGGTTGCTTTTGTTATGGTGAATGCTAGCAGATGTAGCAACTGAGGCTCGAACACGTGGCAGGAAAATGATACTCCAAATGCCTCTCACTGTATTCAGTTCTTCATTATTAAGTTTGCTCATATTTTTCATAATGAAATGATTCCTTGCCGTGGAAAACTTCAGATATACGTAGGCTTAGCCTGTATGAAGCTAGAATACACAGAAAGTCCTCATTGATACATACTAAACAAGTAGCACCCATTAATCTACGACAGATAACGACGTATAAGCTCAAGAGTAGTTGAGGGCCATGGTGCATTGACACACACACACACCAGCTTAAGGCATCATGCAAACTGAAAAGCTCAAGTTGGCCTATACTCCTGGAAACGAGAAAAGTGACCATGGTTTCAGGACCCAAGGTACACAATGAGGTTCGGTTTTAGCATCTGATAACCACGAGGGATTGACGTCAACACATCACTAAGTAGTTCGTATAAGAGTAAGGCTATGACACCTATATTTTCTTGGAGATCATTACCAAATCCCGAATATTATACCATGCCTGACTCCCTTCAACTACAGCAAGATCACCATGACCTCCCGCAGGGCTATCTTACCTTCGAGGCTGCGACTTCGGAGTTGCGAAGGAAGCTGGGTCACAAAGTAAAACACCAGAAAGCCCAATATCATCTTGTCGGTTTTGCTTTCAATTTGCTTGCAGTTGCGCAAGTAATGATCGGAGCCGCCATCACTGCTTTAGGCCCAACTGGAGGTGAACACATGTTAGCCATCACAATTCTGGGGGCTTTCAACACCTCCATCGCCGGAATTCTTGCATTGCTCAAAGGAAGAGGGTTTCCGCATCGATTGAGGAGAAATATGGTTGAACTAGAAAATGTATTGGACTTCATTCAAGAAAGGGGGTCTTGTTGAGATATGGGGAGAGTGAAGTCCTGCATGACGGAGATGCGCTTATACGAGAGGTCTTCCAAAGATACATCACAGCGCAACAGATTATCGAAAGCAACCAGCCGGACACTTATGCCGGTGGAACTACACTTCGTTCCTCCGTGGATCCAGAGAGTGTTGGCTTTTCAAGCCAAACAGCAGCGACGACTGACTTGCACGGAAAGGGACGTCAATTAGACGAAGAAATGGGTAGTAATAGGGATAATCTATAAAAGCCATCAACACACATGTGTAGCATGCAAGGCTGAGCCACCCAACGATGAAAATAGTCATAGTTAAGGGAGACAAATAGTAGGATATTTTCTCGTCTGTATCTCTTCTCTTTCATTTTTTTTTTCGTGTTATGGCCATATAGCTAGGTTTAGTATATGGTCCAAAATATCCTGGAGAACCGCCAAATACTATGAGGAAAGACTGGAGATTTCCTTCCTTTGCTTCTAGCAAATTTTGAACTAGTCATTAATTCAACCTATGTAGAAAGTTATTGATGGCTGAAAGAACCCAAAATCAAGAGAGCCACGGAACTCTAAATTGCGGATCTACACGTCATTTCATACAAACAGCATAGCCAGCCGCGGGTGGATGTCACGGCTGTACCAACAATCTAAACCTTAAATTTCAATCTAGGTTGAAGGTGGGTGGTCGTATTCTGCAAACGGCGGAGCCTATAGGATTTAACAAACATCCGTGCAGATCTATATCCAAGGATACGATAACCTTAATTTTAAAGCCAACCCGATTTTCAACACCGTCGCTCCTTCTCTGACCGAAAAGAGGGGAATATCAGTCATAAATCGCGTCGGCGGTCTCATAGGAATACATACAGTACTTTGGATGAGGTCCCACCAGTAACGCGACTTGCATAAGAAGATAAACCCCGTTGTACAAAGCTTCATGCACAATCAATGAACCATTTGTTTCCATCGGCAAATCTAGGATAATCCCAAAAGGGGATATAGGACCGACTCTCCAATATGCTGGGTATGATGGTATAAATTGTGGATACGAGTTCAGACCCGCATACCCCGCGTCCCGAACAATTAGAGCCTTACGGCAATGAATACCGAAGCTGAAATCTAGACTGCTTCTAAAAGGAACAATCTTGGTTCATTCAGTATGCGCGCATTAATGTGATGCATTATTGCCACTGGCTAGGTCAGTATCTGACTTTCACTGGCAAAAAAGCCCATCAAAGAGGCAGATTCAAAAGTCTAGATGACCATAAGCAGCGATTGCAATACGAAATCTCATCATAGATGCGCCTACGTCGGGATCTCAAACTATCCAAGCTCGTATAACATCATATTCATGTGACCCGACCTGCACGCGGAGCTCCTGGTACATTTACTTGCAGTTGCCCCGGTACTTGCGGTTGCAGTCAGCTCAACCACATAATCCAAGGGACAACCCTTTAGTCTTGCAAAACAGCTTCTTTGAAACAAATTCTATTTCTATATCTTCCTCAGTATGCCGATTCGTGGTTACGGTGTGTGGAAGGCAAAGCCCGTATATTATACCGTTGAACATGAGAATGAGGACAATATCAGCCCTCATTTATCACTATACTTCGACGATAAAGGAGGTAATCTTTCTGGAAAAAAGTTTCGTCCAACCGGTCGGAACAAAGAAATTCGTGGACTTTTCAAAGCCGCAATCAACATCAAGTCTATAGGCAAAGAATCCCAGCTTGCCTACTGGGTAGATCATAACTTCAGCAACCATCCCATCATCAACAGTCTCACCGACCTACCTTCAGGCTTTCAGTCCCTAGAAGAGCCAAAGCAGGGATACGCTGATATGAGACTGGACTACATCCGGAGCAACTTGTTCAATGTCAATACTGGTCGAATTCTACCACATGATGAACCAGGTCTCAACAATGATATGATTGATGTTTTGGAACCTGAAGTCAAACAGGCAATTGATCAGAACGCCAATATTTACTTATTTGGTGCACAGTTTGGGGATCGAAAAGGCATTCATGACGTGCACATGAATCAAGGCAATATTGGGAAGTTTCAACATGATGACGGTGTTTTCCAAGATGGTGGCCTTCTGATCCATTACCCAGACTCTGGTCGATGGGCGGGCGTGTTCATCGGGTTCGCATCACAGTCTGCGCACACAGATGATGACTCCGGACATGCCATAGGATCGGAGACTTGGAATGACTATCTTGGCTCAAAAGGTCGCCGCACAGATCTAATCGAGAATTCTGCGACGATCGACAAGGCGTTGGTTGATTCAAATGATCCCAGAGTCAGACGCAGATCAGTTACTATCACAAATTCGACTGACCACACAATACCTCTGTCTGCATGGAAGATACAAAATTCAGCTGGCCAATTTCAAGCACTGCCGCGTGATGCAGTTTTGGATGCTATGAAAACGCAAACTTTCGACGTTCCAAATTGCCCTCTTTCGAGCATTGGCGATACCATCACACTGGTGAATGACGAAGGACTGAAAGTTGATGGGGTGAGCTATCACTCTCCACAGGGCGGATCGGTTGTTTTTGCTCATTAGGATTGGTATAGCGAAATTTGCTTTATTGTGTCTTTGGCTTTCCCAAAAGTGATATTATCCAAGGTTTAACCAATGCCAAATAAAAAAAAATATCTCTTTCGCTTGAATTGAGAAGTCTATTTCTAGCTTCATTCCAACCAAAAACTGATCCCCTTTCGGAGATAGTGTAACTGGAATTTGAGTAAGCGGACAGAAGACCTGTTCTCTGTAGTTAGAGATCTTGGACCAAGTATTTACGAAGGCCATGTTTTTGTATTGCAGGCGAAGCAAGGTGAATAGGCTAAAACTTTAAAATGTAGATTAGTTACATGGCTAGCACTCGTCGTGGGTTTACGCCGTGTGAGAAACAGACAAGCCGGTGATGTGTCTCTATGGCTTCGTAGTCGCTCCAAGGGTCAAACCTCTAGGCTATTAACTTATTTACTGAAATACAATAGTATGAAATAGCTCTTTTTAACTACTATGTAATCCTCAATCCGATAAGCGCGTGGTAATGCCTCATAATTCGATACTAAGATATTGAAACAATTTTCCTTGATGCCTAAGTGTATAACACAATTTGGAACCATTCTCTGCGGACATGACATTCACTAATTTAAATGTGGTTTCTATGCGATTGTATTATACTATCTATTTACTTTGTATAACGAAATTCCAAAATTCCACCGGTCGCCTCCTGGGGGGAACCATCTAGTGTCTAACCGGGCTGCAGATCGGAGGGGACCCAGCCTATGGCACCCTTCCTCTTGCCCGGTCTTAGGCTCACTCAGCTGATTGTGTACTATGTGAAATACGATGAAAGATCCTTACAGCTAGTAATTTATACAACCAATAAGAACATTGCAGTTCATGTGACCATCAACAGTAGTCTCCTGACAGTCCCGCTGAGTCCAAGTTTGCTACTGTATTCAAATGTATGTACACTCCACTTTGAATGGCTTGACAGCTCTTTGCCGTCATCTACCATCAACATGAACTTCTTCGCACGCGCTCGGACAGGTTTCATGTCCTGGATGCATGAAACACCGCTTCCTTCTACAGAAGCATATCCCAATTTCCAGTCGTGGCACCATTTTGACCCTGTTCAACAGTGGGTCTCTTGGGTCCCTACCCGCTTGAACAATACAAACCCCAGGTCAACCAACACAGAGAATATACAGAATATACCGAAACTAGTACTTCTGACATGGAACATTGATGCAACGTCTTCCCAAACCCAAGCACGCGTTACAGAGATTATCACATTCATCACCGACCTGGATCCTAAAGTCGATGTTGTTTTCCTCCAAGAGGTCTCAAAGACAGCTTTGCGGCAACTCTTAGGGGACGCTCGTGTCCGTGAGTCTTGGCTTTCAAGCGAACGTGATGATACAGCATGGGGCAAGCAGTCCTTTGCGACGGTCACGCTGGTATCCAAAGCACGCTTTGCGTCAAATGCCGAATTTGGTATGAACAATGCCATTCTAGGTCCTATTTGGCGCGTGAAATATCCTAGTCACTTCGATCGAGATGCCTTATGCTGTGATATCTTCGTTCCTTCTCCAACAAAGCCTGAGTCTGAGTCTAAGCCTTCTTCTGCCACACGCATACGGCTTATCAATGTTCATCTGGATTCTCTACCGATTCAGCCATCCTACAGACCCCGGCAAATATCCATTGTCTCCTCGTTCCTCCACGCCGCAGGCTACGGTATAGTAGCCGGTGATTTCAATCCAGTTCTCGAGGAGGACGCTACCCTTATTGAAAACAGTGGCCTGACGGATGTCTGGACATCTCTTCGGTCCAAAGAACTCGGTTATACATGGGGAGTGGATGGAGAGCAACCGTTCCCGCCAAATCGACTCGACAAAGTTGCTGTTTTAGGTCTTACCCCTTCCAGTATCCGAATTTTGCAGCCAGGAGATCTCAGCAACTTAGAGACCAAATCTCAACAGGCTGAGCCATCAGAAGACGTCCCTTGGAGCGATCATCATGCTTTTCTTTGCACTCTCAACTTGCCGGCAAAGTGAGCAATTTTATCTTGTGTCAATTTGGCAGCCGAACTTCTAGTTATAGAACGAAACCAATCTTTAAATCGGTTTAACGGCGGACGGAAGGGGCGAAATCGACATGAATTGAGATAATTTAACTTGAACTGCCATGATAACCAATTTTCTTCCACCTTCATAAGTTACACATGTCAACCTTAACCTCTGTATACCAAATCCAACTTCTGCCGTTCTTTCAAGTCCTATAATCCCTTCAACCATGCTTTGAGTCCTTGGCTCATGTCTCCTTGGAGGCCTCTCAAGTTGATTCTTTGGCCGCTTTGCGCCATCAATTCACGGATAGACATAATGTCAGACATGTCTCCTTTTCTCTTAAAACCGTTCCGACGATTTCGATTGTTCCAAGTGCTGAACTTCAAATTAAGAAGTTCCGGTGCCGAACGAAATGACATTTGCATTTAGGGTCCGAGTTCGATAAGCTGCGCCTGTTCTACCTTGGGCTTCGAAAATGAACAAAAAGAGGTAGAAAGAGCGAGGCCAAAGTAGAGAGAAAACAAATCATGAAACGGTTTACTCTCTTCGAGGATCTTGGTATGTGAAGGCGCTTGTTTAAATACATGTCTGTCCTGACTCCATCTGCTGCACCTGCAACATTATCAGAGCCTTGACTTCTGTTCGTACACCTTGCAAGCAGTCTCCAGTCCAGGCATCCATTCAGCAGAAACACTCAGTCTGTCCTTTATTGGCCGATCTGCCCAATCCTTCGCAATCCGCATCTCGTCCTCCCGCCATCTTTGCACCGCCGACCCAATCCATGTCCCAATAGCCGATGCTGTCTCGGCAACCTCTTCTAGTGGTACCTGATGCCCGGAAGATTCAATACGTTTATGTTTCACCTGTCCACTCAGCACCCCGCCACTCCCTCCGACGCCAGCACCGGTCCGATGCAAGATTTCAGCACAAATCTCAGGTTTTGATATTGGGCTGCTACCACCAAACACATAAAGAACCGACGGCCGAACGTGATCCAGTAACTTCCATGCAATCACAGGCTCGCTGCGGTAGAAAGGCGCAGTTTTCGAAGGAGGGCCAATCACATCAGCCTGGAACAGGGGTTCATGAGAAGGCCCGACGGCGGATCCTTCTTGCCCAAGAGGCCTGTGGCCTCCAAAGTTGGGCCGGACGTACTGCATCACTTCTTGATGCTTAGTGCTTGTTAAGGTGACCGGGCCATCATGGATGACATTTGTGTCGCTGTGTGAGTTCTGCGGGTAGAGGGCTGTCGGAAGACTGCGGTATCCATGTAAAGCCCATCGCTCAAGGACGCGTTCATCCCATCGCTTGTGTGTCTTTCGCGCCGCTTTAATAGCCGCGGACCTGGATGACCAGGTATCACGTCGCTTAAGCGACAGCTTTGATAATAACGGCCCATATCCACTGAACGTATCTGGCACAATTACTGGCTCGACTAAAGCCAAAGACGTGAACAGGCGAGGATGCATGAGAGAAAGGAGGACACTAGGTACAAGTCAGCAACGAAATCCGTAGCTTCGTCATGCGCTCTTACAGTTGACCTGCCCCCATACTATGACCTACGCCGACGATGGGCCGCGGCATTTCATCACGAAATTGGTTAATCATATATAAAAGATCCCGACTGTGATCAAGCCAAGATGCTTCAACGAGTTAGCGATACTGCAAAAGCCAATGAGAGAAGCAGGCATGCTTACGGTCATTGCCCAGTAGTTCCTCGTTCACCACACCGCTAGCGCCGAGATTTGCGGCATCTGCAATCCAGATAGATCCAATTCGGATTCCATCTTTGTTACATCTTGCAAGAAGGTCTTCCCATAATGGTTCATAAAGCTCCTTCGAATTAATTAGCCAGTGATACATATTGTTTGCTAAGATAGAGGAGTGGGATCTCTACTTTCGGAAAGCCACCACCAGGCGCCCCAATGATGGTCACGTCCCCAGTTTGAGGATTTGGGTTTTCAATGGGGACATACTTCTTCACCGCCAGCTTCAAGCAAGAAGCTTGTGAGACGGTTGCTCGAGGGTATTCGCGGATGTATTGTCCATCAACGATATGTTCCGTCACGGTAAAAGGGAAGTTTGATGTGCTGGCCATGTTTGCTGTAACAATGAAACGTCTCATGGGCGCGTGAGGTTGACTATGATCATATACAGAATAGAACGAGCTACATCAGCCCTGTCCGAAGAAACGAGTTTGCTCCGACTTCTTTTTCACCGCTAGAAAGTGGACCGAACTAAGGGGTGTGATTATCCAAACTTTACTGAAAGGGTCAATAGATACATGCAGCCTGGAAGGTTCCTATACAAATTGTCCAATGAGCATGTTACAAATACGAATGTTAAAAAAGCAAGGGGGAATCCGTACAATTTACGCTATGTAAATATTCCCGGAAGACTGGGATACGTCAAAGTGGAATCTGTAGACCAATCTACATTCAATAGTCTTGCTTGGCGCCTACATGGGATCTCCGCTGATGCAGATCATATCAATAGATCCGAAACATTCTCGATTCCGGGGACGATCATATCCCAATTTGGTAGTCGATCTCTGGTTCAATCTCTATTCTCCACAGCCAAGTGGATTCAGCTGAGACACTAGTTTAGTGTCGACTTTTCGCGAACGATCTGCGAAAAATTCGGATTCCATCTCCGGATGATCGGGAAAATATCAGAAAGACAAGTCTCGTATAGATACGTAATTCCTTTGTTCACACATTAGGATAGATATGGCAACCTATCTCCAGAAGTACCCAGTGGTTTAAATGGTAGATACCGATCCATCATTTATTCCAATGGATAAAAGGAAAAGCCGCATGGGGCCAAGCAAGCTCCATTCCATGTCTATAGGATAAGTAGCGAACCCTAAAATGCATTTTTTAGTCATCAGCTTTGCCGTTCAAATTATTTTTTTTCGATGTGACTGATACCCACGGTGATACTATATAAGCAAAAGCTAGTGTTTATCCAATTCAGGATACCATACGAACAAAATTCTATAAAAGAATGGGATAATCCTCCGTCAGGGTACAATACACGTGATTTGACCTCCTGGTGAAGATCATACCTTGATACCCACCCTCCTCTTTGCGTCTGCTTCCCTACAAATTCCAGAAAATGTCTTTTCTCGATTTGGATTGTGCGTATAACGAGGATTCACAATGGCAGAGGACTCAATGCATCGTCAGGCAAGATGTGCATACTTACTGTCAAGAGCGAAATTGGAAACCGTCCACTTTCTTTCAAACAGTCTGGGCAATTGTCCTCAATAAATACACCGCATCTCATGGAGTGACGTTTGCCATCCACAGTAATGAGATTAATGGTGGATCCCCAACGATATGCGACGTCTCAATTGAGCCAGAAACGTCTATTGTCGACCTCCTAGCGGGTCATTTGACGTCGACCACGTTCACTACGACCATGCCCAGGCAGTTCGCCTGTAATACTGGCGTTGTTATCGACAGGCAAGATGGCGAAAGCATTGAATCTCTTCCTCCACTGCAGGTTCTTCTACTTGCAAGCACGACATCCTCCGAATTGTGGCTGTCATGCTCATCGGACATTTCCTCGTCATATGCAGACAACCTCCTTTCGACCATCGAACAGATAATCGAGGAAATTTTACAACACCCGCATCGAGCAGTCAAAGACCTAAGTCTTTTCAGCATTCGCAACAGTCGTCAAGTCCTCGAATGGAACCGTCGCATCATGCCCAACAATATGGCCTCGACGGTTGACCTGATCCGACAACATGCATCGCAACGGTCAACCCACGAAGCCATTTGTGCCTGGGATGGGTCACTTACGTACGCGGAGCTTGATAGTATGACCACTCAGTTGGCGTACCACCTACGGACTATGGGCATTGGAGAGAATGATAAAGTGCTGCTCGGCTTTGAGAAGTCGATGTATGCAATTGTGGCTTTTCTTTCCATCCTTAAAGCAGGCGCCATTTTTGTTCCTGTCAGCCCCGCTTATCCTGTAGAGCGTATGCAAGCAATCATCGATGTAACTCATCCTCGTCTTGCTCTCACCTCGCCGGAATTCACATCGGTCTTCGAGCGTCACCAAGTGCCAGCCCTATGCCTCAATCAATCTTTCATCGCCAAATTATCAATCAAGGAAGATGAAGACCCTCTGCCTTCATCTGACCCACAACGCGTGGCATACATTCTTTTCACTTCTGGCAGCACTGGTCAGCCCAAAGGCTGTGTCATCGAACATCAAGCGATGGCGACTATGATCAGCCAAGGGCCACCATTTCGCATCTCCCCATCCAGTCGTGTACTACAAGTTGCTCCGATCATCTTTGCTGCATCCTCGGTTGACATGTTCTTGCCTCTGCTTACTGGAGGGACCGTCTGCATCGCCTCGAAACACGATCTGATGAACAACCTGGCAGCTACGATGAAGCAGCTTCGGGTAACCTGGGCCTGTATGACCCCATCCGCTATCACCTCTGTCGATCCATTGGAGCTGTCGGGACTGCAAACTCTGGGCTTGGTCGGCGAACCAGTGAGTGAGGATTTGCTCAATAAGTGGGCGCCTTCTGTGGATCTTCTGTCAGGCTACGGTCTCTCGGAGATTGTGGGTGCTGGATGCATCTCCTCTCTCAGGGTAGATATGCACCCTCGGAACATCGGTCACTCTCCTACAGCACATATCTGGCTGGCGGATCCGACAAACATAACAAGGCTTACCCCGATCGGCGCGATTGGTGAAATGCTGATCGAGGGACCAAATCTTGCCCGTGGGTATCTAGATGACCCGCAGAAAACGACCGATACATTCATTGAGGCACCGGAATGGATTCAAGATTTCTATCCTGGACGGGGTCGACGCGTCCTAAGGACGGGTGATCTGGCTCGATACCATTCCGATGGCTCCATCGTGTATGTCGGCCGCAAAGACACGCAAGTTAAAATTCGTGGGAAACGAGTCGAGCTTGGGGAGGTCGAAAGTATTATTCGCCTTCATCAAGCACCGGGCGACACGGTGATTGTGGAAGCGGCCGCTCCGCTGGACGGGGATGGCACTCCAATGTTAATCGGTTTCATCCACACTTCTGGGTTCTCCGAAGGGGAATTGGCGGATTCCTCATCGCTTATAGGACTACCGAATCAAATTTTTCGGGAGGAGACGTCGCGTCTCGATCTGCTGGTTCGCGCAGCATTACCGGAGTATATGATACCCAGCGTATACATGGTACTCAATCGCATTCCCAAAACTGCCTCTGGGAAAACCGACCGTCGCGCGTTGCGGCTCGAGGTCGCCAGCATGTCTAGGCAACAGATTGAAGCCTACCACGATGTGGGTAATAAACCACGGATTCGACCTCGTACTGATGCGGAAAAGTCTGTACACGGGCTGTTTTCTCAAATCTTGAAGCGTGATCAAGACTCCTTTGGAATTCACGACCAATTCATCCGATTGGGCGGCGATTCTATCAAGGCGATTCGCCTCGTTCAGCTGTGTCGAAAGTTTGGGTTAGCCGTCAATGTTGCTGACATTATGGAATTTGGCACAGTGGCTCAACTCGCCCAGATCGTCAATCGCTTGCCAGAGCCTATCCTTAAAAGTGATAGAAGACAAGTCGAAGTTCCTAGTGCTGCCGTAACGGAGCATTTGATTAACTTCGGTGTTGCTGTTGAAGAAGTGGAAGCAATGAATCCGTGCTCCTCGATGCAGGATGGGATTTTAATGAGCCAGCTGAAAAACCCCCAGCAGTATGCACTGCGGGTTCTGTATGAAGCCCGGCTGTCCAGCACCTCGTCAGAAATAGACCTCGGCCGACTTCAAAAGGCGTGGAAATTACTGGTTCGGAGCCACCCTATGCTGCGGACAATCTTCGTGACCAATTTGACACCTAGTGTATTTGCGGTGCAAGTCCAGTTGAAGAACGGTTCCATACCTCGGATCCATGAAATTAACGACAACTTGAAACCGAGCGATATTCTCGGTCAGCGCCGAGAATGTCAACCCCCGAGCGCGCTGCCTCAATTTGATCTACACCTCACTCCGAGTGGGCGGGTTATCATTGAGCTTGAACTGTCTCATGCAGTTGTTGATGGCATGTCCATGTCGATCATAGTTCGAGATTTGTGTAGGTTTTACGGCGACACAAGTCCCTCTCCCTCGATCTTTAACTTTGCCGATCACGTCGAATACCAACGGAAGATATCTACGGATGATTCTGTGTCCTACTGGAAGCAATACCTCGATTGCATGGGCCCAAGCCAGTTCCCCACAACCAGTGATGGTTCACCAGACATGTCGGAAGAATCCAATCAAACCTCTCAATTCAAGGCTGTGTCTGTGGACTTCGGCCCAGCTGCAGAGTATCGAAAGTTTGCCCAGGAAACCGGGACAACCGTGGCAAACGTCGTCAAGCTAGCATGGTCTCTTGTTTTGCATGTAATGTGCCGCACAGACGATGTATCTTTCGGCTATCTTACCACGAGTCGTGACGCGCCTATTGAAGGTGCGCTAGAAGGCGTTGGGCCTCTGATCAACTTACTGGTGTTTCGGCAGCGGCTTGGTCGTGAATCCACCGTGGCACAAGTCTTGCAATCCATTCAAGCCGATTTCATCTCTAGTCTGCCTCACAAAGCTGTGTCTTTGAGCGATATTCGCCGGGCTCTAGACTTTGCCAGTGATGAGGTCATGTTCAACACCTGCATCAGCCATTTCCCCGTCACCGCCCCCGATGAAGCCGATGACTTGCCGATACTACTTCACGAAGTGGAGCGCCAAGATCCCACCGAGTTTGATATTTCCCTCGAGATCATGGAGTCGGAGAATGAAATCCAATCAAGTATCAAGGCGTATACTGGTGTGGTTTCACTAGAGCACATGGAGCGAGTCGCGGCGCTGTTTGAACACTTGATGAAGACCATCCTTGGGAACTCAGGTCGCACAATAGGAGAGCTTGGGGTGGTTCCTGAGAAGGACTGTGCCACAATTGGACATCTGAACAGAAGTATCACACAGCCGCCTATTGAACAATGCGTTCACGATATCATCTTGCAGCAGTGCCAGAACCATCCTACAGCACCGGCTATTTGTGCCTGGGATGGAGACTGGACCTATGGCGAT